CCTTTAACACACAGATCATGGACCATACTATTCATAGATATTTGCTGGGTAAACTTTAAACCCACATAACAAAAGCTAATGACAACTTCTAAGTAAGTATTTTCGTAAGTCCATTTTTCGTTTCTAGCCAAGACTCCGCCTTTTTTGAAAACAACAATTTTTGTTTTGGTTTCATTTACACTTAACATATACTTATCACAAAATTCTGAAAGCACATTTAACTGACTTTGTAAACCTTTCACAGTATCGGACATTAAAGCGATGTCGTCAGCAAACATCAATAAAAATACTTGAAAAGTGTCGGGGTGTAATTGAATTCCCTAAATATCATTTTCAGACAAACATCGTTCCAACTCATCTATAAAGAAACAAAATAATATAGGACCAGCGGAGCACCCCTGTTTTAGGTCCACAGTACTCTGTATATATTCACTTCTTGTGTAGTTACATCTAACACATGACTTGACCTTAACATACATACTTTTAAATGCTTTAAACAAGTTACCTTTTAAACCATTTTCCTTTAAAATATTCCACAACAATTGTCTATCTATAGTGTCAAAACACTTTTTAAAATCAACAAAAGCGACATATAATTTACGTCTTTTGTTTCTAAGGATACGATCAATAATTGACTTTAAAATAAATGCATTATCAATAGTTGAATAACCGGCTTTAAACCCTGCCTGGTTTTCAGAAATTTTATGATACATTTGGGCAAAAAAATTTAGCCTATTTACAAGAACACAACAATAAATTTTACTTAAGACATTTTGCAGGGAAATACCCCTATAGTTTTCTACATTATTAACGTCACCTTTTTTATGTATTGTTACAATAATAGAGTCGCACCAACTATCTGGATATTCACCGGAAAAAAATATTCTATTGAATAACCTTACTAAAACATGTGTAATATTCTCAATTCCGTATATAAAAAATTCTGGCGTAATATTATCTGGTCCAGGTGACTTGCCTTGCTTAAGATGTTTAATAGCTAATCTAACCTCATCATCTGATATTTCGGAATCAAAAATATGGTTTTCAACTTCACTATCAGTTTCTTCTGTCGAAATATCAATATATTCTATATTTCTATCATTTGCAATGTTTGGATTTAGTAGACCTTCAAAGTATTGTACCCATTCAATTGTACTTATATTATTTACTGCCTTACTATTACGATTTGTTAATCTTTTTAGCTTCGACCAAAACGATTTAGAGTCATTTACACTATTGGTTAAATCTTTCAACTCATTCGTATGAAACTGTTTGCTTTTACTATCGCACATATTCTTATATTGTTTTCTTGTCTGTATATAAAGCTGTAAATTTTCTTCTGTTTTATGACTTCTATATGTTCTTAACTGTTTGTATTTTATGCGTTTTAACTTTAAACAATCTTTATCATACCACCTTGGACTAAAGCATTTTTCTACTTTCTTTACTGGTCGCACAAAATTATTGCCCACTTGTTTTAAAATATTTGTAAATTTCATCACACAATCATCAATATTATTTATTATCATTATCATTATTATTTATGTCATCTATATCGCATATAATCACTGCTGCAGTCTGACCTAATTTTATACTTGAGATTCCTGAACTTAAGATTTTTGATATTGCTTTATCGCCGTAAATTGACTCATAGCACAAATTTTACTGGGTTAATGGTATTTTTAGAACCAACATGTGACAGTGTTCTGTATAACTTTTGTAATGTTTTCAATGAAATATATATTTTCAAGTAAATCATCTTTGTTGTTAAATATCGTTGAAAATGTCCGAACTCCCCCCCCCCCCCCAAAAAAAGGAAAAGAAGTATAGAAACTATGGTAACATTAATCCCATAGAAAGGAACTAGTCCACATATACGTAACTACACACATGTCTCCGTCTGCCCTAACTGATTATTTGCCTTTTGCTGCTGTTCCGTTGAAACTTTGAATAAATATTCTTAGATGCATTTATGCCTGAAACATTTTAAGTTGCCATATGACCTTGACTGTTAATGTTAACTGGAATGTCGCATAAGCCGGTGCTAAGGAGCGTTAGGACTATTTTACTTTCTATTATTTCTCTTGCACAAATTCTTTAGTTTTCAACTATTCAAAGTACATTTTCTTATATATCATGTTCTAGTTTATAAACGAGCAGGTACAGAAACTAGAACGCGCATGTCTTGGAAATACACCGACAATATAAAAAAATATTTGCCATTTAAGTATGTGGATACGAAATGATAATGTCTGGTTACATCACGTTATGTTAAGATAACTTCTATGACATTGAAATTCTTTGTTTTATACCATGTATAACCATAAGCTAGTTTGTGACTGTTATATGTAGCAACGCCGCCCCATTTAAAGATGTTTATTCGTTTTAAAATTAAGTTAGCTAGTGGTATTGAATTAAATAAACATTGAGTAACTGTGTATAAGTATTTTAAAACTTTGGGACAAAACGGAATGCCCCGAAAACGGATTGGTCTAAAACGCACATTTTAAAGAAAAATTCAGATATTGATAAAAACTATAGAAACAAACTTTTTGGATATTCTATCAACATTTTACTTGAACTAATCTTTTAAAGTATATCGCCTTGCGTACTTTTGTTAATTTATAACTAGTGTTCATCTTGCTCCTCGACGTTGTGGGTCGGAATCCCGCCAGGGACTTAGGAATCTTTCATGTGATGAAGCTATCCATGCAGCTTACGGAACTTCGGTGGTTCTACTCAGGTTCCTGTTCCACAGCTCTTTCTACACCGGTAAACCTGGAAAGTCACTTTATCATCTTACTGCGTTGGTGTGACGTTTTAATGTCCAGAAACTAATTAGTAGTTTAAAAAACTTATTAGGAGAACTAAAATTCTTATTTGTTCTTTGCATAAAAACCTAATTAGAATATACGAATACAAAGTTCAAAATAGGTTTATATTTTATATGAAGGTTTTGAAGCTCTTTATTAGGACTTACAAAGTCCTTATCTCAACTCCTGATATATTTTTATTTTTCCTAATTATGATTTTAAACTCCCTATTAAGAGTTACAAAGTTGTAATTAGGTTTATTTCTCCAAATTTTGAGTAAAAATCAATAATTTGTTGTAACTGGGAGAAACAAAGTTGTAATAAGATTTCTTTTTATCTTTCATATTTATATGAGTTAGGAATATCTAAGTCCTAATTAGGCTTGTATACGAAAAAGTCCTTATTAGACTTTTAAACTCCTAAACAGAGGAAGTAAAGTCCTAATTCTCCTTATAACGATTTAAACAGTACTTTAAGACCATTAAGAATTTGCAACAGATTTGTGTGTATTTGCGTTTTTTTATACTCACCACCGGTTGCCTATATGGGCGAGTGCTCCAGAAGAGTATTAGTCATTTTATTTTTTAGAGGATAGTGCAATTACAGATACAGAAAGATGCTCCAATTCCAGAAGATTCTCATGGTTCTTCAGCGTGCCAAGTGTTTAAGCACCCATACACGGGACCTCGATTTAAAGTCTCATCCGAAGGACTGATTTGCACCAGACGGTTCCCGTTCCAAAGCACTTATGAAAATGTTGTTTTATTAGAGATTTTCGACCATGTGATTATATACACGTATCTAGGACATCTTGTAAGGAAAGTGAAACTATTAATGGTCACACTTTAAAAATATGCCATTTTTTTATAGTTATTGATAAGGAAGCTGATTTCCATAGATATGACTGTCTTGAATCGGTTTATATACAACAATAATAACGCATCAGTTTTCGTCATTTTCAGTTCGCTATGAAACTTTGAAATATCAAACATAATTTCTTAGAGATTTTGAGTTAACAGTATTTTCTACTTTTCATTATATGTATGAAATAGAATTATTTTAATTTTGCAAAGCATGAACGTTTCAAAGACGTTTTATTGGCATTAAATATGAGAGATATATTTTACACACACTTTTTTTACAAATGTTAGCCTGGGTGCATTTTTGCCAAAGTATGCATTTGTTTTCTATATTCGACTTATCATACCTGTTATGGAAAAGGTAATGTGATTGGTTGCAAGAAAAAATAGATTAAACTTGAGTAGCGGACGATCCAGATACTGTTAAGATATTTGCAAGCCTTACCTTAATATTTAAAATAACCATTCAAGCTTCCATTTTTAGAACTGTCTATTAAGTTGGGAATATCAAGGTAGAAATTTCGAGGTATATGTTAACGTTTATTAAGTGAAATTTTAAGAATCCAAAAGGAAGCGACCGGTAGGTACCAGGAGTGTAAAGATGCAGTGTTGTTAACAGTCATATATATGCAATTGCTTTTGATCTAAGCTCATTCAATGTTTTAACAAATTCTATTATTCAGTTTTCAGCTTGTCTTTATGCCTATTTAACTGTGGCATATGCCTTTTAAACTTTTATTTCTTATATTTTCTCAAGATGGAAAATTTATCAATGCGATAGGTGCATTGAAAAACATTTTTTAATGACACACAGTAAACGTAATTTATAATCAAACGAAGTCCATCAATGCAATGCCATATCATATTACATGAAAATATAAAGAATAATCCTACGTCTATAAACTCAGCAGTGAGCGACATAATAGAACAGCTAGGCTTACTTACACACAGAACAAACTGGACGCATTGAATCTTCTTTTGTTCTGTAACTCAATTTCTCATACAGGTACGATACGAATAAAAAAAAATTTCATAAGAGTGAGCTTGATTTTCTGTAAGAAGGTTAGCCACTTTCAGAATATTTACCTAACGTTTCAGCTATATTTTTACATGCAGTTTGTTTTACTTCCTTTATGTATTTTTGTTATATATTTTCTAAATACTATACTCATGATATTGAAGCATTGCATATGAATATTTTACAGCGGTAACCGTTGTGAATAATGGGCATTTAAAAGTACAGAAGTTTCTATATTTAGCTACAGGGTTGGGAGATGGACAAACTCGACAAGGTAATGAATGCACATACATGACGTAATTTGAATATGTCTGATAGTTTAATAAATATGACGCATAACTCATTATCGATAGGAGCTCTATCACGTATATAAATAAATTTTGAAATTTCTAAAATCAAAAGTGAATTAAAGATAGAAGGGAATTTTCTTTATGCTTGGTAAGACACGTGTATATCTTCTTTCTTTTCCGTATTTATTTTCTCTTTTCTAATATTTTCAGCGATTTGTACAGACATTTTTAACCTTTGGAATTAAAAACGCGTACTTTAAGATCATTTATATTACAGTTAAATGTAATAGGGTGATTAAAATTGGGTACGAATCAAAATGTTGAAATATGTGTTTCTTTTAAAATGTTTAATCGAACCTTCATTTTTGTACACCACCTTTGAAATGTATACAAATGAAAAAAAAAATGTTTTGCCTGTTCAATGCTTATAATACAAAGATTCTCTGAGTAAAACATCGAAAAGATCTATAGAAAGTGTATTCGGAGAGTTGGTGCAAAAATGTAAGCCAAGGTAAATTGTGATGGCTGATTTGGAACGCTTTTGTGCGTCGTGTTGGCGCTAAGGACAACAGGACAAAGCGCCAAACGGCGCGTTTTCGGACTTTCGTCTTGTCGTCCTGTCTGTCCGTTTGTCGTGCTTCGCTAGAGACAGGACGACAAGACGACAGCGCGACAACGTGACGTTTGGCGCTTTATAGGTTGCGTTGTCGCAACGCGCAATGTACCAGACAGCTGCCATAGAAAATGGTGAAAGTGTCATTTTTACTCATATTTTTATATCATTATCTTCAATTAATCAAGAAATTATTGATATGGTCGTTTACAGATGACAAATGGCGAATTCAATACTATCCCTGCGGAGTTCGTCGGGGAGCTTTGTATTTCCGGAGTCGGAAAAAGACCGCCAGGTATCTCTTACAGGCTATTCAAACATTGTGCTAGATGTTTCAACAAATCATCAAAACAATGATGAGGATAAAAATAAAGTCAGGTAAGGGGAAATTTCCAAACATGTTTTGTCGTCTGTATGCCCCGACTATCTTTTAGGAGTTTACAGATATGAAGATAACGATTTGCTCGTAAATTGTAGAACATTGATCAAATCTTCTATAAAACAATTCAACACTTTTCATATGCTGGAAAAAACCCATAGCAAACCAACAAGCAAAGTATTTTGGCCTGTCAGTGAACATTTTGCTGATACTTTACGTTCTTTGCCTAATGTTTTCATTAACTATAATTTTAAGACAGGTATAAACCATTTTCACTTTCAATATTTGTAAAGAACTCCTCTGATCCCGAATCAGTAACTAATTTATATTTATTATTATTTCAGAGTAAGATTTGCTGACTTGCCTTCGGTGGGTTTGGACATGTCTGGATTCGGGGTGGAAAAGACCGTGAAGAGGAAATACTCGGTAGCCTTGCAAACTCTAAAACCTTTCAGGCGTTCGTCTAAGTAAGCACGCTTATCTTCTCTTACATACGATAGATAACTTACCCCTTTAATGATCTAGTTTAGTAGATTACAGTCAAACTTAGTTGACCGGCAATTGTTTTGCTTGGAGTAAGAATAATTATTTTTTACATTTTTATGCAAGAGCATGTGCTATGAATTAATATTGGTTAATATTTGATAGCGGCAGTAAAACGGTATCATGTAACTTTGCTAATGAATGATTCTATTAAGTCAATACATTATTACAATCACGCTTCTAAGTTTATGCCATTTAAATAAATAAATAAATAAATAAATAAATACGAAACTTGAAAACTGGATGTCGGGATTTCAAATACTTCTGATTTGCTGACCAATCAATTTAAAGTATTTACCTCAATTTGAAATACCTTATCTTGATGTAAATAAACGTCAATATTGCTATTATCGCAAGCATTTAGGAGTAAATACCGATTTTGAGCAATGACAAGAAAGTATACTCGACATGGCTGCTGAAGGACAAAATTCACACACGCACGCTTACACACGTACGCACGCTCACACACATTGTGCTGTCAAGGCAAGAAATTCAACATAATGAAATGATTTGATAAACACATTTTTAGAAACATATAAACATACAAAACTTCACCCCGTATGTATTGAAATTTGACACGAACGATAAGTAAATTAGTTCTTTAACTGCTGTATTTTACAGAGATGGAAAACTACCATTGAATAATGTTGGATTTTTCTCGTACATATTCCTGACATGGCTGTCTCCCCTGGTATGGAAAATGTATCGCCATCGGTCACAACCTGTAGCTGAAAGTGACATTTGGGAATGTTCGGATCAGGAAGGCGTGTCCGAAAACACTGAAAGGTTGTCTCATAGTATTATGTTTTGTTGTAGTAAAGTATACCCATCATTTTATGTGGAAATTCACATATTTTTCTACCTTTCTCTCACATCTTATAGAAATGTTATTTTACGTGGTCGTAGCATCTATCTATTGTGACGGGTAGTGCACCATTAAGTTGTAACGGTAGAAGTTTGTTTGTACCCACAAACCCAAATTTGCCGAGTTCCGGATAAAATCTTTAAATGGATATTTGGCGCTTACGAAGATGCTTAACTTGTCTAAGTTTTCTTTTATTTCAAATAATTCACGAGAAAATAAAAGATGAATATATTTGCTTTTGTCCTGACCTATGTCTACCCTTGTTTTTTTACACCTATTATTAGAATGATGAGACTTTGGAAGGAAGAACTAGAGAAGAATAGCGAGAAGAAGGCGTCATTTATGAATGTGTGGACAAAATTTATATTCACGAGGACTCTCATTTCATTATGTATAATCACTCTCTTTGCACTAGCCTCTTTGATCTCTTCGGTAAGTTTAAATACTTTATCTCATTCTTAAGGCTAGATATTGTAATAGTCCGTATTCTAGTTGAGATTTAATTAAGGCACGTATAAAAGGCTGTATTAGAACAATCTCTAGAGAAACAAAGTTAGGGAGACACAAACATCTATTTTTGTTGTTGCTGAGACGGTCCGGTAGGCTTTGATTTAGGACAAATTGATACTGTCATTGTAAAGAAATTATTGCTCTACAGAGATCTTTCAATTTATTTACAAAATGCACAAGTCCCACAATAGCGGGAAACATCAGCAGTATACATACATAAACATATATTGCTGACGTAACCATTATATTATAAGTCAGTTTTTCTCTGCTCTATAGATTATCAAACCTACGAGTCAGGAGTGTATAGAAAATTCTTTTAAAAATTTTTTTGGGAAAAAAATATAAATACAACTTTAGGTTAAGTCGTGGGGAAATGAAAACGGGTATGATTTTACCCTTTCCCTTTGGGGAATCAAAATGATATACGTCATTTTTTTTTACGGGGTACAACAAACACGGATATTTTTACGGACAAAATTTCCGGGGGTCTTTGAGGTAATTACACACAGACATATTTTTAATGGTAGGCTTTGCTTGTCAATCAAATAATTGGTTATCTGGAGTCACCTGGATACAACTTGGCGTTTGGTTTGGGCTTATCAGCAGCGATGTTTGCGTCTGAAATGATGAGGACTCTATCATATTCTGCACTGATGATAGTAGGCTCTCAAACAGGTAAGGGGATCCTCATGACTCAGTGGTTGAAATCGTTGCAACTTACCATTCAATGAATCTGCGTGGGTACAAATCCCACCAGCGTTGTTCGATCATTCATTTAGTGACAAAACTATCAAGCTGACTCAAGAGAACAGTGGCTATTCGTATGTCTTTGCTTATATACTTATAACATCTTTAATTAAATTTTTTAAACCCGTTTTTTTAGTCTTTTTTTCCCCTTTGAATTTATTAAAAATTAAAACAAATTTAAAGGGACTTGTTAGTAAAAAATAAACCCTATTTATCAGTAAAACACTTGGTTTTTTTCAGCTGGGTATGTCAAGAAAAATTTTGATTTTATTTAGACATCAAGAAAGGGGAAATTCCTTTTCTTTGAGCAAGGACATGTAAAACATTTCTTCCTTAACAATTTGTATTTAATTGATACACAATTGTCGACGCAAGAAAATTACATGTATATGTTGCATTGCTCGAGAATCTCTTAAACAACTTTGACAACCCAATTTTCTTTTTATTGGGGAGGTCATCAGCCCCTCTACAGGTTTAGAATATTGCTCGGGACCATTTTTTCGTATCAAAATTAAGTAATGCTGATTTTAAGCCTTTAAAAAAAATGCTAAAAAATGCGCATGCTCCGCCTCAAAATAGGACTTAACTTAAACGAAAAATAAACATCGAATGAACAAATCGGTACAAGGAAAAATCGGAAAATATCATTTACGTTACTTAACACTACGAGCAATGATTCATTTCATTTTTAATCCTTTAAACTGTATAAGGCAATAACGTTTTACTATTTCATGTTCCGAAAATTAGGAAGCACTATCATATGACCGAGTGAACGGTGTACCGAAAATTTGCTGCTACTTTCACTTTTGAACTGGTATGACTAAAATACGCAACGGAGATTTTTTGGCGCAAATAGCGAAAAATGGCACAACTTTTTCTCAAGTTTGATTTTCTTGCCATATTGTGGTTGGAGGCATGCAGCAGTATATATTGTTTATTACAATCAAATGTACATTATTAATGTAAATTTGGGACTTAAAATTGTTTGATTAACAAACTTTATGCCCGTTTTGGAAAATCTCTGGTGCCTTTTATATCTCCAAATATTTTCGAAATTAACAAATCTTCAACAGCTGCAAAAAGACCTCTCGCATGCTTCTTTTTAAAGAAGCAAACTTGTGTACAGATGGATTCAAAATCATCTAAGTATTAAAACATGTAGTCTTTTGTTATTGCGTTTTTGCCAAACTCAAAATGCGCATGTGCTAAATGCAACATCCGTTACTATTGAAAATTCGTATTGTAAAAAGGACTATAGTTAATATTAAAACGAACCAATTTTTTTGGCATAGGAAAATCGTGTCTAAGTTTTTTATGCTCGTCAATTGATGCAACACACTGAACATATTAAATTATTCTAAAAAAGACAGTGATGCAATAAATAGATTTGTTGTAGGACGAAACATAAAATATACTAAGTCTAGTAACCTTGTAATAATTCTAGATATCTATTTTATCATTATTTTATGTATTAGATTTCTTTCTAGGTACGAGGTTCCGGTCTGGATTTATGGGCATTATGTATGATAAGCTCTTAAAAATGCGGGTCGTGAAAGGGAAGACCAACGCTGAGGTAAAACAATTGATTCAGAATGTATAAACAATTTTAGCTCTATGAAAAAAAAAAAAATAAGTTGTTATAACAACATCAACAACAAGCAAACATGACACAAATAAAGAAAAAAGGCAAATTCTAACCAATTTTTCAATTGTCGGATATTTGTTTAACACATTTGTCATTGTCTACCGGTACCGTTGGCCTAGTGGTTAAGGCGTCCGCCTTCGGATCGGGAGGTCGAAGGTTCGAGCTCGAAGGGTCGAGCCCCACGGGGAGCGTTAATTGGTTGATGAATGTTTCTCGTGGAACTCGTTCCGAAATGGCCGCTTCGTGACCCGCGAGGTAGTCAAAATTATTGATTTCTATCCGCCTGGCATAGTGGTAGGAATTGGGAGGTACATGGTATGCAAGCAAAAGGTGTCTCATAAGTCAGAAATTGCTGGCCCTTTCAGTAGGGGTGACACGATTTGAAACACGATTTTGTTATAATTGTAATTAGTTTGAACGACAATGATTATCTGACCCTTGTGTCTGCTTTAATTGAATATTTTATGACAACCAATTAAAGACTTTTTTTACATGTTCTTCTTTTTCTTCAGATTATAAATATGTTTACTGTAGATTCGTACAGAGTCCACATGGCAACCTGGATATCGCCATTTCTAATTTCTATTCCAATCTATCTCATTATTGCTACAATCTATTGCTACACATTGATCGGATTCTGGTGCTTTGTCTCCATTGGAACATTTGTCGTCTGCTATATTGCACAGGTAGGTGTGAATACTACGTTAAAAACCCGTATTTTTATGGTTTTATAAATCTGATGCTCAGATGAAGATTTATCAATATTGTAAGTTTCAAAAGCATTATTTTGTATTTAACGTTTCATGTAAATAAAGGGAGATAATATCTGGTAAAAAGTGATCCCTCGGAAACGTTAAAACAGCAAAATGTCATGAAAATTGCAGACTCAGTTTGACTGAGTCTGTACATGAGAGATAATGAAAAAGTGCAACATCCCTCACGCCCCCTAGCACCGGCTTGAGCGGTACTAAATTCTCAACACTCAATAGTACTGGCATCAATGATGCCGAAGGACCAGAAAAATATAACAACACTGAAGTGTTGTATGGGACAACTTTTTACAGCTTCCACGCGGCACTTGACAGCTTCTGTTGTGATGTATAAAAATCTGGTAAAAAGTGATCCCTCGGAAGCAGTAAAAACAGCAAAATTTCATGAAAATTACAGACTCGTTCGATAAAGTCTATTGCCAGTTTTTTTTTCAATAAAAATGAATGCATTTATTTTAACGTTAAATCATAATGTATATAAACATTTGCTGAAAATTTTAACATATTCTTGCATGTTTAGAAATTGTTTTAGAAGAATAATTATATACATACATAAAACTTCACTTAAACTGTATGTTACATTCTCAATTACAACATAAAGGATCATTAAAGTTTCATGTAGGAGACGATTAAATAAAAATAAAGCTTCTTAAGTGCAAATATCAAAATGATTGAAATTTATCTTTGAATACATTGTAATACTTTTGTACGGCTGTTGTCTTCCTAATAATTTTCTTGGATTGTTTGAACGAATCATGTAAGTTAATTACATATTTTTATAAGAGAATAATAAAGCATTTTGTACTATCAATAAGAAATAACAAAAGACTCAATCATGATTGGTGAACATTCCTAAAATTGTTTCAGACACTTCTCACAAGATTCATCGCGTCGTTGAGAAGAATATGTGTCCAGTATACTGACCTTAGAGTAAGAAGAATGGGAGAGATCATTAATAGCATGAAGTTTATTAAGATGTATGCCTGGGAGAAACCATTCAAGGACGCCATCATAGGTACATTTGTATCTTATTTTGTTGCAGCATCATAATCTTAGTCATTAACAACAATAATACACCAGCGCCATCTCCACCCCCATCATCATCATCAACAACAACAACAACAACAACAACAACAACAACAACAATTATATCATCAACACCACACCATCACTTACACAACCAACAACAACAGCAACAGCAGCAGCAGCAGCTGCTGCAACAACAACAAAACTTATTTTTTAGCCACCCAATTTTTTTCAGGAAAAAACAGGAAAACGACATGTAAAAGACCGAGCAATTCAGACCTGCATATATCACTATGCAATAATTGCAAAGTAATGTAAAGTGAAATATATACATTAATATTATACACATCGTTATCAATGATTAGAAATTAATGTACAATGTTAAAGTAAAGCAGTAAAACTGTTATCAAATATACCGTGAAAAAATATCGTGTTTTATTTCTGATTTATACTGACAGATGTGAGAAAGACAGAACAGAAGTATTTGTTGTATTCTGCCTTGTTATATGCAGTGGTCAGCTCAATAATTCCTGTAACACCAACTATAGCCTCAGTTATAACAATTACAGTCTATACTGCCGCCGGGAATACCCTCACTGCATCTACAGTATGTAGCTTTTGTTTCAGAAAATTGATGTAGCATCCAAAATAACACAAAATACAACAATTGAAATAAAAAATAAAAGTATTTTCATAAAACATTTGGAGAAACATTATATACAAGTTTTCATTGTATCGACTTTTAACGAAGATATGAATAAGTCTCGAAAATAACGGAGATTGTAATTAACTTTGCATGTAAGTATTGGTAGTATCGAAGTACATGTATATAAAATATAAGTAAAAAAAAAAACGTGACTGTTTAAGACAGCCATTGTGACAAGCATCGAGCAGTAACATCATGATAGTATTGACATCATTCTGAAAATGTTTTTAAACTGTATCTCCAAATACGTTATGTCATATTTGTCTACCAGAGCTTACAAAATTGTAAAATTATGCGTATTAAAGAGTTTAATCAATGATTTATTTATTTCTGTATGTAAATCATGGCGTCATTTATTGTTAGCCTTATGCTTCACATCAAAATTCTTATTATACATTATTATTACATTATCTTGCGTTTGAAATTTTACTACGGTTTATTAATGATAATGTTTATTTTACATATATTTCAAAACCTTTGAATTGTTGAGTTTCGCAAAGGTTTTTTCCCAAATACTTTGATGCAATAAAAAAATGAAAATGAATTGTTTCAGGCCTTCGCAATTATCGGGACGATGTCATTTTTGAAGACGATTGTTGCCATTATACCACAATCATTACGAGCATATGGGGAGGCTAAAGTTAGTTTTGCTAGATTACAGGTATATATAAACACTTTCCTTGTTGTATATTGTACCATCCAGTTTAGTAATTATGATCGGATAGAATGAAAGAGCATATAATCATACTAATTAGAAATACAGGGAAAATGATTATTTGTTGAATTTTCAAAAAGGGTATAACGTGACATTAACAAAGAATGGGACAATTTCTAAGCATGCAAATCTAAATACGTCGATTATTATATCACTCGAGCATGTAAGTTGAATTGAAGGCCGATTTGATAGTATAAAGAAAATATTACTCTTAAAGTATTGTCTCGTACTTGTAAGTGGCTTAGGTTACTTCCCTTTACTTGTCATAACTTTTTTTCACTTTTGATTTTAGAAAATTCAGAATTTATTTATATACGTGTCAGAACTCCTATCAATAATGAGCTATGCGTCATATATAATAAACTATCAGACAGATTCAAATTACTTCATATATGTGCATTCATTACCTTGTCGAGTTTGTCCATCTCCCAACCCTGTAACTAAATATAGCAATTTCTGTACTTTTAAATGACCCATTATTTCACAACCGCTGTAAAATATTCAATATCATGAGTATAGTATTTAAAAAAATATATATACATTATATAAAGAAAAGATTACTCTTAAAGTATTGTTTCGTACTTGTCAAAATAGCCATGCTATGGTTGGTAAAATAATGGAATAACTTGAATCTAATTACCATCCATAAAACATATAAAACATAACAATCGTACGCCTTATATTCGTCCGGGTATAACAGAGTAGAAAATAAGACAATACAAAGATAGAGGTTCTATCATGTACATATGCATTCTTTTAAAGCAATGTATTTATATAAAACTTAAATGATGTTAATTATTGTTTAATGATATTGGGGCGTCCTTGGCCGAGTTGTTAAGGTCGTTGACCTCTAACCACTTGCCCCTCACCGGTGTTGGTTCGGACTTTGGATTCTTTCATGTGTAGAAGTTATCCATCTAGCTTACGGAACGTCGGTGGTTCTACTCACGTGCCCATTCGTTCCTTAAATAATGCACGGAAGGGCACACGATGTCTGCCTCCATCAGTAAAGCTGGAACGTTGCCATATGACCTTCACTGTGTCGGTGTGACGTAAAACCCAATCTAAAGTTTGATGATATGTTAAATCAATGATACTGAACATTGCTTTGTTAAGATACAACAACTATTGCTATGTTTATTTTCAAATTTATGTTATCGTATTCATTTGTTAAACAATATTCAGCGTCTTTTGTTGTTGGAAGAGTACATACCCCCTTCAAATGAAGTGTATGACAAGGAGAATGTTGTGGAGATAAAAGCTGCCAATTTCATATGGGATAATATTTTAGATCAGAGCAGTCAAGTAAATATAGAAAAAATTGCTGAAAGATCAAGTGGTAAGTGCCTTTCTACCCTTTATTCTTTCATTTATATTTTACATTGATGTGATAAGCTTGAAATTATAATTCCATTTTAATTAAGCATAAAAGACGAATGTTGATTTTCAGCTTTTTGTTTTATTTTGTTTGCTATTAAAGGTGCGATCTTGTCTTTCAAGAATGTTTATACTCACATCACCAGGTTGTCCCTATCTCGATTTTAGTATTGTCTTATTTTCTACTTTATTATAATAATTGTTTCAAACACTATTTGTGTTGATGATTGAATAATGCTCAAGTCGGTGCTTTGATGGGGTGAGAGATGTTGATTATAAGAAAACACACTAAATAAGCATGTTACATTTCACTTCACACATTGCTCCTATTCTGAATTTTTATATCTTATCTGGAAACTTTGTAAATTATTACTCAAGAGATGTTTTTATGATTTACTTTTTCAGTAACAAGTCAGGATAGTTCAAAAAGAGAAAGTATTAGCAATTTTGCGTTATCTGATATAAATTTTGAAGTAAAACAGGTAAAAGTTTATATAAATCATACTTTTTAATGAAGAAAAATACTTAAGATGTGTAGTTATGAACTGACATTTCTTTAATAATGATAATTAAATAATAATAATAATAATAATGAGATCTTTATTTTAAGAAGGTGATATATTTAGAGTACATGATAAACATACAACTTATTTCCGATATGGCCTTCTATCTATACAATATCTACATATATAAACAACAAATATTACTTTACGACATACACTCTTATATGAATACATATCATTTTCACGTGAAGTATCAATTTCTAACTACATACAAATATGCAATCATCCATCAATGTTAACAAAAGATTCATGATAAAAGATGTGTTTTATTGTTGTTTTTTTTGTACAGATCTATGTAATTTCAATTGAAACATTATTTTGTTAAGTGTTGAAAAGTGTGTACTGTTAAAGCTGTCGGTGCTTGGAATGTGAAAATGTATATGCATGCAAGTTTTACTGTAATTTCAGGGAAAATTGGTAGGTATTTGTGGGTCAGTTGGTTCAGGGAAGTCATCTCTAATGTCAGCAGTTATGGGGAGGGTAAGATATTTTATACATATGTGACATAATTCACTTGTTAAATAGTACACTTGAGACAAAATTCACCTCTGACATAAAACACATGAAACATAATTCACCTGTGACATAATACACATGTGACATAATTCACCTGTGACATAATACACATGTGACATAATTCACCAGTGACATAATACACATGTGACATAATTCACCTGTGACATAATACACATATGACATAAATCACCTGTAACATAATACACATGTGACATAATTCTCCTGTGACATAATATATTTGTGACATAATTAACTTGTTACATAATACACATGTGACATAATGCACTTGTTACACAATATACACATGTGACATAATTCACTTGTTACATAGTACACATGTGACATAATTCACTTGTTACATAGTACATATGTGACATAATTCATTGGTTACATAATACACATGTGACATAATTAACTTGTTACACAGTACACATGTGACATAATTCACTTGTTACACAATATACACATGTGACATAACTTCAAATTGCAAAACTTAAAACATGGACACTTTATGCTCGTATTTTCAACAAATTTTTTAACTGTGACAAAACATAGAAATGCCGGCCAGTTTAAATGTACGCCCTTTTTTTATTTATCTAATTAGATATATAATAATAATCACGATTTATATATAAGATAGGCTTGTCCAATTTTTCAATTTGGACAAAATTGTTCACCATTTTAGGGGACAAATATATGTACCAAATAGCTAACAGTGTAGACGGATGTCCCGGCTGATTTTGGTCTGAACTGGGTATTCTCATTTATTCTTTAAATTTAACGCTTATGGATTATAAATGGAATTATCATCGCTTTTAAAATATGATAAACAAGATCAACAAGGAATTGCGGCATTCAATGAACGCAACCCCCACACGACCCAGCAACAAGAACTAGTTGCAAGGAGCCCAGAGGACCCAACAATGTTAATATAGTTTTACAACCTGAAACCAGCACAATTTATTTGTTTAATAGTACTGGACATTCATTTTAGATGTTACTAAAGAAAGGTCACCTAGCTGTAAATGGAGACGTAGCATATGTAGCTCAACAGGCTTGGATATTCAATGCCACTTTGAAGGAAAATATCCTCTTTGGTCAGCCATATGATAAAGAAAGGTTTCAGAACTTTTTACAAACAATTATTATACTTTGTATGATACTTATGTGACAAACTCTCTTTGCTTAAGTTACTAATGTATTAAATCTTTTCAAGACACATTTGGATTTAGGTGGCGATAAGCACACAGACGCATCTTTTTGTTTTTAAAAACTTCGATTTTGTTTAGAGACGTCGATTTTTAAGGGGGAGAAACATTTTTTAGCTATATAAAGAAGCATTTGTGCAGCACAAACATAACTTACTGTATTTTATTGCTTAATCGCAAAGGCAATTGATCTTATACTTATATATTGAATAGAAATGTTCTGATACTTAAAAAACCTGTCTATATATTCATTAAAAACTTCGTGTATAAAAATACAAAGACTGTGAAGTTGATTGTTTTGCATTCAAAATGTTCAATAGGTATTTCATAACAAAACGAGCTGAGGACCTTTGATACCAATAAATCCGACTCGTATAAGGACTCAATGGTACTAGGAGATATTTCATTTGTTAAAAAAAGAGCACCTTCTAGCCCTTAGACATATTAGCTGCTTTAACTGAATCGAATTTTAGATTATATTTGTATACATCATGTATTTTAAATTGCAGATATGAAAAAGTTATTAACTGTTGTGGACTAGAAACAGATCTTAGATTTCTATCTGATGGAGATGAAACAGAGGTACTAGTAAATTATATCATCTAAACTTATTTTATTTCTTTTATAAGTCCATTGCCATATGAATGTCTTAAAGGAACCAAAGGAAACCATATGAACATTTGTTAATGATATTTTAAATGCATATAGCAAAACAAATGATTAAAAACGGTTGTTTTTGAAGTGAATATAAAAGATTTATCTTGTGTAACGGGTGATATTCTTAACTGTTTTGTTTCTATCGAATATAGATTGGTGAACGTGGAGCTAACCTTAGTGGTGGACAAAAACAACGTGTAAATTTAGCACGTGCAGTGTACAGTCAAAGTGACATCTTTATTCTAGATGACCCTTTATCAGCTTTAGATGTAAAAGTTGGAAAACAAATATTTCATACATGTATTAAAGGTGTTCTAAAAGACAAAACAGTCCTACTGGTTACTCATCAATTACAGGTACACACGGAAAAAACCTTGTAAATAATCATTTATATTAAATTTGAAAATATGATGAAGGACTCATCCAATTGTTACTTCAAACGATACCTGTTTATTTATGATATTCTATGTTAAATAATAAGCTGTTTTAATACCTATTTACTTCTGGTCAAGGCATAAGAGAAACGTTTATTCCTTTAAATAAGAAGTATCTATTTTATAACAGAACATCTACTTGTGCAGGTTACAGTTTTTTTTCTGCATGAACAAGCATATTGCTTTTACAATTTCATTCTACAATACTAATAATACATGTATACTTTCATTTTTAGTATTTAAAACATTGCGATGAGGTTATAGTAATGGAAGAAGGTTGTATCGAGGAAAAGGGTCAACATCACGAGCTTCTAGCTTCAAATGACTTGTACACGAGTATGTTTAAAATATTTGACAAGACAACAATGAAAGTTAGAAAACCCGAGAGTAAGTTTGTTTGTTTGGTCGATTGAATATTAATTAGCAAAATCACTGTAAACGTCTTATGGCGATTTTCAAGATTTTTTCTGGTGGTTGAAGACCTCAGGTGCTCCTCAGTGTATTTATTTCCGGCACCTGAATAGAACCAACAACATGCCAAAGGAAATATGCTGTCACGATAAAAATCTGGATACAAAGTGATCCATCGGAAGCAATAATCTCAATAAAATTACATGAACTTTGCATACTCGGTTCGATTGAGTCTGTACATGAAGGATAATGAATAAGTGCAACATCTAGCACCGGCAAGATGGTTTAACTAAGTTGTGGTGTTTAATATTATACAACCACGATTAAGAGTAAAATAAGTTATTGTGACTATCACTAGTGTCGAAAGTTAAATACTATTATTGTTATTGTCGCAAGTCTTTTTTGTCATATATAAATCTCAACTTAATATTTATTTTTGTTCACGTACTGTTATTTTATTTTAAGTTTGTTTTTGTTTGACATAAATCATATCGCATATCAGCATTTGTAACTGTTTGTTTTGAACCATGATTAATAGATTCAGGCGACGGGGAACCTGGATCTTACATCAAGAGTACACCAATTATAGCAACAAATAAGAAACCTGAAGAAAATGGACAGAAGAAAAACGGGATATTGAAATCATCTAAGAAGAAAAGTAAAGGTCTGTCTATTTATCGTTTGGACACCATTCAAATAGTTTGTTATTAAATAAAAAAACACATATTTCTTTACACTATCGTAGGAACATTCTGTTTTATGTAATGAACTTGATGAATTGATGTGAAAGAACTTGTGTAAACAGAATTCTGAATGTTGCTGAATGATATGTCTTGATGTCTTCCATATCATAAAACAAATAAGAAGGACTTTTACTTCACCAGCATACCATATCATATAAAAATCGCATTGTCCTTTCACCCGCTTCACGAAAATCCGGTTTCTCCGTTCATAGAATGACTTCACAATTTCTCACCCATTTGTTCCACAGAGTCCCACTTCTCCTCTGTCAAGTCCAAATGTTCTCACCATAACTTAGCTGATTGTCCACCTGATGCTTCAAAAATTATAATTGCCAACCGTCGTTTCCTTAATTCTCTTGGATCAAAATAGTTCCGGTCATCCCTATCCCAGCACTCTAGCATTGATGTTTATTCTTGAATTAAAGACATTTTCTACAGTTTTATGAAAAAATAATCCTTTCATAGAATTTTCTAAATTTTTTGTATGATGAGTAAAATTTAATGACAAATTTAAAAATAAAAAGAAAAATATATGTTGACGTGATGGATTTCTTGTAAAATGGCAGTTTCCATGGTAACAGTATATCTAAAAACTGTCAAAATAGCCTAACTGTGTTATAACGAATAGAAAATGTAAAAGATAGCTTAAAACACACAACGAGCATTGTTTTATGCAAAGATAACCTTATCTAATGATTCTGTATGAAACAAATGATAATCTGAACATATTTCTTTAAAAAAAGAGTTTTCCATGTTCCTCAACCGAACAAAAAATGAGAAAAATGAACATGAATTCTCAGAATAATTAGAGATATTGAAAAAAGTGTTTCATAGGATTTTCTAATTTTTTTGTATATTGTGTTTGTGTAAAATTTAATGACAAATTCAAAAAGAAAAAGAAAAATATATGTTGGCGTGTTGGATTTTTTGAAAAATGGCAGTTTCCATGGTAACCGTATATCTCAAAATTGTCAAAATAGTCAAACTGTATTATAATAATGTATAAAATAGCTTATTACACTCACAATAAACATAATTTTATACAAAGCTTGCTTTATCTTAGGGTTCTGTATAAAAACAAACGATAATTTGAACATATTTCTTTAAAAAATGAGTTTTCATGCTTTTTAACTAAACAAAAAATGAGAAAAATAAACATGAAAATTTTCTGTAAAAAATTAAAGCTATCAAGAAATTTCTTTTATAGAATTTTCTACATTATTGATATATCAAGTAACATTTGATTGTGGATTCATAAATAGAAATAAAATATATATGTTGAAGTGTTAGTTTTTTGTAAACGGGCAGTTTCCATGTTTACCGCATATGCCAACTGTCAAAATTACCACGCTTTCTTAAGAAATATCATTGTTATACTAAATGTATTGTCAAATATAAAACATGTTGTAATAAGAATTTCTTTTTCTTTTGATGTTACATTAAGTAAATGATACTGAATATTTTTTTTAAAACATATCTAGGGCCATATTATTTTTTCACTCGACTAACATACCCGAACAGTTAGCAAGTATTCAGAAATTTACAAAGAAAATAATGAAATTCTGAACATTTCTTGGATATTAATTTTTTTTTATTCAACACTTTTAAAATATATCATTTTAAACTTCTTTGCCAAGTTGTCTGCCAGTAATCAAGTCGCGACGCACTTTTGTCACTATACCACAAGTGGGTGGGGTAACGCGCGCAGAATTATCATCAATGCTGTTGTACTAATGCTTGGAGAAATCCTTTATGTGATGTTGTCTAAACGACATTCTTATTCTTTTGAACCAATCTCCTTTTGAACATTTAGAAATATCTATTCTGTATTATTTACTCATTATTTGCTTATAGCCGAAATTTAAACACTTATCCGAATACTATTCAACTTGACCTTCATTTGAAGAGTAATTATCCGTGATTATCTTTCTTGGATGCGCATAACGTTGGCACAGAAAACTACCGAAAACGTCTTTAAATAAAAAAATAACAACTTTAAATGATATATTTTATATAGTGCTTAAAATTTCCGCTTTCAATTTAAAAAAATGAAATCACTTATTGCTTCTAAGTATTTATGCTCTTTTAATGGTTTGTTTTGATAGGAAAGCTTGTATTTGCTGAGGAGGCGGCAATTGGTGACATCGGGTTTGGGACATACTTAGCATACATTCGTGCTGCAGGTGGTTGGTTTGTGACTTTCCTCGTGATCATGTCCTTCTTTATATCAGCAGGATCACTTGTATTTAGTGATTGGTGGCTAAGTCAATGGATAACATCACTTACAAGTGTACGAACTTATTTGCGTTTATCAGTGATATCCTTTACACGATATATTATTGATAATTGATTATCTATCATGAAACACAGTACATCCATAAATACTGCTTTAAATACAATTTTAAAAAATGAATTATAATTATTAACTAGATTAATTTCCTTTACCTAATCTTAAGAAAATAAATTTGAGTAAGTTATCATATTTTTTTCAGAGCTCTGGCACTAAAAGCGGCATTGCAAGAGATAATTCCACGTTTAACACATCAACAGATGTTTCAACATCATCGATATTATTGTCTAACTCTAACAAAAGTGAATACCCAGCAGAAACATCGAGCGGCCCGATCAGTTATGACACTTACTTTACTGTATATATTGCCTCCTTGGCCGGCATTATATTTCTACAGCTCTTCAAAAGTTTCATCGCAGGAAAGGTTGTATAAATTTTTAATTATAACATCCATATATCTTTAGCTTTGAGACCTCAAGAATTAATAACTCACTAGCCATCTTTAGATAAATTTGGTCTTATCCGAGCGAACACCTTATTAACATTTACTCACACTTTTAACATATTACTCATAATCATATCTAAAGATCCTGTGATGAGATTAGTATTTGATCAACTATCTCGTTAGGAGACATGAAATGTGGTTTATTCTAATGGAGATAATCCTTGTCCACGATGTTTATAAATATACCTACCATATATGTGAACTACACGTAACAAATATCCTCTATATAATATTTTTGTAGTCTTTCTTCAATAACTATCCACTGGAAGACGTAATTTGTTTTTTGTATACACTTTTCGTTTAGGTTACCTTGCTGGAAACACTTTGGAGGACAGGATGAAAAGAAATTAAATAAACTGTATAAAAATGAAAGTAAAATTATCTCAAAAACCATCTGTTCATAATTATTGTATAATGCAATTATAAACCATTGTTTTCTTCTAACGTTCCTTTTATATTATCTCTTCAACTTCAAAATTTATACTATAAATGTAATGTGAAATCTTATGTCTCCTTTTATTTAATCTTATGTCTCCTTTTATTAAATGTTTAATGATAAAAAAAAAAAGATTTCAATGTTACATGTATGTTTTAGAGACATGTTATGTTTTATTTGCTTCATAATTTTTACTGCTTGTATAACATGTAATACGACACGACAGAAAAAAGTGAGTATAGTATTCATTTGTGATCCGGAGTGACGTAACTTATGTGCTGGACTCTTCTGGTGTGCCTAATGGTATTTATGCATTGTAAGAACACTTACGCCTAAATAAAAAATAGAGAAATACAACCATATTACCCCCATTTTATCGTTTACATTTCAGGCGGCTATAACTGCGTCAAATAAACTTCATGAAATATGCCTCGACAAAGTGGTTAAAGCTCCAATGTCCTTTTTTGATTCCAATCCAGTTGGTAGAATTCTAAATCGATTCTCTAAAGATCTTGACGAAGGTATTTCAAATATTAATATTGATCTTAGATACATTTTTTACTTCCAAAATCGTAAAATTATACGAATTTTTTGTCCTCCTTGCAGACAGCAAATCTATTATGGATGTTACTTTTTCTCCTTTGTCGCTCTGAATAATACTTGTTCTTTTGCCTTTTAATTGGTAAATGGATATGAAGTATGTTCTTAACAGTGAGTAACCACGTTGCTTTTGCCTTTTTGTGCCTTTTTTTCGAAGAAGTCAAGTTTGATTTCAATCGCATTGCTTGCACATTTAGAAAGCTGCAAAGACATTTGTAATGTACATAAACACTATATACATGAAGGTCCTTTTCATTAACCTAATATGTTACATCCATGTCTTATTGAATATGTTTGTCTTGACATGTAACCTTATATGTGGACTTGAATAGGATTAGGGCATGATTAAGACGTCTGTCTAAACTATTTTTAAACCTATCACATGTAATTGACCATGTAGTTTATATGTGGCTGGGCTCATCTGCCATCTAGTAAAAGAAAAGAAAAGAAAGAATTCATCTTTAAGAACATGCGTTCTATATTATTATAGGTGATGTATTCATACCACAATTAACCAACACGATGCTGCAGATATTAGCGTTAGTTATACTATCTGTGGCAATGGCAGCCTATATTATTCCATGGATTTTGATAGCTATTGTACCTGTGGTCATTGTATTCTATGTCATGAAACAAATATCGACGGTATCAGTACGACAGTTGAAACGGTTAGAAAATATCTCTAGATCACCTCTTATAAGCCACGTTAATGTGACGTCACAAGGATTATCAACAATCGTTGCCTACCGGCAACAAGAACGTTTCTTTGACAGGCACGTGTTTGTATTAATTCAATCAAGAAAATCGCCATAACTCGCGAAACAGTTCTTATATTTCGTTGTTATGCTCCTGAACATATATTACTATTATACAGTCACCACTTCGTCCGTTTTACCGTCCCATTTTAGACCAGATATATTTTCTTAGTAACTTAGTCAATCAAGACTCTCTAGGTTGTATCAGTAACATTTGATTATTTACATATTTTGGTCATGGTTAAATTTCATTATTTTTCTTATAATTTCCACTCCTCATATAGTTAAATAAATTGAGATTAAACATTTATTTGTTCCAGCTATTCCTCAGTAATCATTGACTGTTAAAACGTCATACAAGCTTCTCACCCAAGAGCTACAAATATAAGTATCAGTTTCCGGTTCATAATGACCATCTATCCATTAAGTATATGCGATACTATAGTGGAAAAGATAATCCTTGCCACAGAGATCAAATATTTGAAATGGCATCACCAAGCAGAGCACTTTCAAGATTGTCTACCAATAACTAATTAAGTCTCCATTGAGCATTTGTTACGTTATTCAACCTGTTTTAACAATTTACTGTCTGTGCCGACGACTGTCCAAATATACCACTTATCCACAACTAATGTTTACATATTGTTATTAAATATCAATAGTTAACACAACTGTGCGCGAAACTCGTTCAAAATGTGTTTAATTCTCGTCTTTCCAAAATACAATACAGGTGTACTGGAGTAGGCGACGTTGCTTCTATATCCATATTCTTATTTGAGGCGAGCGTGAGATGGATCGGACTCAGGCTCGACATCATGGCAGCTATGGTAACTGTATCTACCAGCCTTATATTTATGGTTACAAAGGGGATGATACCTCCAGCATCTGCAGGTCTTGTTCTCGGGTTATGTGGAAAGGTAAACAAGCTTATAATACTGCAACTTACATTAAAGTCTTCAAATGGAGGGGTAACGGTAACTCAGTGGTTACAGTAACTATTTCACATTCATTGGTTTATGGGTTCAAGCTTTACTTTGGTCACGGTCATGTTTCCTCATATGGCACCAGTAGGGATTAGTTCTAGTGAATTAAAAAATAAATGAAAATAAAATGCGAGCACTTGTTTCATAATCAAGCTTAAATTTCAGCTTTTAAATCGCTTGGAGCTTTTAATTTTTATGATAAATTAAATGCCATTTACCGGTATATTCTTTTATCAACATCCATACCTTAAGAATATAAACTAAAAAGAAACAAATTCATACTATAAGCTGTATCTTTGTTTAACAATTAGACAGTGAGTATCATCCAATTTATGGTTCGTATGATGAATGAAACAGAGGCCAGGTTTACGTCAATAGAAAGACTCCATGAATACAACACTGTGAGTATTTAATATACAAGTTAAATCAATATATATTAGTTTGAATATAAAGTATTATAAAACATACGGATTTATACTAGTTTCTTATTTTCCCCTTAGTTTAAAGCATAAATACAGATGGCTGATATCCTCCATGCGCATTATGTAAGAATAGAACGGATTCAATTTAGAACTAGCGATCTCTGCAATTTACCAAATATAATAAATACGAGGGACGGCCAGAAAATATCCGGACTTTTTATGCTCCCCTCTTTCCACGTGCAGCTAAATACACACATTATATATTGGTGAAAACTACATTCATTCGCAAATAACGTGGTCAGTTTATTTTAAATGATAGTTGTGTATACACTGTATTTTGTCCTCTGATATATGATGTTTCGTCTATCATGGAGTCTTTGTTAGAGAAACAACGCTCTCTAATAAAGTTTCTGGTTGCAGAAGGTGAAAAGCCCTGCCACATCTTTCAGAGGCTTAAAAAAGATTTTCTGATAATTGTGTATCACGTTCAACCTTCTACAACTGGGTTTCTCAGTTTCGTGAAGGCAGAACAAGTGTTTGTGACTGGCCTAGGACCGGGCGTCCAGCTGAGGCGGTGACCCCAACAATAGTAGCAAATGTTAAAGCTTTTGTCAACAAAAATCGTCGAATAACTTTGGAGGAGGTAGCCAACAAGCATCGGTAAGGCATCGGCACACAAGATTTTACACGAACACCTAGGCATGAGCAAGTTAAGTGCCAGGTGGGTGCCTAGACAGCTGTCCGCTGATCAAAAGGCAACCAGAGTAACCAATGCAAAAGAACATTTAAGTCGTTTTAATCGTGAAGGAGATAAGTTTTTGAACCGCATTATCACTGGAGATGAGATATGGGTTCATTTTTCCGAACCTGAGACAAAAGCTCAGTCAAAGCAATGGAAACGAGCTGGTTCCCCACCTCCTAAAATGTTTAAGCTGTCTTCTTTGGCTGGCAAAGTCATGCTGGTTGCCTTTTGGGATTCACGAGGAATGATACTTACTCATTTCATGCCAAAATGTCAAACTGTCACCGCTAAGTACTATTCTGAAGTAATTCTGAAAAATCACAGAGAAAAGCTGAAGCAAATGCGTCCCAGGTTAGCACAGAAAAATGTCCTCCTTCTTCACGATAACGCCCTCTCCCATACCGCCGCAGCAACAGTGGAGGTTATCAACTCTTGCAAATGGCAATTGTTGTCTCAACCTCCTTATAGCCCAGACCTCGCCCCCTGTGACTTCTATTTGTTTCCAGAACTGAAAAAATTGCTTGCTGGAAAGAAATATAAGACCAGGGCGGCTTTGATATCTGCTGTTACACAAAGCTCCCACGAAGATGGCAAAAGTGCGTAGACGTAGATGGAGAATATTTTGAAAAAGAGTAGAAAGATTTTTTTAAAAATGTTGAAAAGTTTTCGAGAACGAGTCAAAAATCCGGATATTTTCTATATTGCAATTGTTTATTCTTAATATTATCGATTAAACGTATTTTACTGTTACACCAGTCTCTAGTATCGGAACCACAAAGTGCCGAGAAGATACCAGATACAGGATGGCCAAGTAAGGGTTCTGTATCGTTTAAAGATGTCGTCATGAGGTATCGACCAGATATGAATCCGGTCTTGCGCAGTATCAGTTTCGATATAAAACCGAAGGAGAAAGTCGGTATCGTTGGTCGCACTGGTGCAGGTAATATCTTATTTTATACAACAAAATATACGATGATTGATATAATATATATAAGATGTTGTAAAGGCGGGTTTTAATTTTTTTGAGAATACAGTTACGCAGTGCAGGTAAGTCTCCTAAAGCAAAAAAAACAACAAAAAAACAAAAAAAAAAACAAACAAAAAAAATAACATTTCAACTAGACTCGATCTGAAATTGTGTCTGCACCCTGTAGAAAAAAAAACAGTTAATAAAAGCTGGTCAACTTTCTATTTGTTTAAAGCTTGATAAATAGTTCGCAGACATGGCATAATGACAATATGTGATATCATAATGATTCAAAGTAGATTTTCAATACGAAGTCACTTGTCACATACTAGTAAATGTAAATGGTATCTCTTTCAAGGCGGGGATAATCCGTGGCACCATAACATGCTGCCGAGTGAATGGTTTCCTAGAGAGTTCGATTGAAACATTCCGATTGCCCGTTGACCAGGAGTAAATATGTATTGTCGGTTTGTTTGTGAACACCCGACATGAAAATGAGACCATTAGTCCAACGTTTACTTTATTTAGTACATGTTCATTTCAAGGGAAATCGTCTTTAGCTGTCGCATTATTCCGCCTTGTCGAGGTCGGTGGTGGTAGTATTTGTATTGATGGGGAGGATATATCAAAACTTCATCTAAGCATGATACGATCTAAAGTATCCACGATAACTCAGGAACCAGTTCTTTTTGCTGGAACTATTAGGTAGGATTATATACCGATATCATTAACAAAGAAATAAATTTATATAAAATATAAGAATATGATAAAAATGAAAAAGTAAAATGTTAACTTGGAACGCGGTAAACTGATAGTATATAGTTTGCATCAATCATATGTCATTGTGTTCAAGTATTTTGAAGATTTTAAACATTGACATCATAATGTGAGTAATGATTAAGTTAATACAAGTTGTAAAACATCAAAGTTGTTAAATGAGTATGTTAATAAACATTCCAGCTTTTGATTGTTGAATGACGGAACAAAACAGATGCCTAAGATGATATTAGATATGTCTAAGACATATTTTAATATTTGATATTCAACAAATTTGCTTTTTTAAGGTACAACATTGATCCATTTTCTAAGTACTCAGACGACAGTATTTGGGAAGCACTAGACAAAGTACACATCAAAGAAAAGGTTTGATATAAGCTAAGTCAGTATTTTAAAAAAGAAATTGCCGATTGTTAGACCTCTTTCTTATAACTGTAAAGTAAAGCAATCCAAGTTGATATCATGTATATTTTAACTGTGCAGTATGATACATTTCGATGATACATATGTATATGAAAATATGATTCTAAAAAGAAACAGTTCAACCTATTTATAGATTTAGAACACTGGAGTATAAAAGACGTTTACGTATTGGCATTTTAACATATTGTACGAAACAACGGTGTGGACATTTCAAATTCATGCATTCCCGATTCCAAGTTCATGAATTCAACTTTGAGAATTCTCGTTTTGAACCCAACGATTTAAGCTTCGTGAATTGACGATTTCAGCATCACAACTTCAAGATTTTAACTTCACGTGTTGAACCAGTCGTTTTCAATTTCGCGAAGTTTAAATCGTTAATTTATTAACTTGAAATCATGAATTCGTGAAGATGAAATCTTGAAGTTAAAAATAAAGTCATGAAGTTGAATTCGTGAAATCGTGAGGTTGAAATTTTGTATTCATGAACTTGGAATCGGGACTTCACGAAGTTAGAACTGTGGATTCACGAAGATGAAATCGGGAATTCATGAAGTTAAATTGTTTCCGCTGGTCGTTCGTTACTATATACATTTTTTTGCTGTGTTTCAACAAAAAAGAGAACACATCTTGCACTAACGTGCATGTCATAATTATGTGCAATTATGATGTACAGATTGTTGCTCAGTAACTTTGATTTGGAACTTTAACATAAAATAACAGCATGAAATACAAATTTTGTAAAGATATACTTGTAAATGTCTTGTATTCACATTTTAATGATAAATTGTTTTTCTAGATTTTACAGTTTGATGAAGGTTTGGAAGTAATGGTTGACGAGAATGGAGAAAATTTCTCAGTTGGCGAACGTCAGTTAATTTGTTTAGCTCGAGCGGTTATGCGTAGAAGTAAGGTCAGTGGAATGTACAAAATATGTATCTGTTATGTTATTATTAAAGGAATGTGTGACATATTTGTAAATTAGTCTGGTAAATAAGTCTGGTTCTCAGCCAAGGATCTTGAGTTCGAACCCTACATGGTTCACCGCCATATTGTCACCGCAAAAGGTCAGTCAATGAAAGAAATTTGATAGGGATTTATATTAATCGAAGTCAAGCTGAAATGAATATAAATACACTAATAAGGTACAAAAAACCCCTAAACAACATTCAAAAGTGTTTAGCATACATGCATAGCATACATATATACCTATGTTATAACATAGGTAGTCCTTTAGGACTACAAATCCCCTTTAGACGATTTACTCAGAGGCTATTTTAATCTTTCAAACATGTACTTTATCAAAGTACTACAAGAATTTATGCAATTTCAAAATTAAATATAGATTGTTATTACTTTTCAAAGGGAAAGAATAGATTAACGTTCGTTTTTCAAAAAAGTGGAAGATTAATAATATCTGTCATATTTTGCGGTTCGGATCGGAATATCCGTCCCGAGGTGACCCGCCCATTGGGCGGTTACGAGGCTTATCGAGTTACCGCCCATGGGCGGGTGACCGAGGGACGGATATTCCGATCCGAACTGCAAACATATGTCAGATTTCTTGCATATTCTACCATATTCCATTATATTTTAAATTCTTTATCTTTAATTTCAATGGAAATTTATATCATTACAACCGTAACTTCTTTCTTACAACAGCGTATGAATTACAACTTCATTCATAACGGTAAAATGACGTCATCCTGAGCGTGCCATTGTACAGCACGCGACTCATCTGGCACCCCCATGCCAGATGAAATTTCCGGCATGGGTAAAACTCACGGAAACGCCAGTCTGATATGCAAGAAATCTTTTTAAATAACTTTTTTAAATTTCTGTTTATTGTGTTTTAAAAAATAAAATTTTAATAGCTAAAAGTGAACGCCTGAATATTTGTTTCACAGATTCTGCTTCTAGATGAAGCTACGGCCAACATTGACACATCAACAGATGCAATGATCCAAGAAACTATCCGAGAATGTTTCTCAGATTGTACCGTGATAACTATAGCACATCGGCTCAATACGTTGTTACACAGCGACAAAATTATAGTTCTTGATTCAGGACAAGTATACTTATTTTCATGTAGTTTAGCTTGATTTGTTAAATTTCACTTGATTCAGGAGAAGTATACTTATTTTACATGTAATTTAGCTTGATTTGTTATATTTCACTTGATTCAGGACAGGTATACTAATTTTACATGTAGTTTAGCTTGATTTGTTATATTTTACCATTTTCTTCTATAAAGGATGATTGCTTGAGACGAGATTGCATCCCTCAAATGTTTTTGTCAATTTTATATTTATTGTATTACTGACCTATCACTTCTCCGTCTTTCAATATTGATTCTTTTTTTCAAATATAATACAATACAGGATAACATGTTTAAAGGAAAACATCTAATTTTAATGATTTAAATGGGCATTTGTTTTTGTTCTTAAATACTTTTGTCAAAGTTTGTCAGATATTTGTACGAATCGCATTTTATATAATCTAAACATTTGAGTGGCCATACCAATTTCAGATGAATGGTTCAGATTTAATACATTTGTTAAATATATTACTATGTTTTTAACAAGGAAAAGTTCATTAAAAACAAAAACAGCTTTAAATAAAACTAATGTGAATTAATTGATATTTTTTCAGGTAATGGAATGTGCATCACCGCAAGACTTGCTTACTAATACAAACTCGTTTTTTAACGCTATGATAGCCGCCCAGTCAGTTAAAACGTCTCCACCATAGTGACTATCTACAGTTTCATCAACAAATTTGTGTGGCCAAACTGTGTTTATCTAAAACAATACAATTAAACAAAAAAACAACAAATTGTCGTCTTTTTAAATGTAAATATAGAACTGAGAAATATTCAAGTATTTGACATATGTGTTTAGTTAGAGATATTTACAAAATAAATCATTTGAACTCAATAGGATATGCAGTTGTTCTTACTCCAAAATTGTTATCCTCGTTCGTATCATGTCGTGCTATTTTGTCCTTGTGTACATTATCTCCAATTAAAATGTATTTAAATACGTACAGCAGCAATATACTTCTTTTCTTTTGATGTTGTAAATATGTATAGGAGTAAGAGTTGATTTAATAAATTTCAATGAAAAGCCCCTATCAATACGTTTTGTTATCCATGGGAGCCAACGTAAAATGAAAGATCTCGTATAATATATTCCACTAAATATAAAATATATTTGAAAAGAGTATGTTACAGATGCTTCAGTTGCTACAGAAGCATTAGTTTATAAATAGAGGATATTGAATGAGTGTAGGTTTAATACTAAATTTATTGAATGAGTTGAATAAAATCATATTATGCGAGCCTCTGGCGAGCATAATATTGTTTTATTCAACGAGTTTAATAATATTCTATTTATTACATATTAAAAAAAAGAACGGTTTATAGTTCATGTAGTTAAAACGAGTCATTTTTCATTGACGCGCCTCTAGTGTAACGCTATCATTAGCGCGCTTTAACGCTATGTTTCTATATAGCGCAAATAACGTCACGTCAAAGTGTTATTACACAAGTGTAATATCGTTTTATTTGTTTGGGTCGTCAGACCAAACAAATAATGGTAGCGAAATTACAGACTCTAATGCTGTCAATTGCAAATGCCGAGGGTAGTCCGCTTTTTTTGAAGCGGGTACTTCCCTTTATATGTACACTTACGCCGAAAAATTCAGGTAAAGATGGTCAAATGACAGGCGCATTAATTTTCAAGCAAAATAATTCCCGAATGGTCGAAGATTTCTAATAATGTTTTATTCTTTATAGATATACATGCTTATAGTATAAGCTCCATGATTATTTACATCTGTGTTAAACAACAGTTAGCGTCGTTACAAACCCTAATTTAGAATAATACGGTTTTCTTCAGGCCGTTGACATATAAATTCACCGTGGCCGAGGGGTTTTCGCGCTCGCTTAGGGAGCGAGAGGTTTGGAGTTCAAATCCCAGTTAAGACACCTTTTTTCAAATTGTTTAAGTCAAATAAACATTGGATTGAATAGCAGTGTTGCAAATAGTCTTATAGCCAATTTACTACAATTAAAACGCTCGAAAGCATTGGTGGCACTAAACAAAAACAAATTGGTTTATTATCTCACAACCTTCACCTTTCTGACATTCTGAGACCCAAACAAATTCAGCGCCTTCTGTGCTTTGATTAAAATGGCTTTATCACACACCCGTGCCGATTTTGCGTCTCCGTAAATATGGTATTGCACGGTCGTGCATATGTTTTGACGTGACGTCATTAGCGTTATACAAACATAGTGTAAAGACGCGCTAAATGATAGCGTTATACTACCGACGCGTCAATGAAAAATGACTCTTATTTCACTTTATATTGGGTATATGAAAAATAGAATATTAAATTCGTGTAAGTTAATTACTGAATTAAAGATTGCGATATTTTTGTGAGTGACATTTCATAGAATCGAATGCATTTATATCGAAGTACAAACATGCATGTTATTAACCCAACAAATATATATAGCAAGTGATGCGACATTAATGAGATCAGTGAAATATGTTTAAAAGGTAGAATATAATTATACTCAATATTTGACAGTGCTTTTATGTGAATGTAAAATTCTAAAATATGATATTAGTTTGCGCATGATAATTGTTTGTGAATGTACCAAACGACAAATATTTTTGCATAAAATTGCACACTGTAGGTAAATCAAGATAACTCTTTTCCCCACGGATTTGTTTTGACCTTTACATGGGTTATAATTATGTGTATTAAATATTTTATCTTAAGGTAAAGACAGTAGATAAACAATTCCTCAGTATCTAAGGCTTGAAAGATTTATAATTCAGTAAACGAACCGTGCTATATTTTAACCTGCTTCTTTTGATGATAATGGAATGTTATATAACTCAAAATAAAGTTCTGCTGTAATTTAATGTGACGATTTCATCTTAAATAAGGCAAACTCATATATAATGGCCAAATACTTCTGAAATAAATACAGAAAATATGCATATTCATGAAAATTGACTTATGAGAATAACTTATATAACGAAATAAAATAATTGATTGATTTATAATCATATTAGTGATTAGCAACCTTACAATGACCATTGTAATTTACGATTAATAGATTTCACATGATATTCTAAAAAAAAATCAATCCTGTATCATTTTTATCAATACTCTTAGTTTCAGACCACAAGCTTTACACGACAATACTTTTGTTAATGTTGATGTTTTCATACGTATGAGTCTATGCTGAATAAAATTCTAAAATTGTAATGCATTCCTGACACTGCAGTGAGATGACAATTGGACAAAGCTTTTTTTATTTTGATCAAAGGATATTTACATTAAAAAATCAATATACTCTACGGGAATGATAAAAAACGTAATATTTGCTACACGTTGTCGCATTCGATGGTACATTACAAATAAAAAAATATTTGTCGAAAGATTAAGTTATTTGTCGAAATTAACTAACATAAATTTATTTGTGTGCCACCTATCTATTGATCTTGGTACGAAGCTCTTTCTATGACCTACATTAAATGTTGATACGAAAAATCAAGTCGCCAGTTTTATGCTTATCTAGTCTGATCCAACTTCAAGTGTGTCATTGATTACGTCTGATTGTTTCACAATGTTACAAATCTGTACAGAATAAAGCGACACACAATCGCACCATAACAATTATCAAAATGATATGATAAAATCATGTATAGAATAGACTGACTCCGGAATTAAGAATATTTGTGTTTTTCCCCAGCTTATCCGTACGTACAAACAAACTTTTACGGTTACATCTTTGAAAATAAGCGCAATAAGTTGGCGGGTAGTGCAACATGATGCTTTAACGGTAAAAGTTTGTTTGTACCTACGGATAAACTATGGAAAACGCACATTTGCTGAGTTTCTGATGTGTTACACTAACGGGCTTTTAATATATATGATATTAAAGATCATACAAAAATCAATCCGTAGCATATACTTCGTTTAATTAAACACTCAAGAAAATATGCAACGCACTAAAAATTCTGATTATTTTATTACGTTTACAGAAAAAGTGACATATATTTTGTTATCAATATAACAGATAAAAGTCTTTTCGCTGCAAGAGCGAATAACCGTATGTCATCTATCGGCCTCCAACTATTTGACTGATGTCCTGTGGGATGAGCATATGATCAATGCCATGTATGACACCGTTAGAGGCCAATATGTCAGCTTTTACAACGTTGGCTGTGTTTATCCTAACACCTGAAAAATAGATTCATAGACATTCAAATTTAGAACATTTTCGGTGTATTTATATACATGTGCACTCTAAAATTTATATCGATGCAAGCTGAATGACCCATATTAGACCTATTAAGTCTATGAATATTTATTTAGAAGAAGTGTTGGCAGAGATGTAATTAATCGAATATTTTTGTTTCAAATAATCTTTGCAATTATAAAATGAGATATGATTTTGCCATTCCTTTTTGTTTAAAAGATGAACTAATTTTTCAGCTATTTATTCATATAATTACATGTACTTTTGAAAATTAAGTTCAATTTAAATTTTCGTATCAGAGATAAAATAAGGGATACTGTTTTTTTTTAAGTTCATAAAAAAATAACGATGACGACACAACAACAACAACAACAACAACAACAACAACAAAAAACGTTACCTGATCCAACTGTAATATTCAAAGGAGTTCCATGAAGTGTGTAAATCACTTGTCCATTCCTTAACTCACTAGAACGTCTGGCACCAGGGGCAAAGTGATATTTTAACACCTCTGTAATACACGGTATTAAATAAATACGTATTGCTAACTTTCTACCTAAGGTATTTTCAAAAGACTTTTGTGACATCATCATTGCAGCAATACGTGTTTCGGCGTGTTCTTACCATGATAATGTTTAGAGGACACTATTTGTGTTCATAATATATGCTCAAATGGATCAAATAGATCACATAAACCATGTTTAATAATTACTACCAATTACGGTCATTTTCCATCGTACAATGCGAATAAAAACATGTACACCACGATACAAATCTTGAAAAACTTTAATTACATTTCAAATTCGTTCACAATATAAACATTTATGTTTTCTCTACGAATAAGATGTGCGAAACAATCTCCTCTGCTTCTGCGAATGTTTCTTAACTCTGAACACCATTGGCATGTTTTAAACTAAGGTTCTGCTTTAGCCTTTGCTGTAGGTATGTCTGCAACATGTGACGAATGTTTCCACTCTGAGCTACTTCATTTGGGATAAATAGGTACATTTTTCAAAGGATTGTTATGATTTTTACAACTCTGAATACAGTAAATTCACGCAATCAGAAATATCTAGATGGTAAGTAACATCAACATAATGCTTGCTACAATGCAATTTCTTGTTCTTTTAATACAGTCTTTTTTATCAAATGACGCATAACTATATACGAGGCGTATTTAGTATTTTATATTGCAATTTGAAGATTTATATTTACTTAATACGTGCTCACTACCACGAATCTAGTTTTGATTGTAAACTAGTGCATCTTTATCTTTTTCATTTGTCGATTCATATTTACCTTGATAAACTCTCTTGGCATCTGGGTCATTAGGGTTCAACAAATTGTCCTTGTACTGCTCGAATGCCGCATTTGTTGGTGCAAATAAGGTAAATTCACTGCCTATAAATATAACAAAATAGCATCAAAATCCCCTTTCACAATTAGAACATACGACTATGCATTAATACTCACAATTGCTTAAAAATAATTCTGATTTCAAGTCATAAAAAAATAACGATGCTATAGTAACGTACAATCTTGTTTCTATTTCCTGGTAATAAATGATGAATTATATATTTTTTTCCAATAATATAAATCCATCAAATTAATTATTTAAAATATAAAAATAACAACCTAGGGGCATACCTACTAAAGCGTAGACACTAAGTCTGCAAGCAACAGGGCCAACGTAAGGTCAGCAAAATCTGAATCTCTGAGGAGAATTTGGTATATATTATGTTGTATAAATACAGGCGGTGTCAGTAACATGTCAATGGGCTGGATAACGCCATTGTTGACAATGATATCATTATGTGTGGTACTAATTCTCGCATTGCCATTTATCAATATGCCCTGGAGTTTATGTAAAATATAAAAAGATATATAGGTATAAAAAGAGCACGTGCATATTTAGTTAAGAACAGACAATTAAGAAACAAGTTAATTTATTTCAACTGAAAAAGTCAGTCATAAAACAAATTGCAAACAATTTACACGTCATGGAACATGAATTTTAACAGATATTTTTAGACTAAGTAACTTTTATTATAATTTTACTTTAAACATAGTAATATTTAGTGCTTTATGCTTTTATATCTTACAGATGGAGACGGCGTTAGAGCTATCGATTGCGCCTCCAATGTTGTTTTATTTGTAGGTACATTTAGCATTGGCACCAATACAAATTCGGCTACAATATGGTATCTCATAAGTTTCGCCAATTGTTCCTTCGTGTAATCATTTACGTTGAATGCCGAGAGAGCTGTGTCAGTCGGGGCAAATATTGTATAAGGTCCTGCAAAAAAAGAGTAAATTAATGACAGCTTCTTACCCATAAATGTTGAGAAAAGCTCAGTATTTTTAACATGCTTTACTTTGAAACATATTTATTCGTAGCGTAAAAACGACGATGACCAACATTCTTAAAGTTTGAAATAGACGTTATCTTGAGCTCGGCAAATGTGGTATTTTCCCCCAGCTTATCCGTAGGTACAAACAAACTTATACCGATTGACAAATACACATGGATTAGCAAAGATTACACAAATATTTGAAAAAAATGATAAACAGCAACTCCAAGTAGGCGAGACAATATACACTCGATGACACATTTTTGAATAGGTATATAGATAGATAAAAATTTATTGCGGTAAATTACACAGATGATTGTTCCGTTGACGTCAAAAAAATGCAATATTTACACTATAATTCGTTTTTGAGGTCACAAGATAACATACACGAAATAAAGATAATTGAAAAGTCTTGATTTTATTCTTCTTGAACAAAAGTCATTGTTAAAATATCAATTATTTTGATTTATTTCAATTTTTTTTACCTCATTACCTCATATTAGATCAAAATTTGCCTCAGGGTAAATTAAAATGAGCAACGCCATGACAAAACCAGCACAGTGCGTTTACGACGAGCATGGATCAAAACCAGTCTGCGCATAATAGGGTTTGCAGGCGAACAGCACGGATCCTGATATGACTGCGCGGTCTGGTCTGGATTCATGCTGGTCGCGAGGGTGTCTAACATGTAAAAAAAATGTTAAAAAAAAGAATACCTAGAACATAATGATACTAATTATACTAATTATTATTATTCATAATACTACGACGATAATTAACGGAAAATTATATAGATGATATATATAAATGTGGTTTGGATATTTATATCGTTAAGAAAAAAGTTTTTAAAGAATACACATTAAACGAAACGCTCATTTGCAATTCTATCTATTTAATGTGTTGGCCTATTTCTCTTATCATAATACTTGTGTTGATATGTGGATTAAATAAAGTTGAGCCTCTTATCTCCACTACACTGTATCGTCTGCACTAAGTCCAATATTGCCGTCAATTTGTCATAACAAAATTTGATATCATTTGAAGTAATTTATTATTGCCGAGATCGAGGTTAACTATCATTCTGAAAAAAAAATCAAGACACGTGATAACTAATGCATTTCAATTTTTCAGTTTACCTGATTTTATCCTAAGTTTATCCGATTCATGCCAAACAGAAAAATTTTAAGTCACCAAAATATATTTACATAATTTTTCAAATATTGATAAATTAAAATTGGTTAACACGCACACTTTTAATCATTCAGTTCCTCGTAACACATGTGAATGCACTTCACACTATTTGTCACTTCACAAAATCAATAAGCATTGATGAGATCGGTATACGTAAAAGTTACTTAAATTACGATTTGCATAATTTTACGTGATTAACTATGTCATGGTACTAAAACGTCCTGGTTGAATGATAATGTAAACTAGCTTAATGTTGTAAATTGTAAATGTTGGACATTTGGTGTTATAAATTCTATTTACAAAAATAAAGGGGATGCGACTGATCCTTCGAATTATAGACCAATTAAACTTTTTAGTTGTTTGCTGTTTTAAATATTCGACATCTAATCATGATATTATAAATGAATATCAGGCTGGTTTTAGAAAAGTTGATTCAACAATTGATAACATGTTTGTACGATTTGGTCAGAAATAGTAAAAACAATTGTTTTGTGCTTTTATCGATTTGAAATATACTTTCGACAAAGTTTGGAAGCCAGGTTTATGGTCAAAATTATTATGGAAAATTTATAAACACATTAAAAACATATATTAAAATGCAAAGTCATGTGTATGTGTTAATGGTAATATGTCTGATTATTTCATATGTAATATTGGAGTACGTTGCTTTTACAAATTAATATATTATTGTATCATAGAGTGGAGATCTTTCTGAGAGTTAAATCGTATACATATACGAACATGCACAGTGCGTTAACTGGTGTGCAGGTATTATTTACCCGCACTTAAGAGCATACCCATTGATTGGGGATTCAGTTATTGTGACGGCAGAGAAAGGGATAGCGATAGAAATATCATATCTAATTGCTCGTTCATTGGATTTTTTTTCTGAGGTTTCATATTGTGACAACAGGGAATGTGCTTTTATTTTTGCCTATGATACAAAAGAGAAAGAACATCAAAACACTCGGCATTCTGATTAAGCTCCCTCAAATAAAGCCCCGTGTTTCGATTCCTTTCTATTACGTAAACACACCGGATGACGTGGAATTAATTTACTTTTCTATGAATTAGTTTTACAATACAACTTTTTGTGCAAATCTACTGCTTTAACACATCCCAGAAAAATGATTAAATAAATAAATAAATAAATAAATAAAAAAAATAAATAAAAAAAAATTAATAGGCATCACTCACGTCAAAGCATTATGACGTCTTTTGACGTGTATTCGCTGAATCATTTTAACTATTCAAAGTTACCCTGGATGCGACTCAAATAATCGTTTAAATATCTTTAATTATCAAGTAAATGATCTTTCTTTTTCATTGCTTATAGCATTTGTAGTTATAATGTTCACATACTTCTTTTTAGATTTTCTTTAATACTGTGTGGTACAGACACTGGCCAAATAACCAATATGCAATTGACAATATAGGAAATATTAATTACATTGCTTAAAAGCCTTACTATCTCATGTTATTCTGATAAATGTCTTACAAATGTTAGATCAGACCTTTTCTTTCCTCTTATAGGAAATGGGTTATTCAGAATTCCTCAATTCGTGTTTTTATCACAGACACCCGTATTTCCGCTGGTAAACATCCGCTAATATTCCTTTGTTAAAAATTGACTTTGAAATACTAGGCTTATAAAAAGAAGACATGGAGATATCATAATTAATTTGGCATAAGGTATGCACATGTCTATTGTAAAAATCAGCTTCTGCCTTGTTCAAACCCTAATATATTTATCTCGACATTTCGTTATCTCGATATTTTTTGGACGGTCCCGATGACTTCGAGATAACGAGAGTCGACTGTATACAAAATCCGTATTTGCAAGAATATGTTTTTTTTCGTCTTTAAGTTCTACAACGTATACGGACTTGTAATAAAAATTCCGTATTTTAGTCAATTACGGACTTCGTACAACAAAGTCTGTATATTAGGAGGGTACGGATCACTGTATACTAGTCATATACGGACACACATAGTATTATCCCGTACATCTCCGTATTTCAAATTCCCCGTATTTCCATCCGTGTTTTAATGATATACGGAATTCCGAACATTTCCGCAGTGTGAAAGAAAACATACATTGTATTTCAACACATATTACTTTAAATATCGTACGTTGTAAGCACAAGTCAGTCAGCTAACGAATTGAATGTCCTTTGATATCAAACCGCCAAAATACTGTGGTTATTCAGTTTTACGATACCATAATTTCCTGTTTACTGAAATAATTGATATGCTAATTAGTTGAGACTGGGTATGGCAAAACATTTTATAATACGTTGTGGCTGAGGGGTTGCCTTTATAGGTTGAGGCATCAGAATTGCAGCCACAGTTTAACCCTGCATGATCGTAAGAGGCGACTAAATGGGTTCGAATTATTGGAGTCTATACATCTCTTAGCTCCAGCAGGTGAAGTGGTTTTGACCCTTGGTGTTACTTAAGTTTGTATCACCTGAGAATGACCAAAATCATCTTTCCTGTTTCGGCGCCCAATGACTTCAACTGTGTTGGTGCGCCGTAAAACCAAACCAAACAAGCAAACAAACCACCGGGTTTGAAAAAAAAACATTTTAAAATACGTACCACTACCGGCAAGTGTGCCGGTAAGACCAGCAGCAGTTAGCGCCTCAACCAGTTTAAGATAATTATTGTCTTGTAGGTACTGTATTACAGTTTTATCCTCAAATCCAGAGATAAATGCCACTAAACAAGAAAAGAAAACTATTTTCAACGCCATTGTGTGTATGTCAAGCTTTGGCACTCTGATACCGTTTTACACGAACACTTCGTAATCCCAAATTGGTATTGTAATAGGCCATGCGCAAAATTTGCGATAAGAAGTCATGAAACGTTATCTTGAATGTATTGCATTCCACAATATCTCTGGTACATTATGTAACATTTTTGTTTCTTTCTTTCATTGACATGTTTTAAAGGTTGTAGTGCATAATCAATTCATCTTGTAAGCGCTTTAACTATTAAGGCAATAAATTAAGATGTGCGCAAACAATATCAATTCGAATCATGTCACGTTATTTGCTTTTGTTTTGTGTTGCTTTATATAATTTTCGGATGGTTATTCGAGGTTTCTCTGAAAATATAAATGTTGGAAAGTTTTATACCACAGGCTTTTGAAATTAAAAACGAAAATATAAATGTATATCATAGAGCTCAATATTTATTGTAAGTTCATTTCATAACACAATAGTTTTTGCTATATGTTTCATTGGAAACGCAATATCTCAAAAATACATATGTTGTAAGGAATGAATATCATACTGTAAAACCGAGAAGCATTTCACTATTTTCCATTCCCGTGTTATAATGATCAATAAGACACAAAATCGAGGAAAACAGTCGTGAGAAACATGCTAGAACCAAAAACGACGAGCCTTTCTCAATGGTATTAAACAAGACAAGCCTGCACATCCGTGATGTCCGGATAGGCTTAATATCAATGTTCTATTAATTATAGACAGTTAGGAGAATGGAACCTAGACAATGTCATTTAAAAATTCATCAGGTAATAAGTTAATGAAGCTTGTGGATTGCTGGACTTTCATAAGGAAGATATTTTTTCTTCGTTGTATCATTTACAATAAAACTGTTGAATTTCACTTCTAATGTATTACTTGATTAATGGGCCTTCCTGGAGCAGCCGATTACTAACTACACTCTATTCAGTGGATTATTATCGTTATCTGTGAACAAAGTTAAAGAATCGTAAAGTTATGTAACAAAAGAATGCATAATCAAGCGACTAAATATTTGCGGACACATGCAGATATTAACAAACAAGACTTAAAACAAAACAATGTTCATAAATAAAATGGTACAAATAAGATAAAACTGATAAAAGATAAATGTAGCCGATCGTGTAGCTCAAATAACTGTTCGTCAATGTACGATTTCTTCCTATTTCCTTCCACCAACTATCTGGTAAAGGTCTTGAGGAATCAAAACGTGGTCGATAGCATGAATAACCCCGTTTGTTGCCATTATATCTGCTTCTATAACATTAGCATTGTTTACTGTAACACCTGTATACAAAAAAAGCATTATATATTGTTAACTAAAACAAACAACTTTGGAACATAAAAGATGAAAGAATAAGTCACGCAAAGCTTGAAAAGAAACTGAAAACTTAAAGCATATAATGAATCATTTATTTAAATTTATAAACATCTATTATTTATCAATAATGAGCTTTGTTTTATATATTTCTATTACATATCAATATAAAATATCTGAATCTGATTTAAGATCTTCTATAAACACAATTTACGGACGGTAAGTATTCATCTATTTTAACGTCTCCCAACTGTGTTCGAGTAAATCAATGTTATGGATTCATAGTCAACATCCAAATGAGCATACTGCTGTGTTTCCTGCGCCGACATGTATATACTGGTACAGATGTCGACGCTTGAACTGCTGTCTGCCCATATGATTTTAGGGTGTGATCTGATAAACACTTTTCTTACTTATGTAACGGACAAATTACACAATTCTTGTTTGTGAACAACCGCGTTGAAAAGGTCAATGAAAAAATCTAATTGTTTAACATTTATTTTCTGACCTGCTCCTATTGTAATATTGACTGGTGTTCCATGCAATGTGTATAATGCACCTGTTCTTAGAGCACTCGCAGGTCTTCGTCCGGGCACTACATGGTATTTGAGCACCTCTGTGGCAAACACATTAATATGTATAGTCCAAATGACAAAAGTACTGATTACTGATAAGGAATATTAATAAGTCTAACATACATACTGATTTATTAGGAAAACAGTATTTTCATTTATAGTGAAATTGATATAATTTAAGTACGAAAAAATAAATAAAAAAAAAATATTAATAAAATAAATAAATAAATAAACAAATAAATAAATAAATAAATAAATAAATAAATAAATAAAATAAATAAAATAAATAAATAGATATTTACATTGGGGTGTACAGGTTTTTCTAGCACCGCTGTAAACAGTAGATAATCATGTCTGATATGCATGAATGTGCTCTCTTTTATGTGCGATAAAAAAATTATTCACTGTTACATTTCATTAATAGTATGTTAAATTTATCAATTATCAAGGCGAGTAAGTGAAAACTTACCCTGTTATCGATAATCGTGTAAACTTACCTTGGTAGACTCTTATTGCATTCGGAGCAGTAGGGTCCAACAGATTGTTCACGTAAAGGGCAAAAGCAGCATTTGTAGGTGCAAACAAGGTCATTTCAATTTCTGTAAGAAGATAACATTTAATTTTTCAATAATTATTTACATGTATTTATATCAAGTATACAATAAAAATCATATTTTCAAGCATAATGAATACATGCGCTTTCTTGTGCCATAATAACAATTATTTTTATCGACCACAGAAAAAAACTCTCAGAAGGTATTTCTACCGTATATCTTATGTTATTCGAATTTTTCTCATTTGAGGCATTTGGCTTTTTAAGTAGCATGAACAAATCCATTTTTGTATGCTTTAGAAAGCAATTTTTGGCATATCCTGATGAAAGTACAGTGTAAAACCGAATCTAAAAAATGAAATATTTTTTTCATCAACAAAAAGCGGTGGTGACGTGGTTTCTTCCCTTAGTTTTCGTTTTGTTTTCCTTAATTTGTGTATGTTTTACAATGTGAAATGATATTTCATTGTAGTTTAATTTGCTGCTCAGGTGCCCGCTCGTGCCTGAAATAATGCACGGTGTTGTACCCGAGGACGACTTGCTGTATCAGTAAAGCTACAAAGTCGCCATTTGTCATTTTCTGTGTTGGTTCGACGTAAAAGCGAACAAAAAGGAAATGTAGAAATCTGCCATTCAAAAAAGTAACTGTTCGGAATTTGTGATTTTTTATCCACTTAATTTGTTCACAAAGTTACAAAACTCAATTACAAACTTCTAGGTTACTATGTAAATTGAATCTGGTTACATTAAAATCAAAAACATGTCCATCCGATGAGGTCTTTCAAAAAATATAGCGAACATTTTTTGTTTGGTCCTTAAAAGAAGTTTTCTTGTAGTATAAATGAAACATTTCTTCCTGTTAAGCCAATTTTACACAGGCCTATCCACCTAGGGCGGCTTTCCCGGATAGTACGCCAGTAATTACCAAAAAGAAACATGTCTTACGCTCTAGGTCATTGGTAATATTGGCTAATAAACTGGCAAGTGCTAAATTTTGGAAACGATTGTCTCGGAGGAGAAGCTGGTAAATATTGTATGTAGCAGGTGTAGTTGGGGCTGCGGTTGGCGGTGCTGTAGGGAGTGCCGGTGGTATAAGAATACCGTTGATTGGCTGAATCACTCCGTTGTTTACAATGACGTCATTTCCTCCGGCCACCACGTTTGCGGGATAGGCTTGACCTTTATTGATCAATAAACCCTGCAATGGTAATAATTTTTATCCTTTATGGCAATGAGACGATATTTACATTGGGACTTAAACAAAGCATTTTTGCAATAAGTTGAAATATTCATTATTTTAACTGGATCGAGTATGAATTAGTTCGTATGTTTTTCTTAGAAACACAGGAACTGCAGATTTACAGTATTCGTTGGGTATACCAGTTGGGGACCATTACAACCGGACAACCATCGAACCCTGACGCCCTGAAAATGCTTAATTAAGATTTTTTTCTTTGTTCAGTCGTGTTCGATCAATCAGCCCCTTTTTCATCAACAGTAAATGCATGTTTCTTTTATAAATAATTAATTCAATTTATTATTTTTCTTTCGTAAATGGTAAAATTTTAATGTCTACTTCAAGCACGTTTACGTTAATAATTTGGACGTCAAGAGTGCATAGCCTAACCTTTTTTACTAGCTATAATCATTTGAAGAGCAAAGAATACTCAAAACTTTAGGATTTGCTGCTGAAAAAAATGTATATCGTGTTAAAAATTTAAGTAAAACACCAAAGCTATTAACTGGATTAAATCGAGGCCATGTATCTGTCCGGAATCATGGTACTCTTATGTGGACAATTTAGGTAATTTTGATACCTTTCTTGACGAGCTTGCGGTAAAAGTGTCAACATAATCAGAAATAAACAAACTTGTAGAACCTGGCTGTGCTGTGTCAAATTTTCAGATATTATGAAATCTGTACGGAAAAAAAAAGTTCGAAAAGTGTCCGATTGATGGGTCCTGAACAATAATATACAATTTGTATTTTCTAGTTTTATTTCATTGATTATATCTTGCAAAAAAGCGGATAACTTACTCCATCAGAAACTTTTTGTTACAAGTGAAGAATAAAGTGGTTGTATAAATCTAAACCTATACAATATGAAAATATTAAAAAAAATTTAAAAAAAAAATGAAAAGAAAATCACTTACTCCTCCGGATTGCTCGAGTGTTAAAGTTTGATTATTAAGCGTCCTTTTTGCTGCAGGCTGACTAATTTGTGGTACAAGAACAAACTCGGGGACCACATGATATGTTAATATACTTATTAATTGATCATTGGTAAAACCAGAAACGTCAACATTTCGCAAAGCATCGTCTGTCGGTGCAAATACAGTGTATGGTCCTGTAAATGAGATGAAATCTTATCTAAACATTTATGCAATAGAAAAGAGTCAAATAAACACAAACTAGTAAAGATTGAAACATAACAATTTGAGCCGTGTCACGACAAAACCAGAATGATGGCTTTTTGACCAGCATGGATCCAGACCAGCTTGCGCATCCGAGCAGTCTGATCAGGATCCATGATGTTCGCTATCAGTTTTACTGTAAAAGAGTTTGTAAGCGAACAGCATGGATCATGATCAGACTGCGCGGATGCGCAGGCTGGTCTGGATCCATGCTGGTCACAAACACACTTTGTTGGTTTTGTCGCGACGCGGCTCAATTTTCTTATTGACTACATAGCTGTAGCTTAAAATGGTTTTGTTAAGTCGAGTGGCTTCTACATACGTACCGTCTTTATCTAAAGCAGCATCCAGGCCAGTAGATTGCAGTAAACTCGCGAGGGTCACAAACCCAGGCGTATCCTTTAGGTATTGGGCAACTGTTTTATCTTCATATCCAAAAGACAGTCCTATCAAACATATTAGTATAAAACACTTCATTTTGATACTCGATTTGTACAAAAGAAACCGCCTCTAGTTATAGGTTTCGTAAGACTAAAATCAGACCAAAGTGAATTAAAGAGTTCAGGTACAGGGTATCAAATGTCAAAGGTCAAACATTGAGAGTGCCCATTGTCCAGAGGTAGTATTGCCAATAGCTGAACCATATGGACTGTCACCTCGTACATTATATCTACCTTTAACTTACAGTTTGACTCGTCCCTCATTAATATTCATTTTCAAATCTAAAGTGGGTAAAATTCAGTGAAAGATCACGTGTTTGGCTATGAAATATTCATGTGCTTATCATTAGAAATTCCATCGTCACCTTGGCTGAGCTGTATTTACCCTCATTAATATTGAGATGGACTTTAGTCAGTGTTTGTTTTTGTTTAAGAGTTTACTTAGTTTAGGTACAAAGATGATTTGGAGACGTCGTACAGAGTGATAAAAGTCTTCTTTTAAATAGTAACACAACCTCAACCTAGTTATTTCGGAATTCGGTGTTATCCTCTCTCATTTTTGATAATAAACAAAGTTAACAGATAACCGAATGACCAAGCACACAAAATAAAAAAAAACTATGTTAAAATATAGGTAAAATTGAAATACAGCTGCATGCTTAATCTGGGTTCTCGTAGACTAGGACAATTGGATCAAAAACCAACACAAATGGAAGGATCAGAAATATGTGGAAGTTAACATGATAATTATTCTGCGATCTCATATCCGTGAAATTTCATACTTTTAAATGATCAAATATTTCCACTTTGACTATCAATTAAACATAAAATAATTTTGGACACTTTAAAATTCAAAGACGACTAACTCTTCAATGCAAATTGATATTAACCCCTTCATGCCGACTATCATATAAAATGGTGTACCTTTTCTTTTTTTTCTTCTTTTGTTCTATGCTTTATGAATTAATGAGTTCGTTACTAGCATTTCTTCTTTTTGGGAAACTTCTTATAACCCTTTCTTTTTTTCAGTACAGCTTTTGTATGCCAGGGGTAGAGACTTGAACAGACTTCATCATTTCATATAGTACGTGTTATCGTGTTATTATAAAATGTTGGAAACTGAAGAAGATATTATAGTATTCTGTATTAACAGCTACAGAACGAATACATATGAGGGATAAAATCTTGAAACGTTGTTTTATAATCTTAGTATTGCTGAATGCGTCTAGTACTCTTCTTTAAAAAGTCCACCCTACATACATGTAATCTTAAATACAACTGAATATTTTAAGTAAAACAAAATGCAGGCAATCAAAATCACAGTTTATTCAAATACAAAATGACGCTTGATATTTTGTTGATAACAGCATTGTCATTTTCCTGTTTAACTGCTGTATTCATCTCGAACGGTACAGCGTTTCCATCATCTATTCACCTAAAACGGCACAGATTCAACTTGAACGGCCCAGCGTTGTCATTTTCCATTCATAATATTTTTTTCTGTTACAATGTTTGAATCAATTGACAAGAGAAAAAATATGTCAGTTTTATTTCATAACATCTATGGTTTGTGCACAAAACTTGCGTGTAAAATACGGAGTGTCATAATATAGCATCGTATAATTTTCGTAATTGATTATATTTAAGCAGTAGGCGTCCAAATATAAAGTTTTGAATATAATATTTTTTATGATGTTTACAGATATATTAACAATTAGATGATCTAGTTACCCGAAATACCATCGACAAAAAGTATCACTCCAGCTGATACTACTTTTCTCTTTACATAGAGGATATTTGTTTAGTGCCGTGTAAGATCGGAATATATTTCACCGAATGAGCGAAAAAAGGTATATTTCTCGAGTGGCGCAGCCACGAGTGAAATATGAACTTTTGGTGTTCACGATGTGAAATATATTTTGATCTTACTTTAAAGTGAACAAATTTTCTTTTTATTTTATGCAAAGGAAAGTTCAAAAAGACATTTTAACCTAATTCTAAATGAAACGGGCGCCAAATAATAATACAACATGACGCCATTTACGACGTCACGTCATAAAGTTGGTTCCTAGTACTGAGAACGCTTGTATTTCACTGAAACAACGTACCGGGCTCAAATATTCAAAGCAGTGAAATTATCAAATTGATAATTTCACTGTTTAAAACAGTGAAATAATCAGTTTTTATTTCACTGATATATTTCTATTAACCACCAAAAAGCATGTAATAAAATCGATTATTTACAATCCGGTCATTGGGTAGACGATATATCGACATTTAAAAATGTCTAACCAGTACTTGTACCTTCTTCCGATATTATCGATCGGTTATTATAACTGCTGCTATTCTGTTTATGCAATTCATCGATGTGATTGACAATCATACCTATTGCTATCGCGATTTATCGATAATAATTATTATTAGTAGTTTGGCATGAGCAGGCGTAATATTGAACGTGTCAACTGAGAACATTGGCCTCTGGATTATAAAACGATAAAACGTTCACAATTCTCAAAAGCTTCGTTGTCTAGTGTACATTTTCTGTGCATATTACTGACCAAACAAATGCCTTAGATTAAATTAAGTTTGAACTGAATATTTCGTTATAACCTCAGGCCTAGAAACGCGGTACGTTGAGAATAAAACATTATGAAATATTTCGTTTCCTGCAAAAATTGATAGAATATATATATATTTTTTATTTTCAATTGGCCGGTTAGTTTTGTTTAAGATACAGAAGGATATTGAATGAGCGTAGGTACAATACTGAATTTATTGAACGAGTCGAATAAAATTATATTATGCAAGCCTCGGACGAGCAAAATCTTATTATTCACGAATATAATAATCTATTTATATATATCACATACTCAAAATAAAGACTGTTTAAAGTGCAAAATCATTTCTTATTGGTGCACCTATAGTATAACGCTAACACCAAGCACGTTTTTTACACTATGTTTGTTTAACGTAAATGACATCACGTCAAAATATACAGCATGGCCATGCAGTATATATTGACGGAGTCACAAAATTGGCACGGGTAGGTGATAATGACGTATTACCCATCACCTTTAATAGTCAATAATTGAGTTTATTTGTCTAAAATGTTATTTTCGTTATCATTCTGCAGACGGTTTTGAATAACATGAAACAAAGGTAGTGTAAACAGAGATTTTATAATGTTATCATAAGAATGAAACGTGACAAAGGTACACGTAAAGGAACAGTAAGTATCCAAATCGAGCCATTGTCACGTTTTTGTCTACACTGTAAGATAAGAAAAGATCACTGCACATGAGAACATATCCTTCTTGTTCAGTCAGTAAATGAAGATGTTACTCAAGGCACTTTTCGTCTTTGGTGTTAGTTTGACCGTAGTTCACGCATTTGAAGACAAAACAATAGCGCAGTGGTTGACGGACAATGGCTACAGCACACTAGTCAGCCTTTTAAAACAGGCCGGACTTTACGATGTACTTAACAGCCCCGGTAAGAGTTGAAAATATGTTTATTTCAAGTGTTGCTCGATTACCAAGCAGTAGTTTATATTAATGTTTATAACTGCTCATTTGGCTTAATATGACGATTTCAAAAGATCAAAGATACGGTGAAATATACCAGATTGTGCGATATAACGAAGTAAATAACACTGACTTTATATGTATAATAACAATGTTAATTGAGACTGTGGTTTTAAAGTAACAATCTAAAGAACCTTAATGTATTCTTAAACATAAAATGAACACGAGTTATATACGAAGGATAGGTTTATAAACAATATCAACGATAAAAGACACTTTGAAATTTGTCTATTTCAGGTGCTTATACATTGTTCGCACCATCTGAAGCGGCGTTCGGCAAGGTGCCCCAGAGTTTACTTAGTACATTACAATCAGATAATGCACTGTTACAATCGGTCCTCAAGTATCACGTGCTACAAGGTTATACTTTGAGCCCTACAATAAATAATGGTGCCGCGAAAACGACCCTTAATGGCCAAGATGTTACTTTCAAAGTGTTTGCAAACAGGGTAATCGTCAAGTCTTTTTTCTTCTTCATGACTCGTCATTCATTGTACTTCCATGTCTAATTGTTTTAATACATCTTGTAGTGTTTTTTATAAGCCTTTGGTTTACGTTCATTCTTTAATCAAATTGTTTGTTTTGAGAATTTTACTCTTTAAAACGGAACGTATTCTTCAAGATTATTTTCATTATTTCAAATGACGATAAAAATCGATGTTCATCTTTTTCAAAACGTTTTTAAAGCTTTATTGTGTATTTGCTTTAGAACACTCAGCTTATTTTGTACTAAAAATCTGTATTTGTACTCGATAACCTTTTCAAGCACTTTACTTTACCACAGACTATAATGGTGAACAACGCTGTTGTAAAAAGTGGTTCCTCTGATATCATCTTGAACAACGGAGTAATACATGTTTTGGACTCCGTGTTACTGCCAGTCACAGATAAGGTTGGGGAAATTTTGTTGAAGAGAAACGATGAATTCAGTACCCTCAATTTACTTCTGACCATTACGGACCTTGCTCCATCCTTGTTAGGTTTGTGAAATTACTTAAACAACTATAAAATTAATGCTGATCTTGTGTTATTTCTATGTTAATGAGCTGATTGAATCTAGACAAATTTAATTCAATCTGACTTCAATTTATACTTAGTTTGCTTTATTTAATAAATAAGTGGTATGCAATTCGATGTGATAAGCGAACCTTTCGAGTCAGAGTGGCTTTAAAGGTAGTTTACTCCCCACTGCTTTTTGTTTCGAATCCCCCAAAGGACTTTGGATTCTTGCATGTTGAAGCTATCCAGCCATCTTACGAACCTTTGGCGGTTCTACTTACCTGCCGGTGTGTGCCTGTACTAGTTCAAAGATTGGCATTTTAGGTATTCCTCCACCAGTAATTCTAGAAAATCGCCATATAACAGTGCAGGTGCGACGTAATTCCAACAAAAAGAATAACAAATATTTATTCTAAACATTTTATTCAACTTAATACAGTGTTAACAAATGGTAACCTTCTTCTGAAAAAGAAAATTTATATATAGCAAAAATACTTAGATAATAGGAATTAAACTTCTTGAACTGCATAACGAAAAATAACGTTTTAATAAAAAATTGTTTGACACATTTTTTGTGATATACATTATCATTTAAAAAATTCAGCAATGTAACCATTTATTTCTTTACGTAGCCGGAAATGTTACTTTGTTTGCACCAACAAATGATGCCTTCAACAGGGTAACCACTCAGCTACCAAACTTCTCTGATCCTGGAGCTATAGATATATATAAAAGTAAGTACAAACTATGTAAATTTTTCTTTGTTGTTAGAACAGACAAATATATATGAATGGCTCTACTGTGTGACTATGTTATACACCCGATTTCACGATGGTTTCTAGGGCAAAAAGTTTTATGTGTCTGAAATAATGCCTAGCCATGCTTACTCATGAATTATTAGTTTATACATGTATTTATTTCGGCATTATAGCTTACGATACAATCCGAGTGATTTTTGTATATGTTTATCTATTGAATAAGACCTGTTACAGTTGTTTTAACCTTCGATGCTTAATTTACCAATTTATTATTGAAGTCTAATTGTTTCTATTTCTATAACGAATGATAATTTGAAATAAACTACGGTAATTTGCTAGATAAAGGTCGTTATGATAAGATATATACAAGTACAACACATCTGTGAACAAGAGGATGGTCATGTTTACCTAGTCGTGATACACCTCTGAGGGTAATCTGAGTCGTGATACACTTCTGACGTTAATCTGAGTCGTGATACACTTCTGATGGTAATCTGAGTCGTGATACATCTCTGGGGGTAATCTTAGTCGTGATATACTTCTGAGGGTAATCTGAGTCGTGATACATCTCTGGGGGTAATCTGAGTCGTGATATACTGCTGATGTAATCTGAGTCATGATACAGTTTTGTGGTTAATCTTAATCGTGATACACTTCTGAGGGTAATATGAGTCGTGATACACTTCTGATTGTAATATGAGTCGTGATACATCTCTTGGGGGTAATCTGAGTCGTGATACACATCTGAGGGTAATTTGAGTCGTGATATACTTCTGAGGGTAATCTGAGTCGTGATACACTTCTGAGGCTAATCTGAGTTGTGATACATCTCTGGGGGTAATCTGAGTCGGGATATACTTCTGATGGTAACCTGAGTCGTGATACATCTTTGGGGATAATCTGAGTCGTGATACACTTCTGAGGGTAATCTGAGTCGTGATACATCTCTGGGGTGGGGGTAATCTGAGTCGTGATATTTTGCTGATGTAATCTGAGTCGTGATACACTTTTGAGGGTAATCTGAATCGTAATACACTTCTGAGGGTAATCTGAGTCGTGATACACTTCTGAATCTGAGGCTAATCTGAGTTGTGAAACACTTCTTAGGGTAATAACACATGTTATGCCTCAATATATTCTTCTGTATAAAACTTCCATAGACCTGTGATGTGTTTTGATAGAACATCACTTTCGTAGACAGTAATCTCCAGGAGATATTTCTGTTATCATCATGTGACATACCTCTGTATGTATCTTTCCGGTTTAACACCGGTATAATAGAATTATAAAAGACTGTCGGGGCGAAAGTGTATATTTGAAGCCCTTGGAGTAGCATCTTACCCATCAGTATACACGGTCGCAATGAATATATATCCTAATACCGCGACAGCCATGAGTTATTTACATAATCTTAACCCATGAAAGTTAATTGATGGCTACCTTCTTTTTCTCAGGGCAACATTATATATACTTTCACTTTCAAAGGGATCTCATATTTATGATATACGTACTTACTGAGAACAAATGCCCTTTTATAATTGATTGCATAGTACTTCTCCAGAAACGTTTTCATCAGTTAGTGTGTTTATACATGTACATGTAATACTACAGTCTAAACACCTGTAGACAAAGAACACATGTGTTATCATGAATTTATGCAGACATTTCTTTTATTTCTTTTATCTATATGGTTTTGAAAATGAAACAAAATAAATAAACATTGCAGAAATTTTGCTGAACCATGTTGTCAATGGTGCTGTTCCCTCGAGTGCTCTGTCAAACGGACAGACTGTCACCGCTCTTGGTGGTGGTACATTGCAAGTCGGCATCGATTCAAGTAAGCTTTAAGCTAAAATACGCAGTACATGTATTTATCGTTTATTGTATTATTCTGTTTATTTTCAAGTTTGATTAAGTTTCTAATATGAAAATATCATGCCTTATCTCATCAAAATAATAATAATAATAATAATAATAACAATAAAAAAACAAAGGGAAAAGGACGAGCAGAAATAAATAATCACAGCATAATATCATCATGATATATGTGAAAAGGATCAACAATGGATAACTTTCAATGAACTCAGCCTATAACAAAGTTCGGCTAAATAAAACCACCGACACAACACTTTTCACAAATAATTACATATCTTATGACTCAAAGTGTCAATTGGAGTGCTGAAGTAGTGTTTAAGGTCTAACTCTCAAACCAGGAATCGTGAACGGACTACGACTATATTTCATCATTTGACGTTAAGGGTGATAAATATAAATTTTGTGAAAACTTGCTTCACTAGCGATCTTATATGAAAATGTTTTAACCAAACTAAGTATCCTTACTTTTCAGATGGTGTGTCAATTACACCAACAGGATCGAGCATCTCGGGCAAGGTGACAGAGGCTGACGTGACGGCGATTAATGGTATGATACACGTCGTTGACCAAGTTCTCGTACCCGCAAAACTGTAGAGGGAGAGGTTCAACGTGCTCACTTGTTTAGTTAAACTGAAATAGATTAATGTTAAATCAATAAACATAATTTCAAAAAGTGTGTTTTGTTGTTATATTCCAGTTGTTGAAGAAATTAATCTTATGAGATGGCATACTGACATGTTTGACTGACTATTACGTAATACATTAATATATATCCAAAAGAAACTGCGGTCTGTTAAATCAAGACATTTTTGAAAACCCATTGAATCTTTTTCTTTATACAATCCTTGTAGAAAATTTTTTTCCAGATGATAGAATATTAAAACTAACGGAGAAAAATTGTGCTTCTGTTAGGAATTTATTCACTCTTAATGAAATAATTATCAATAACTTTGAAAAAAATCTTGATGTTGACTTTCCACAACGATGTTTAGCCCGTGTCAGTGCATTCAATATTAGATGACAGATTCGTAGCGAATAAATGAAATAACGTCCAACGGTAAAACGTACAATGACAGGACTTAACCAAATGATGTTTGATGTTTTGTAAATTAACCACTTTTTAGTTCAGAATAATATAGCCTTAGTGTTTTATTAATGATTATATTAATGTCCATCTTACAAAGGACGTTGCAGTACATATGTATAACTGTGGCGTATTATAATTAAGATTTATTCCAGAAGTAGAACCACTGCTTTGTAATTAGAGGCGTGGAAGTACACAAAAACGCCTCCCTCCATCTCCGCGACCCACGGACAGTTCATTTATAAATCGTTTTTACTGATCAAATAATAAAAAATGTATATAAGGTTACCTAACTATCATGAAACAAGATATATCCAAAATATGAATTCAATCTTTGACCAACTTTTTTAAATACACCTATGTTCACTCCTCGTTGACAACATATGAGCATCCGGGCAGTCTGATCAGGATCCATGCTGTTAGCTATCAGTTTCTCTACTATCTATAGGGTTTGTAAGCGAACAGCATGGATCCTGATCATACTGCGCGGATGCGCAGGCTGGTCTGGATCCATGCTGGTCGCAAACACATTACGTTGGTTTTGACGTGACGCGGCTCTTACATATCATTATATCTTATTTCAGAAACTATATCATTTCTCAGCATATTTTTTTTGTATTCTACTGGTGATATGTTTTTAGGATTTTGCAAAACCCCTAAAGTTAAAACAAAATAGTGGGCGTTAACTTGCAGGTTCTATACACGATGATCACGGCATCATAAATACTAAATGTATACAGTTCTTTGATTGGTTTTGATGGAATATACGGTACATATGTCAATGTGATTATGATATTTTATTTTATTTTTTAATTTATGCCCTTATATTGATTTCTCTTACATCTATTTCTTTTCAAATCTCAAATATAACCTATAAAAAACAAAACAACACACATCTTAATTGTACACTGCAAGGTATTGCATTTCATCTGGGATACGATACGTCATTTTATGTCCCAAATTTGATAAAGTATGTCCATAAAAACAAACGTGGACTTAAGCTATGATATCATAGTTCTTTTTTCGCAATTTTCTGACAAAATAGATATAGCCGTCGTTTTATAGTGTTTAAATCAGTTAATTATTGAGTATTTCAAGAAGGAATTTATTTAGTGGTATTAAACCTAAGCATGTAATTAAGTAGGCAAATTATGCAGTGTAAATATTGTGAACACCGCTTTGTTTACATTTTACGTCACGAATCCGTGGATACCTAAATTGTGTGAAAATGGCAGACGAGGTGGACGAATATGAACTGGAAAAATTACGAGCCGAGATTCAACAAGAAAGGCAGATGAAGTATGTTTTTTTTATGTAAAACCTATACAAAAACACGAATTTACAGCTACATGAAAGTTTAAGACATTTAACAATTAGGAGCGCACCTGTCACTGCGTGCAATCAACAAAACATGATCGATTCGCCCACACCAGTATTCGCCCCATTTAATCAGATAAGCCAAAATAATAAAAAAATGTATTGAGTGTGTTTCTAATTATTAATTTTGAAACATTCTCCATGTTGTGGATAATTGTACAATACATTTGTACTATATCTATTTTATTTGTTTGCAGTGTTGCATCTAGGCCGCGCGATTGCGCGATTTGCGCATATTTTATGCAGATCGCGCATTTTAATGAAGTCAACGCGCGCAAAGTCGCGCATCTGACAATTTTATCACTTTATTCAGTTTATCTTCATCGTGTCTTGAAAGCTTCAGCCATGTTTGTTTTCACTCGTGGTATTAAATGACTAACATACGTACTAAAAAGCGTGTAGCAGCCGACTTGGTCATCTCGCGTGTGTTTTGTAGTATTCCTCAATATTTTATTTTTCTACTTCCGTTTTTGAGCGGACGATAGCTGTCAAAAATGCCTGAGCGTAAAATAACTGAATTCTTTTGGATAAGTCATAGTGTTAGGTAAATGTATGTCCCCCACATTTTTTTCAAGTCCCCCACATTTTTCAGTTGAGTGGGGGACAATCCCCCATAATTATGAAATTCTAAATGCAACACTGTGTTTGTATTTTATAATATAGGAAAGTCAAAGTTCGGGCCCAGCTTTAGCTTTCCCTGTTATAGACTACACGTGTATACTTAAAAAGAAAATCAAATAAAAACAATTCAAAAAAATATAGACTTCTATACCTATCAATGAAATTTTCAGTGCCAGTTCTAGTTAGGCGCCGCCATTTACAATGTAACTCAATGATAAAAGGCAGTGTATTCCGATAACGGAACAAATATCAACTTTTCGGATTAATAATAATCGTTGATTGCTCCAAGTGAAAACAGAAACGGTGCATGAAATACTGAATGACAGCTTTAAAATGGAAAAATGAAAGGAATTTTTAAAGTTACATTTAATAAATTTCATAAAATCAGAAATTATAAGCGACATTTCATTAATAAATTTGGTTTCACATTGACTCCAGATCTTATTTTGGTGTCCAGACAACCAAAATGAGTTTTATAAGCATAAAATCTGCAACCTTATTGTGGCAAAATCGGAAAATCAATTTCTATTTGCATGGGAAACTCCACCTTCGGATCATCCATACATCAATATTAAATTAACAAACATGACTATAAGTAGCGGTCCTGATTTAACGGTATATTTCCGCATTGTAACGGATGTTTTCATACAAATTTAGTCTTTTTAATGAGATGATTACTTTTTTCTGAACCCCAGGCTTAGTACACAGTGAAGCTAAAACGGTTAAAGTGTGTTTGCACAAGAAAATCTCATTTTTGCTATGACCGTATAGCAACTTTAACTCTGTGACATAGCGCATACACGAGCTGATTATAGTTTTCATTTATATGGATGTTAAAATTTGTATACTAACATAAGTGTTACCATGGGGGTGTTGGTTAAAAATGTAATTTATGAACAATCTTTTTTTTTGCTGCGACCAAATTTAACAGAATTATGGCCCTTTGTTGATTTTTTCACTATATACTATGTAGAAATTTTGTGAACGCAACTCCTCTTAAACCGGATGGCAGATTTTGCTTAAACTTACAGGGATGAACAACCTTAAGGTGTAGATGGTAGTAAAGGAAGGAATTTTCGCTGCAACGAGATTTTACAGAATTATGGCCCTTTGTTGATTTTTTCACTATATACTATGTTGAAATTTTGTGAATGCAACTCCTCTTAAACCGGATGGCAGATTTTGCTTAAACTTCCAGGGATGAACAACCTTAATGTGTAGATGGAAGTAAAGGAAGGAATTTTTGCTGCAACCAAATTTAACAGAATTATGGCCCTTTGTTGATTTTTTCATTATATACTATGTAGAAATTTTGTGAACGCAACTCCTGTTAAACCGGATGGCAGATTTTGCTTAAACTTCCAGGGATGAACAACCTTAATGTGTAGATGGTAGGAAAGGAAGGAATTTTTGCTGCGACCAAATATAACAGAATTATGGCCCTTTGTTGATTTTTAGTTTTCAACTTGTGGCACATGTAGTCCAAAAAATATTTGACCTAGAGTCATAAGATTGACAGAACAGTGGCGTGTGGGGGCATCCGTGTCCTATGGACACATTTCTAGTTCTTTCATAGTTTCGGTCTTCCTTACTGAATCCAGTATTTAATTAGTCGAGCTTCGCTATCTCCTGTGACAGCTCTCGTTGTAAATACAATGTATCCAACCGTTTTCTTATTTTAACATTTAAAATTTCTTGAGACTTTCTGACATACACAGTTAGGATGATATGTAATTCCGGAATAGAGACCAATATGGGCACCTAACGATATATCACAAAACACTGTATTTCAACAAAATTTATAACTAATATTTTTTAGCAATGTATTACCTTCAATACCTAAAAAGTTACCTACAACTTGATGAAATAAAAGTTTTTCTTTAAACATTATATGTTGAAATATCAAATTAGATAAAATGATAAAGTAAAATGTTCAAATTTATTTGTATCATATAAAATGAAGAAAGATATGTGTTTTCAATTGTCTTTCACAAATTGTGTCAATATCGCTAAAACTTCACAATTTCAAGAAAATTAATGCTTTATAAATTGAAAAGCCCCTTCATCATTTAGGGATATATAGTCAGGTTCCGGCACAATTCAAATTCATTCGAGATTGAGGTTCCTTTACAAACATAGTTTAAGTGAAAAGATTTTCTTGAAAAAAATCAAGGCTTGGTGTTGCACTATTAAAAAAAAAACCCATCCGCGCAGTCAGATCAGGATCCATGCTGTTGGCTTTCAGTTTCACTACTAGTAATAGGGTTTGAAAGCGAACAGCATGGATCTTGACCAGACTGCGCGAATGCGCAAGCTGGTCTGAATACATCTGGTCGCAAACGCACACTATGTTGGTTTTGTCGTGATGCAGCTCAAATACTTATATTTATAGGGAGATGTTAGACCAGTCAGCAAGAGAACTACGCATTACTGTTGAAGAATTGGAGAAAAGATATGAAGCCATAGAAAGTGAAGGTATTTTCATTTTTTTTTCAAATATTTTTTTCTCTCTGTAAATTACAATAATATCATTTGTTTTATTAAGGTCATAATTATATTTGTATACATGTAAGTGCTTCATGATATGAAATTGATTAAAGTTATTTCTTTTTCCTTCATTGATGTAGTTTAATGATTAGGCTTTAGGATTAGTTTAGATAAATGTTCTTTTGAAAATTGAGATGAAGCTGAGTTGAGATAAGATGAAGTTTTTGATGAATGGTTACCAATTTTTAACCGCCTGGCACCTGGCATAGTGGTAGGAGTTGAGTTTTTTTCTGAAAATATGAATTGAAAAAAGGTTTTAACTTTTCCAAATTTTAGTCATTACAAATGTAGCTTTCCTTAGAACCTATGTTTTTATGTATTCATGTAGATATTTCTTGTGTGGCAATGTTTATATATGGTTTTAAATTTACAGGTATTTTTCCCTTTGTTTTTTACACAGAATGCCATCCACTTTTAAAACATACATTTTATGAAAAACCATTATTGTAATTAAAGTTTAGTTATTGTGCAATATATATATTGGATGGCATAAGTCTCCGTGTTAACTGAGATCTTCAATATTTGTCATATAAAAGGTTTTAAAAAAGCCAGTATTTTGTGATAAAAATTTAGGGAAAAATTGTGTTGTTTTTTCTCTATCTGTTGTTTGCTTTGTAGCATCCTTATTATATTTTCAGTGTGTTGAATTTGATGTGGTAGTATTTTTGATTGATATATACATGATTGATATATACATCAAACTAAACAAATTAATGCTTGCTTTTTCACATTTGATATTATTGCTGCTATATTTAGTTTTATGTTACTTAAAAAAGTATTTTTTAAGGTGATTTAAATTGCAAATTTTCCCTATTCTTTAATAATATAATATTATCTTGTGTAATTGTTTAATAGTACACAAGTGTTATGTTGGACTTGGAAAGCTTTTTTACCCCAGTATTTAGTTCAAATTCTTGAAAACTCCTTTATTGACCCCTGAGTTTGGTTTGCTTAAATTATTCCTGTTATCATACTTGAATTTCTAGAACCAAAAAGATTTCAATATGCCTATATGTGTATATAGATATTATAACTGTTTAAATTTACTAAGTTATGTTAATTTGTCACTTTCTTTGTAGTGATATTATTATGTTTTATATATTTATAAAATTTTGTTTACACCTTAGATCCAGATTTAACAGCAAGAGGTAGATTTATACACAAGCTGCACCGCTGTCCCTCTTCTTACTATTAACATGACAATTAAATTGTTGATTATGTCAATTAATGTCTCCAAAATATTTTCACTGTAACCTTTCTCTTCTTTTAATGTTGTTCAATGTTAAGAAACAATTTTGGTGGATGTTTAACTAACAGCACCTTTTTTGATATTAAATTTATATAGAGGGCCCTCCTCGGGTTTCAAGATTACTGGCCTCAAATCAATCGCCCATAATTGCTGTGGGTTCGAACCCCCTTACCCATACCAGGGACTTTGTACTCTAATTTGTGAGGAAGCTATCCTTAGCTAGCTTATAAATAAACAAAAGGTCAGTGGTTCTTCTAAGGTACCTGCATGTGTCTGAAGAAAAAAAACACTTGAGGTAATGTTCTTCCACTCATATTCCTCAAAAATGGTTTTGAGGTCATGTTCTTCCACTCATATTCCTCAAAAATGGTTTTGAGGTCATGTTCTCCCACTCATATTCCTCGAAAATTGTTTTGTGGTTATGTTCTTCCACTCATATTCCTAGAAAATGGTTTTGTGGTCATGTTCTTCCACTCATATATCTAGAAAATGGTTTTGAGGTCATGTTCTTCCACTCATATTCCTCGAAAATTGTTTTGTGGTTATGTTCTTCCACTCATATTCCTCGAAAATGGTTTTGTGGTTATGTTCTTCCACTCATATATCTAGAAAATGGTTTTGAGGTCATGTTCTTCCACTCATATTCCTCGAAAATGGTTTTGTGGTCATGTTCCTCCACTCATATATCTAGAAAATGGTTTTGAGGTCATGTTCTTCCACTCATATTCCTCGAAAATGGTTTTGAGGTTATGTTCTTCCACTCATATTCCTCGAAAATGGTTTTGAGGTCATGTTCTTCCACTCATATTCCTCAAAAATGGTTTTGAGGTCATGTTCTTCCACTCATATTCCTCGAAAATGGTTTTGTGGTTATGTTCTTCCACTCATATTCCTGGAAAATGGTTTTGAGGTCATGTTCTTCCACTAATATATCTAGAAAATGGCCATATGGCCTTTAAATTATTTAGATGACTAAACACCCAACCAATGAAACAATTCAAATTAGTATCATAAAATCAAGAAAAGGACATTTGCATTTCACCTTTCAATAAAATACTCTGTAAAATATTTCAATAAGTTTGAGATTTCATCTTCACTAGTTTTAATTCTTGAAATATTTGAACAGGTATTTCTTAACTTTGGCACTGTAACTTTTCTTTAGAAATTAACACATTCATCAGTACATTTGCATGAATTGCATGAGTAGTTAGTATGTTTTCATTTGATTTAACATATATTTTATAAGATTCTTTACCTATTCCTAAATGAAACCTAAATTGACTTTAAATTCAATCAATTTTAAAACAGAGTGATGCCCATGTTCAAAATTAACATGTATTCTGGTTTTGTGCATATGTAATAATGTACATTTTCAGTGAGAAAAATATTACATTTGTATATGATTAGAAAACCTAAAATGGTAGATTATAGTTTATCTAATATTATCTAATGTATGTTGTTATAGATATTGTAATGTACTATGTGCTTTCTGTGTTTTTCAGGTAGGCAATAACCTTTGACCCATAGAGTTGTTAGTTTCACCTTAACTAACCTACCTCACTCCTTGTTGACTCCTCATTACCTTCCATAAGCATTGCTATAATATCATTACAATGTATCATGCTATAACATAACCTTTAACTTAAGAACATGTCCAAGATATTCCTGGTTGCTGACTTGGAATAAAATTCCCCTCACTATTGATTGGACGTGACCTAAGGCAAAATGATAATATTTCTGTGACAGTGCTCTGAATAATATAATTGACAAATAGTGAAATGAATTGATGTTTGAATATTATTCATCAAATCAAGTTTTACAATGTATCATGATGTTGTCAATTCATTGGTACTTCTACATCATGATTCATGTTTCATGTTTTTAAATAGATGTGTTAAAGATGCATGATATAAAACAAACCCTTTGAAACTTGCACAGTGCATACTAAAATGCAGAAATGTTTAATGCAATTGCTTTACCTTTAAATAGCTACTAAAGCTGTAGGGAATATTAACCTGTTACGGTACAGTATATTTAATTATATTTCAGATTAAAAATCAGAGACATATATAAAATATGTATGCAATTCTACTGTTGTGAATACAACTACAAAAAAAGATATTGTCAAGGCTATTTTTTTTTTGCTTCAAATTTTAGACCCAGTAAGAATTGCCAAAATGAATGATGATATATTAAGAGAGAGTAAGTATATGTGATGAGTAGGAACACATAATCTGTAATAATATAATTCATTATCTTACATAAAAGGCTGCTCATTTTCATTTCTTACAAAAATCTCTTTCAAACATCAATGGTCCGTTTGAGTACAAAACTTTATAAATATCAAAGGCAGGGCTTACAAAATCTATTTTTTTTTAACTTTTTCATTTTTTACTGAAGAATTTCTTTCCATGTCTGTATGATATTTATACAGTATAATATGCTCATATAAGAAAAATTCACTAAAAGTGTCCGTTTAAGCTGTAATAGACTGCCTTGACAATGGGGACAATAGATTTTGCCACCGTGAAAGGAACTTCTATAGTTTGGATTTATAGAGAATTTGTATAGAAATTTGACAATATAACCTAAATTTGTGCAGAGGGGAGCAAAACAAACCTTGAAGGAAATTATTAAGCGTCATGTTATTGCAGTATTTCGCACTGGAATATGTTTTAAAGTTACCATTTGCTAAGATTTTTTCAAGGTTGAAAAGCAAAGCTTTTAAGGCCATTTTGAATACTTGATCCATTTGGGAATGAGCAGGTTTAAGTGTTTAATAGAGAATTGTAACAACAAATTAGTTTTGTAACTTACAGCATGAACACATCTAAAGCTTGTTTGATAAATAATAAAGATAGCTAAAAATTTAACACATAAAATTCACCTTAAAATAGTAAATATTTGTCACTTAGTATTTTATAGGAGCTTTTCTTATCCTCACAATATTCAGATTATCAATGACATTGTCATGATAAGCTACATAGACTTTCTTTAACATATTTTAGCATAACCCTGCTGAAACAAAAAGAGATTAGCCTTCAGTATACAGCTAGGCCAGCCTCCACTCCTGTGCATTTTGTTCCGGTTTTATTCATTCTGATGGCTAACTTAAATTCTAATTTTCATCATGATATCTCAAAAATCTCCAAGTACATATAGAAAATGGAAATTTCCAAAATATGAAACTGGAAAAATCTATTTAAGAAATTCAGCAGGTTAAACAGTAGACCATTTTTAATGTAGACTTTCTTAATCTACACACATTTGCTTTATCTATTTTGATTGAATAAGTTACAAGTGGACAGTACAGAACAGAACACAAATTTTATTTTTTAGACTTTAGCTTTTCATGATCACTTCTCATCTATAACATAATTATATACATTATTGTGCCAAAATGAAACAATAAAATAATATACATGTATACATATTAAAATAACTGTTGTGCATATGACAGAACTCAAAGCAGTACAAAAGAGTAAAAATAGAATTCCAAAGAATACCAAACAACAGCAAAATTGAAAATGATGCAGGCTCAGTGTTCATGAACAGTAGTGGTAATTGCAAGCTTCACACTCCCTGGCACCGGCTTTAGTGGAATTCAACATCTAAATTTCATTACACAGGTTGATAACAGATTTAGAATTTAAGTAATTAAAACTTTCCATTTAATTAAAGTATATAAAGTATATTATCAGAGTAAATTTCTATTAAATATCTTTTGTCATGAATTATGAAACCAAATTTTGTAGTGTGATCATATGTCCACAAAACATAATAGACTTATTGACATTAAAATACCATCTGGCTGAAATAAAAGAAAAATATGAAACATTATACCCTCTGATAACCTTTACCCTCTGATAACATTATAGAAATTTTAAAGTATTTTGACTTTGCTCTTATTAAGAATAACATAACATGTTGCAAAAAAAGTTTACGAAAATGTTAAACTGACACACTAATTAAGGATTATTGAATGGGTAATTAACAATTGATTAAGACATGGTTTGGTTGGTAATAGCATGATACATTGAATGTATTACAATGTTTATGGAATTGTGCCATTTATGCTTTTGTTGTCAGTCCTGTAATATTGTTTTGCTTTTTAACCCTTATCCTGTGCCTATTTAATACCTCTATACTTAGGTAGTTTTGTCAATTTATTTTTCAAAAGTTGCTTTAATTTTCTTTTATGTAGCTTTTTTCTTTTACTGTTCTATAGTTATTTTTTTTTTACTTTTCTTTGTTGAAATTTATTTACGTGTATATAATTTTTAAACTTCACATACATGGAAAAATGGTTTATAAGTACAATGTATGTAGCTTTATTGTCTGCTAATTTGATGATGATATTAAATAAGCTCTAAAAGTAAGGGCAGAAATTTATCAAGTAGGTATTAAGCCAATGTGCCCTTATGACAGTCCGACTATATACTTCACGTTCACTAACATTCAGTATTTTTGACATTAAATGCCACCTATTCACCTTCAAAGGAGGCCAAGCCCATTACAAGAAAAGCTTATTGTGAATCTTATTTTTACCTAATTTTAACAAGTAGTAATTTTTCTATGTGGCTTACATCGTTCAGTTATTAATAAGAGTTATAAAAGAAACATAAAGTAATTGAAAATCTAAAATTTTTGACAATACGGAAGTGGTTTTGATAAAAAAGAAAGCAAAAGTAAAGATCTGCAAAAATAAATTATTATAGACTAGTATAGACTCATACGGTCTATAAAGAAACACATTCCCTTATTCTATCATATACTATAGTTTGCCTGTGTAATAGATATATAAGATATAAGAGTAAGCATGTTTCGTACATGTAGGCAATGAGTGGAAGACAAGGTTTGAGACCCAGGAAGAGATGAATCAGCAGCTAGAGAGACAGATTATAATGCTGCAAGATAAAATAGAAGAAGCCAAACGTAACCTGAAAGATGGTAAGTATTTATATTATAATATTACTTTTTCCGTTTTCTGTAGTGCATTTTAACACATGAATATTTGGAAGACTCTTATTTTTTATATATAAAATACCGTTATCAATATACCTTAATTGTAAATTTTTAACCTTTATCTGAATAAGTGTTCACCCACATATATACGTGTGTATATAGCAATTTGTAAAGCTGCTTAATTATTACGATATTGCAGAAAGTGTTGATGCTTACCACCTATTATTTCACCATATAAAATTTTCTCTAGCTTCTCACGTTCACTTGTTTTTGAAATATAATTGATAACATAATTATTGAAAAGGGCCATAACAGTCCATATATTTTGAATTTGATCAGAGTCTGATGGTAACGTTTCATCCCTTCCAATATGTTATGACCTTAAATGAAATGGTAAAACTTGTATATTGTTCGACCGCTCTTTTGAACACTTCTTTCAAAGAAACGTAACTGACATTGCTCATAAGATTGTGTCAATATTTCTTTAAATTCTTGAATTGCTAAATTGTAATGCTGATTATTTGGAAGTGTAAGTATATCAGTTGCAAACATGCAAAAACTCAATATTATTAGAAGTACACCATGATGGTCAGTTTTGTCGTAGCATTTCTTATAAGCTATTTCAATTGCATTAATGATTGACCATTTACTGAAACCACAAATAGAGCCAAATATTATATGAGATATTTATATAATTTCTGGTACAGCCATCTTACGGGGGTTATTATGAAAAGAAAAGAAACCCCTTGCTACTGTCTCGCTTATTTTACTTTCTGTCGCATTGACTTTGATTTTTATTCATTTGTCATAGCCTTAACTCAGCAGGTGACACTTCTTGCCTGTTGTTTTCTTTATGTCATATATCTATATGACAGCGATTTTGACTCTAGTCCCGGCCCTTTGTGATTTGGATTGATATGGTAAAAATTATCATACTTGAGTTGTTCTCATTATTAGTCTTATCAAGGTCATGCCTGTGTTTTAGCTCTTATGAGCTGCTGAGTTTGGTCTGCTGTTGGTCTGAAATCATCCACAATTTGTTGTTGATGTCCAAGATGTCACATGATATTTGTTTTATTGATATGGTAGACTCCTTTATATTATGGACGGAAGAGTCCAGTTCATTACAAGCTAATGACAATTGTTTTTATTGAATCAAACTGAAACTTTCTAAACGTAATTTCTTACTAAAATTTGAATGTGTGTAAAATTGAATTAAGATTAATGTGTAATAACTAATAACGTTCCTAGGACAAGACAAAATATTGTTAAAGATTAGGTCACAAAATCTTGTTTATGCTCTAGAGGCCTAGTAGTATTTTAAGTAGAAGTAATATTCTACTTGTATGCCATTATAAATATATATGTATCTTGAATTAATAAACTATGTTACTCAAGACTTTGATAAAAGGAATTCTATACATGCCAGTCATCATGCCATGATTATGACTATAATTTGTTCAGTCATATATCGGCAGTAAATCCATCAAATCCGCTTTCATGGATAACCAACCTGCATTATTACTTTTTTCTCTGCAATTGAACAAGATTATGTCAACTTGTAATATGAGTAATGAGTAATGAAAGGAAAGGGCCACATTGACTATTTGTTACAGTTTTACTTCATATTCCCGTGTTTTTAGCTTCTATTTAGCATTTGACGTTCGCAAGAAATACTTTGTGTCAGAGACCTTTTATTTATAGTTGATATTCCTATGTAATGATAAGACAATTTTCTCCTAAAATCACCATTCGTAATGCTATATCGTATGTAAAAAGCTATCCTGAGGCAGCTAATTGCATTGTTGCGGGTTTTAAAAGTCCTGATTATTATGCCCAGAATCAATTTAAATAGGTGCACAACCAGTTTAAATCTTGGAATTTTCTTTTTGTCCTTAATAATACAAAATTATTTGATCGAGCGCATTATGAATCATATAAAAAATATAAAATAGTTAATAAACCACAGAGTCGGAAGTTATGCTTTGTAAATATCACATTTTGCAATTAGAGTTTCACTTGTGATTAATTAGGTAAAACATTAATGCATATCTTCATGTGTATTTCGAATGAATAAAACCATGTCAAGTACGATTTGGTTAGTGAATTATCAAATGAATGTTTAGGTACCTACTACGCCGAGAATTTGAAGACAATGTTGTACTTGTGTAAGAAAGAGTGTGTAATTATGCATTTTTATAGTGTTTCCGTTGCGCAAATTGTTCGTAAATGTTCATGTCGAAAGTCGCTATTTTATTTTTTTAAACAGATTGTTTGACGTTACCCTACTAAATGATTGAAATTTGTGCATAACTATTGTTGCGTGGTTTTGATGAATATATTAATATATGATATCGCCCTTTAAAACATGTTATTATCCAAATTACATTCCGCAGTTTCTATGACATAACAAGTGTTTTATACTAGATTCCTGTTAGCCATATAAACATTGTTTTCGATTTTCAGCCGATTTGGTACAACTGTATCAGTCAAAGAAAATTGAAGGTTACTTTTTACTCTCTTTGCACGTGATTCTTGTCTGTTGTAACCATCATAATTCTTGTCTTTAACTGTTTATTATAAATTAATTTGTAATAAATCTTTATTATATCTCACTTCCTTTTAATTGTTGGAGATAGCTTAAACAGAAATGTTTCCTTTTTTGTTTGCAATCCATTCCCCAATTGGTAATATGATGTTATAATTGTCTGTGTGATGTATGATTTAACATCCCAACATGCGCTTCATTTCAGACAAAATTATAAATACTCTAATATGGTTAAATTGAAAACCACATAAGTACTATAAATGAAGTACTCAAATAGCATAATTATGTAATTACATTGTTATTCCAACAATAAGGAAATTTCGTTTTCTATATTGTTCAATGTAAATTTTTAGCTTTCTTTATTCTTTGCATGTAAAAATTTTCTTCATTTTTTATTAACAATGCTTTAAAATTGAAATAAATAAATAAATAAGCAACATTAACAAATCTCCTGATAACCGCAGAAATAGATCGTAAACGAGATAAACGGATTGCTGCCCGGAAAAAGGGTAACAGATTGTTCAGATGATTACCCCATTATAAACAGAGTTTGTCTACTCACAGACAACATAATTCCTATGTGCTTGCCATTTTGTTAAACCATCTTGTTTTGTTGCTTTCTTTATTACCTGTTGCATGAAGAACTAAATATTACCATTGCAATATGTATTACCAAGCAAACCCCAAAACAACCTTGATAAGATCATATAGCATAGCACATCGCAACACTGTCTCAACTTGTCTTTTATGCTTTACAATAGTTGACTTAAAGCAGTGTTGAGATGACTGAATATGTTTTCGTTAACTTTTTTGCATGCCATCCTTTGTACCCTGAATGTCATGTGGCTTATTATAATGCCATCCTCGAACAGCTTATTATGTGTTATCATCACATGGTGGCTTCTTTTCCGGGAGCAGGTTACATTTATTGTTTTAATGCTTATCATTACAATACAATAATTTCAGTTAGTATAGAAGAAAAAGGTATAAAGTCTTTATGTTAACCCTTTGAGTTATTTTCACTGCCCCTGGATTTATAACTTGTCATATCTTTATTTTACATTCATCACTGATTTTGCAATTCATATGTTCACAGCTATGTATAATTTGTAGAAGATACTTAAACGTCAACCAGAACTCGGAACTTTCGTTCTGTAATTATGTTTTAAAGTTTTTATGTGATGATCTTAATTGAAAAACTTTACACACATCTCGAACTTAATATAACATTTTGCAATCAACATTATTTTGCCCCTTATTACTTTTAAACTGAAAATATAAATCTACTAAGCTTACAACATGTACGGGATTAACAAGAAAAGATAATTAATACTACAAAGAATAAAATGGAAAGAACACAATTACAGTAATTAAGTCACCTTATCTGACGGTATTCAAAATTCTGTATTGTTAATGTGTTTTTATTGTCCATGTATATTAATATTATTATCTTGCAGCTGAAATGTTTATAGCTATGCGGGAGGCTGTTTTATCAGTTATCTTACCTTTCATGCTGATAAAAGTACAGTTGCTAATGAAATTTTTTTTTTATTTCCCATTATGCCCATTTGTTTTTTACCCCACATATCTTATATATAATTGCTTAACTCTGGTTTGCAGCAAAGAACTATGTAGCAGGTAGGGCAAATAGTCCCCCAGACACACGGACGGGTACTCCAAAATCTAAGTCTACTGGAATTACTATAAATATATCAGTTTCCCCGCAAGGTAGGCTGAGATTCACTTAATGCTACGTCAGGGCATAGGAACATTACTTAGAACTACTCAAAATTGTGACTCTTTTTGTGTTTACTTCTTTTTACATGTATCACAGTCAAATGTTTAATAAAAGTAATACAATGTACATGAAAGTATCAAGTTTGATGATGAGCAATAATCAATGGCTCTACGTCTTTAAAGTCAATCACTTCCAGATGTTAAATTTATTTATCATCTAATATAGTTTGTTTTTATTTTTCAAAAAGTACGTAACAAACAGTTTAATTGATTATTAGGTTAGGTTATTTTATGCCTGCACTCTGACGTAACTGGTGCTTCTTGGGGACCTGGGCTGGTCACTTCCCTATAGCAACACGTCCAGCCTACCTTAGCACTGTGACAAAGTGTAGAGTCTTATTTCTGTGACATGTATGTAAATGAGCTTCACTATGACAAGACAATATAGTGCGTTTGCGACAAGCATGGATTCAGACTATCCTGCGCATCCGCGCAGTCTGATCAGGATCCATGCTGTTCGTGTTCGCCTAAAACCCTATTACAGGAAGAGAAACTGATAGCGAACAGCATGGATCCTGATCAGACTATGGCGATGCGCAGGCTGGTCCGGATCCATGCTGGTCGCAAACCCACTATGTTGGTTTTGTCATGGCGCGAATCATATCATTTTTTATTAATATTTGAATATTCAGTTAAACGATTATAAAAAGAACTTTTCTCTCTAAAGAATTATCATTTTCTTAGCTTATGAGGCAATCTATATTTATAAATTAAATAACATATAAGAGTTTTTATCGTCCATAAAGTATTCATTCTAAAAAAGCAATTTAACAGATATGTGTTAACATTTCTTTTTTAAAATACTTCTTAATAACTGTAAACAAGTAATTATAGGTCTGACTGCATCTAAGCATTTATAAAAGAAGCCTATTATCATCAAAATGTTTTCTCTCTTTTTATTTTGCACTATTACATGTTTTTATCTTCAGTGGTAGGTTACTCGAGGATATTATTTCAATTATTTTTTCCAATTCTTATCACATATATTTTTCTGTTTGTGTCTACACTTTGTCATTTTGTTTTGCCTGCATAGCTAGTAACGCGTTTTATTTAATATTTCTTGCGTATCAGTAGATAAATTCAAATAACTTTACGTAATTGTAATTAGTTACCAGACTGTCCTATGAATTATATGCGAAATAGAATATAAGTTGCATGTACATGTATATGGCCATTTGTTTTTATTTAATTTGGATTATGTAAAGAAATGTAAAAAAAAGTTAAATTCAGACTATGGCGATGCGCAGGCTGGTCCGGATCCATGCTGGTCGCAAACCCACTATGTTGGTTTTGTCATGGCGCGAATCATATCATTTTTTATTAATATTTGAATATTCAGTTAAACGATTATAAAAAGAACTTTTCCCTCTAAAGAATTATCATTTTCTTAGCTTATGAGGCAATCTATATTTATAAATTAAATAACATATAAGAGTTTTTATCGTCCATAAAGTATTCATTCTAAAAAAGCAATTTAACAGATATGTGTTAACATTTCTTTTTTAAAATACTTCTTAATAACTGTAAACAAGTAATTATAGGTCTGACTGCATCTAAGCATTTATAAAAGAAGCCTATTATCATCAAAATGTTTTCTCTCTTTTTATTTTGCACTATTACATGTTTTTATCTTCAGTGGTAGGTTACTGGAGGATATTATTTCAATTATTTTTTTCAATTCTTATCACATATATTTTTCTGTTTGTGTCTACACTTTGTCATTTTGTTTTGCCTGCATAGCTAGTAACGCGTTTTATTTAATATTTCTTGCGTATCAGTAGATAAATTCAAATAACTTTACGTAATTGTAATAAGTTACCAGACTGTCCTACCTATGAATTATATGCGAAATAGAATATAAGTTGCATGAACATGTATATGGCCATTTGTTTTTATTTAATTTGGATTATGTAAAGAAATTTAAAAAAGTTATATTCAAAGATCAGAGTTATCAGTAAAGCATTTTTTAAGTATTATAATCAATTAAATCAGAATGATTCAGTTTTAATAAACTGTTATAGTTGGCAATCTTTTATATTCGTTTCTAATTTCTTTAAAAACTATGTGAATTTATGAGCTAGCGTAGTATAATTTCTATTTGGCTAAATAATACTTGAAAATATTTGTTGTACAGATAATGAATTTGCTTAAATATTATTTAAACTGTATTTAGAAATACACAACTGTATATGATATAAAAACATGTTTGAATTATTGGCCGGCAGATAGATATTATGTCATTTCAAGAGCTAGAATCATAATTTTCTATTTATATTATTTATGAAATTACAAATTCAACGGTTTTTCTATAATCAGTACCTCTTTGTATAAAAAGGTTTAACAATACTGCGTACATATGTGTAGGAGAAATGATAAACCATCCCTGAAACTAACGTTTTGATCGGAGGCTACTGTTTTCCAATTGCAGATACTGATTAAAGTGGACAATTTCAATGCTTTTGTGCGGAAATTAATATAAACATATTTTTAAACAACAAATTCGACAAATGGCCATATATTATTATAGTTATGATGCTGTTTGCTTAAGATTATAGCTATGCAGTCAGAACAGCCAGTGTGAAATTATATGTATATTATTCTAATTTAAAGCTTGTTATTTCAGTTCAACATCCAGATAAATTAGTTTTTCAGTTCGCTAATTGTCTAGCATTATGTTTCTTACTTAATCAAGGCTTTTAGATAGTTTTTCCTTCAGTTCTTTTAATTCTAATTGTATTTATATGAACTCAATAATAATTAAAATGTTAATATATCAATAAAACCGGTGATGGCAATATAACATGTATGTATCTTCAGTACCCTGTTAAACCAATAACCTATATAAAAATATACAATATTGCTTTATTATAACTTAGTAGGATTTTGTTTAATCAAATACCAGATTATTGGTCAAAATTTTCTTTAAAGTGATCTACTTACATTGAGATTATTTCAGTTTTAAAACAAAGATTTAACTACAAAAATGACAGAAATTCTTATTACTTATTTGTAAATTCAGTAAGAAAAAAAAGTGAATAGGTAATACTGAACTAGTTAATACTGTGTTCATACTGATATAGTTCTGGCAATGTTTTACAGCAGGGAAGACTCCAAGAGACATGAAATCATTTGATGACCTTTCAGATGTAAGTATTATAACAATTTCTTACTATACGATATTAGATGATGCGCATGTATATATAATTGAATTCTATTATAGCTGTCACTCAAAACTAGCCTAATTAAGCAGAACTTAGTGCAGCTGAGTAACCATGTGCTGGTAGTTGTAAAACAGAGCTATTGTAAAGTCTTCATTTCATGTCTATTACATGTATTATATGACTTACATTTTTCTTTGCTGCGATTTGTATAGACGTCATGTGACATTTCGTAGAACTGACCTATTTTCTAGATGATATTCATTAAGGCTTTATGGGATTTATCGTACTAACCAACCAATCAAAAAGAACGTAATAGACAATTAATAATGAATTCCAACAATTCTACAATCATGAAGAGGCGTTTTGCTACGCATTTTCTGAACATTTATATGCTTTAAAATGGAACACAAAACACCAAGAATCTGTCTGCGTTATCATGCATTTTTCTAGTCATATAATAAAATAGTTACTGTATGAAGATTTAGAAGAATATCTTTAGACTAATGTCCCTGACTTATGTGATATAAACATGGACCTTTGGTTTCATTGAATATCTCAATAGCAATGGTTCATATGCATATTCACCTCGCATCAAACAATTAAATTATAATAAATTTAAACTATTGCCTTGGAAAAAAAATGAAGCCTTTGCGTTGATTTGATTTTTTGTAGGTATTTTATCATGTATTTTATATGGTTGTTATAAGTTTGGTACCGGTTTTATGTAATGTTATGATTGTCTTTAGTCTTTTTAATTCAGAAAATAATATCGTAAGTAATAATAACATTACAATAAAGCTATTTTAGATTAAGATGGCATTTATATTTTCTTATCTTATATTTGTACATGTATATACCATTACAGTATATTCATCATCTTAAGAGAATTTTGGACATAGAAGCTAAGGTTACTTGCTGTTGTAGAATTTAATAATATGATTTTTTTGATATTGTAAATCCATCATTCTAACACAAAAAGCTTTATTTCTGACGTGTGAACAGAAATTGTGTGTGTTTTCGAAATGTTTGCCTTTTTGTCATTCTTCATGTAACTTAAAGTTATTTATCAAATATTGAATAAGGTTGCCTGCCTTCCAATTGTTAGTTTAATGTTTCATTTGATATGTTTTATTAATGTATCGTTGCGTTTATCCCTTAATTATTACTTCATGGGGATTCACATACCAGGGTTGATAAATACTTCCATGAAATAAGGCTATCTAAGTACCGAACAGTTGATCATTTGTACCCAAATGTTGTTTTTTTTCTCCGAATGATATAAGGCAGGACCTACCAATACCATACTATTTATTTTCCTTTTTCCTTTTTAAGGGATAGCATTTTTTGAAGAATTAAACACCTTACACCCACCTTTCCATTTTCTTCAAATTTTCCCTTTATGTATTACCATTTGTACAATTATGAAGCTATTTCAATTATACAACTGTTGTATATTTTGTTTAGTACTGTTTTCTTCAATAACAGTATGTGGTTTTTACTGCTTTTGTTTTACTAATGTACCACTTATGTATTGATTCAGCGATCAAATGGGAGGGAAGCGGTAGCCTTTTGGTCAAGATGCCTCCTAACCCAGGGATCATGGGTTCTAGCCCTACTCGGACCATAATTATGGTTCCTCATATGACATCAGTACTGGTTAGTTCCAGGAAGCTGACCCCAAAGTGTTTGATATAAGTTGCAAAATCAATCATTTGCAAGAACTTGTTTTCCAATCGAGCTCAAATAAATATGTTTAAACTAATACTAGATATCACATTATTTAAATTGCAACATTGCTTGCATCAAATATTATTTTAGTGTTGATGTAAAATAATGCACAATGAATTTAAGTGATAAGTGCTCTTCATTCATATAAATAAAGGTAGCACTAATAGGAAATTAGTAGGTGACAGACAGGTTAGGATGATTGAATACTTAAATGTATAAAAAAGCTAGCTTATGAAAGATCTATATTGTACTTTGGAAGATACCATACCTCTCACCACTTAACAGGCTAGAAAGTACTTTCATGCCATCAACAGTTTTGGTATGCCTGCCTTAAAGGGACATTATGCTTAAAAAGCAAATAATTTTTTCTTTTTGTTTTACAAAGAGCAGACATAAATGTTATAATGTTTAAGTAATAGTTTTAGAACAAGTTACATGCTCGTCAACTGAGGAAAGAAGTGCTGCACATAAAATTATCTGTCATTAATGTAACAGAATGTTTATTAAGTAGTATTTTGACATCCATTCAAAATACTAAAACATTAACTTTGCTCATTGCAAGCAAAATACGATTCAGGTTATTGGCCAATTAGTAAGTTTTTTTGAATCTATAACAGGACACCATTTGAGAAATTTTCTGAGACATAATGGGCCTTAAAAACTTACCACTAACTAACTTATTGTCCATATGTAGTTATTTGAAAAATCGTGCCTTGAATAGTGTCAACTGTAGACCAAGATATTAACTTGAAGATAATTTATCTTATGGTTTAGTTTTCGGAAATCTACTCTCCAATTATCTAATGTTAAAGAAAAGCTCCAAGCTGAATTAATTACACTCGTTAATTGCTTTAACCATGGAACTAGCTAAGGCCCTTTACATGCTATGTGAAAGCAAACACAAAAACGATTACAAGTTGATTGATGCTCGTGCAATCAAACAATTTAGAAAAAAAAATTGATGCTCGTGCAATCAAACAATCTAGAAAAAAAAATGGAAATTGTAAAGATGTTTTTAACTAGGCGTAGTCTTTTCAATTTTTGATAACGTTAGAGTAAACATGATCTCATTTTTATAAGTAGTTAGTTATATCCATACACATTTGAAGCGTATGTAAGCTAAAGAGACTTTTTTAAAAAATTATTATACACGGATCTTACTGACATTTTTATGGCTTCTTTGCATATTCGCACTTTATTTAGTTTTATCTGTTGAACTATTGTTTCCCATCTAGGACACTTTAATGTAATATAATTGTACATATATTTTTAAATCTTTGTCATGCATCAAAAATATTGATATGACTTTGGTTTAGATGTTTACATTATATTGATAAAATTGATAAAACGTAGATAATTCTGTCTATTTGTTTTAAGGCAAATCCGGCAATGGTGAAAAACATGGAAAAAGAGAAAAACTTGCTCTATAACCAGTTACGGGACTTAGAATGGAGATTAGACCAAGAATCCAAGGTATTTTGAAAGCTTTTTAAATGTTTGACCTAATAATAAAACTATCAATTTTATTTTCAAGATAAATGCCAATTATGTTGAAAAACAAGAGGGAGTGTTTAGGAATATACTAATATTTTACTGAAACATTTTTACACAAAGCATTTGACAAATCAACGGTTATTATACATTCAAAGCATTCTTTGGCCTTACACTCCAGCCCTCGACAAAAGCCATCCACACATTATCACTATTAAAGTACCCATTCAGGGCATTGTTAATGAATTTCGAAAATGTAAATAGGTCTGGAGGGAGATAAAACGAAAAAAATTGCTAACAAATTAGGTCAACCCAAAACATAAACTGTGTAACTATAAGGAATAGTAAGAAAACGGCTCAGAGGAAGAGGACCAAAACGTAAGAAAAGGGGAACAAATACTTGAATGATTCGTTATATTCATTTTGCTTGCAGACATTCTAAAATAGATATGTAAAATAAAATAATGTAAAATACATATATTTTACTTAACATTAGGCTTACCACAAGGCCAATGACGAACGAAAACAGTATGTCGTAGAAATAAACTCCACCAAAGGAAACATTGATGGAAATAAAGCAAGACAACGAGCTGCAGTTAATCTACAGCAAAGAGAAGTAGAAGAAATGTCAAGATCACCAAGGCTTCTAGGGTATGTTTAGAAACACATTATGTTATGTTACATTTTGTACACATTTCATGGAAAAGATAATAAATAATTAGCTTCATTGCATAGGATTATTTGTTAAAAGTAAACATTATTATTTTCAGTTCATCGTTGTGCCATTTTACAGTCTTGTTAATAGTGCATTTGAGGTTATTTGAACAGTTAACTCATCTGTTATTTATTCAGTCTGTTAAGTATGTTCACCCTTGTTCCATGTATATACAGTAAATGAAATTGACTGTTTTAAAGTTCTTGATCACTTGCTTGAAGATTGTTTTGTCTGTAGTCGTATCTGTCTGTAATTATTTCTGTTGCTCTTTTGTTTCCATGTTCCTGTTTATCTGTGCTTCTGTTTTCTGTCATTCATCATCACTGCTCACAACACTAAACAAATAGTTATACTGAAAGATTTAAACTGAGACAACACCATCGATCACCTGATAAAGAACAGAAAGATCAGAAACTTACTCCAAGACTGGCAAACCATGTAGCAAGTCGAGTATCTCAAACTTCGAGAATTTCAAACGATTATAGGTACTGCTTCGTGGCAGTGATTATTCAAGATTTCTAATGCATTTTGCATGTAATGTTATGTATTTCATATTGCTTGTTTTCGATATTAACAATTCCAATTTCCTTTGTTTAGACAAAATAGAAGCAATTGAGCACAGTTTTAAACTAAAATGGTGTATTGGGTCCCTCCGTTATGTTAAATTTGATATAGTATAACTATATAGTCTGTAGGCCAGGTTTCTTGGAATTGTAACGCTTAGATTTTAATGTTTGATATTGAATACTTAAGATTGTTTCCGCTCATCTAAAGCAATAGGCTTTAAGATATGGCAGTCAAACTTAACAAGATAATTGTCAGTGATCGACAAATTACTCTTACAATGTGTCAAAGGTAAATGTTATAGTGTCCTTGTAATTTCTTTAGTTACAGTAGGGTTATGTAACAGCTTCTTATCATGATAGTAATACTATATGTGGTTTGCAGAAATATTCCTCTTAATTTTTTAACTTTTACACAATTTCCCATGTAAGTTCCGTCGAATAATTGATAGGATATCTTATTTTAAGACTATACACATTGTGAGTACATATTTGTAAAATATTCCCGTTTTGCAGTAACCATGTGTTTTTTTAGTTTTCCAATGTTGTAATTCAACCATCTATGTTAGACCTTGTGAAAAAGTTCACTTTGTATTTCGCTTTACCAATCTTAACATCAAACCTTTTCTGCAGGGAATTTGTTTTCCCGTAAACCACTCTTGTTTTCACTCATGTGCCCTTAATGATGATCTGTTAAGACTGAAATATGTTAGAAAATAAAATGAAATTACTACTGATGCATGAAATAATTCTTAATTCAATGCTGTATTAAGTTTTTTTTCCTTAAAACATGTTTGAACTTAGTAAGTGTGCGTGTTTGTGATGAGTGAGAAATATATTTCACATCTAACAATTCGAGCATTAACCAGTTGTATAAACATTGAAAAGAAAAATTTAAGATCCGACGAAAATTTCTATTTATGATTTGTGTTTATTACTTGAGTTTATTGAGATAGTAACAATAAGCCCTTACTTGGCCTTATAATTTGTTTAATGAATATGTGTCGATTTAAATCTAGAACCAACCATTCAAAGATTTAGGTATTTCAATATGAACACACAAACATTGAGCTAGCAACTGTACAAAGCCTGGTCACTATAAAGGTGGCAAAAGCAAATCATTGTTAGATTCCAGCTGATTATGGGCTAATGTTGAAAAACAAATATGCTTAACTTTATTCTAAAGTTTTATTTTCAGATTAAAGAAACAAATAAGGGTTAGATATTCATATCAATCTTTAAATGTTTGGAATAAGGATTTGAAATAAAATGTGAATTACTATGGTTGACGGTTATTATTAAAGTGTCTTTATTTAATATCATATATTGGTTAAAGTTTGATGTAACATGCTTTGTGAAATTTAATTTGTCTATTTAGCTACTTATTTATGTGAAAACGCTTGTTTGAAACCAATTTTGTGTGAAGTATTGTTTGCGGAAGTTGATTTAATAACTCGTTTTTGCTTATTATTTCAATAACAAAAATATTTTGTAAAAATGTTTAGAAATTACACAGTAAATCATATAAACTCTATGGAAAATTATTGTAAAGAAAATATACAGAAAGAGTACAGACTTATTATAGATGAGAGCATATTATATTTATGTAATGTCTGGTAGGTTAATTTGTAAAATATTATAATTCAGCACTCTGGAGGTTTCATGCATTTTATGTCACATATAAAACCAATTAATTGTTGATAAATATTCACTTGTATCAAGTGAAATCATAATTTGAGCACATTTGAAATATCTCGACTGAATACCATAGTTGTTACAGTACTGTATGAGCTCAATAAATATTAAAAAATCTTGTCATCATTTCTCCTTTGTAATGAAATGAGTGTTTTTCTTTGTTTGAACGTTTATTTACAAAATATGGGCAAATTAATCATTTTACTGTGATTGTTTTCAAAGTTTTGTTGATAAAGACGACCTTTTCAAATGCATAAGATATCTTTGTGTGCATTAAAAATAAAATCATTTTGCATTATAAAGGAAACATATGAATTGTTGGATCCATTGTAAACAATGTGTATATTACCTTTGTAATAAATTTCATTCGACATCAAAGTGTTTTGGAATATATGTTAACAAGCATTTTCAAGGAAATATTAAAATTATTGATAAACATAGTTCCAGGTTTGGTAGACGGAGACATAATTCATTCAATCCAAATTCAAATATGGGATCTCGTGTATCAAGTATTAGGTACATGTATGGTTTAAACGATTGATAAGCTGCAAAATCTGCTTCTTAAAGTGTGGCAAATTGTCTTTTTTTTTATAAAATTTGTCTTTTATTAATAATCATTTTCATATTGGTCATTAAATAAAATTACATGCAGAGAGAAAATCAATGACTTTGCAATTATTCAAATTATTCAATAGTTATATAACGTTTATAATGAATGAGTGGTATTGTTTTAAGAAGGACTGATAAGACAGAGAAATGAATGAATGCTTTCTGAGGCCTAAATTCTCTCTTATACAAACATTTTTCCTTGAAAACATTAAAGTATAAAGTTTACCAAGTATATAAAGTAAAATATGAACGTATCCCCCAAACAAAATCAGCAAATTAACAGTATTTTATTGCAGATTGGTATTGATATGAGTCATATCCAATAAATCAAAATTACAATGTGGTATCATTAGAGGAGATTTATTTCAGAAATTTGCCACATACTTTAAGAGATTCTTTATCCGGGAAATGCTCTGTAAACAGTCATATTACAAAGTAACGGCATACTTCTAATTCTTAATGTTTTTGGTATTATAAAAACGTTAGTTTATCCGGAAATGAACATTTTCTTCAGTCATGTTTCTTAAACGTTTGTTCTTGCATGTGCATATTTTGTAACATTAAAATTAAAGAATTAAAACTATGTAGCTTTAACAATTATTATAGCATAAGTAATGATATAAAGTTGTTACTTTGTCGTAAAACTGTTTACAATGCTTATGAATATGAGACATATAGTCATTTGCTTAAATACATTAGGCTATTCATTTTCAGAAATGACGAGTTTCTTGCTCAGTTTTTTGGAAAAAAGGGTGATGCTAAGTCAGCGAGTACTCACAAATCTGGCAGAACAGTCAGAAGCGTTAAGGCTAAATAAAAAATCACAGTTTTTCTCTTTTTTGTATGTCGAAAATGTAACATGACTGTTTTCAGTGTAGCCCTGTTTCTGCATTTGCGGTGTCATATATATTCAGCACGAAGATTTCTTTGATTAAAATCAACTGGGAGAATGGTGAAACACTGACTTTTTATATGTGTCTTAACTGTCATCCTTTATGATATGTTTAAAAAAAATTTAAATCAAAATGATTGAAAACGTCCAATGATATACAAACATTTTACATTCTGAGAATTTAGAATCAAAACCGCAAAATAATTTTGATATATATTTATTTTTGAATTGCATAAGGCATATTATGAACTGTGAGAATATACTATGAGATTATTTTACTTTTTTGAGTACAAATACTGATCGAATTCCATAGGACGAGTACACAGCTGTCAAACGAGACGCTGTGTATGAGTCCAATAGATTCAGTATTTTTCTCAACGAGTATTATGACGTCTTTATTTCACACCACCGTTGTTTGCACATTTTATATGAACTTTGTTTCTTCAAATTTAATATGAATTGATATTTTGGACTTGGAAAGTAAAAATGAGGCTTGATATAGTATGATATTCATTTGATATAGATATTTTAGGATTAAGAAAATGAAAACGAGGCTACATTGAGTACGTTATACATTTGATATGGATTTGTGAACTCTGTAAATTTAAATGAGGCTAAATTGATAAGATTGCATCAAATAATAATTTCTATCAGAAAATCACATGGTACAAACATTGAAAGTCCATACTTTATTTATTATCATGTGTGAATTGAAATACAATATGGACGTATTGCAAGACATTAAAAAAATGATATACTATCGAAGTTGAAACGACGGAAAAGTAGGCATTATAACCACCTGATCATTTTCGGTACGAAAAATGATTTGTTCTTTTCGTGCAAATGCTGTTGATGTCAGCAATAGTAAAGGCATGCATATTGTTTCTCTATAAATACACATACTATTCAGATTTATCAAAGATTCAAGTTCTTGTTTTAAAGTTTCATTTTAACAAACGGATGTGGTTATAATGTATTTGGTATTTTATTCGGAATCTTTTTGTTTTGGTGGTCTTTCTGGTAAATGTGACATGGTATATATTTATATAACACATTCTCATTTAATTTTATCTCGGGCTGTTTGTGGCATTAAAAGTGTAATTATTTTAAGTAATGTAATGGCGATTTGTCGTAATATCCACAAACCACGAACTGGCCTTCTAGTAAATATCAATATGTATGTATTCCAGGGTAATATTGTTATTAAATACTGAAATTCATTTAGTTTTCATAGTATTTCGAACTGGAAAAGAAGGTGCTTATAATTTTTTTTATTCATTTTTTTTTTAAATTTTTTAATTATTAAATAAATGTTAACATATTTTGTCATTTTATTAATAGCAATATACCAGAGGACCAAAGAATAATCGACCCAAAGAGGGGACCAATAAAAAAGACAGCGGCAGTGAAAAACTTACCAAGTCTTGAAACAACTTGATTATTGGAGAAATAGATACGCAAAATTTATCAGAAAAACATAAACACTCTATACATACGCTTTAGTCAGTATAAATCAAATGTCAATGACTGTTTTAAAGGTACAGGGACCTATATACAAAACTTAGTAATTTACAAATGCTATTAGATAGATAAAGTATCAAAGAGTTTTATTCATTTTGTATATAGATATATTGCACTGTGAAAAAAATGAACATGGGATTTTATTGAAGATTGTTAAAGTGTATTTTTAAAATAAATTGTTTTCTCTTTTTGTACATAGACCGTGTATTTTTCAATGATATTTAGGTATTTTAAATATACAGGATATGTTTGTTTTTCATGTTGCTGCAATTTTATTTTGTTTTGTTGATAGGTGCTTTCCGGTGATTACCATTTTATTAAAGATGTACATGTAATGAAGTGCTTTTTGGCTTATTATCTAAATCTTTTTCAGGTAAATATGCCGTATAAGTATATCTTTACAATCTAATTTGATAGAATTAAGCACTACTGTCATACTTTTAACAATTCGTTTATGAAAAATACAGAATCAAACATTAGATATATTTCTGTACTTAAAGTGATTTTGATTTGACTACAAAAGTACAAAAATACTAGTCAAGGTTGAACCAATTTTAGATGTTTGTTTTATTTTTTTAAAGATTTTTTTTTATCATCAAATGAAGTCTGTCACTTCATGTTTAAAATTTTGATTTTTTATAACGTGTATGTAATGTGTTTAAGGAAGCATATTGTACTTTATGTCCATTAATATTCTAAGCTTCAGACAAGTGTTTCTGCAACCGCTTTCCTCCTGAAAGGCATATTTTGCCTTAGAAATGCTTTTATTTTTAGCTCACCTGTCACAAAGTGACAGGGTGAGCTTTTGTTATCGCTTTTCGTCCGGCGTCCGTCCATCGTCCGTCCGTCGTCCGTCCGTCCGTAAACTTTTGCTTTAAATGACATCTCCTCATAAACCACTGAGCCAATTTCATCCAAACTTCACAGGAATGTTCCTTTGGTGGTCACCTTTAAAAATTGTTCAAAGAATTTAATTCCATGCAGAACTCTGGTTGCCATGGCAACCGAAAGAAAAAACTTAAAAAATCTTCTTTTAAACAACCCTAAGAGCTAGAGCTTAGATATTTGGCATGTAACATCTTCTAGTGAGTGTCGACCAAGTTTGTTCAAATAAAAGCCCTGGGGTCAAAATGGGCCCCGCCCCAGGGGGGTCATTGATTTTCCCTATATGCATATAGTAAAAACTTAAACAATCTTCTTTTAAAGAACCCAAAGAGCTAGAGCTAAGATATTTGGCATTAAACATCTTCTAGTGAGTGTCTACCAAGTTTGTTCAAATTAAAGCCCTTGGGTCAAAATTGGCCCCGCCCTAGGGGGTCATTGATTTTCCCTATATGCATATAGTAAAAACTTAAAAAAATCTTCTTTTAAAGAACCCAAAGAGCTAGAGCTAAGATATTTAGCATGAAACATTTTCTAATGGGTGTCTACCAAATTTGTTCAAATAAAAGCCCTTGGGTCAAAATTGGCCCCGCCCCAGGGGGTCATTGATTTTCCTTATATGTGTATGGCAAAAACTTAAAACTCTTCTTTGAAAAAACCCATATAGCTAGAGTTTAGATATTAAGCATGAAACATCTTCTAATCAGTGTCTACAAAGTTTGTTCAAATAAAAGCCCATGGGTCAAAATTGGCCCCGCCCGGGGGTCATTGATTTTCCTTTTTTGTGTATAGCAAAAACTTTAAAATCTTCTTTGAAAAAACCCATATAGCTAGAGTTTAGATATAAAGCATGAAACATCTTTTAGTAAATTTCTACAAAGTTTGTTCAAATAAAAGCCCGGGGGTCAAAACTGGCCCTGCCCCAGGGGTGTCATTGTTTTTAACTATATGTGTATGGTAAAAACTTAAAAAATCTTCTTTTAAAAAACCCAATGAGCTAGAACTTAGATGTTTAGCATGAAACATCTTCTTATGGGTGTCTACCAAGTCTGTTCAAATAAACAAATAAAAGCCCTTGGGTAAGAATTGGCCCGGGGGGGGGCTATATACAGGTGAGCGACCTCAGGGCCATCATGGCCCTCTTGTTATATTTCAAGAGATCTTTCCTTTTGGTGTATTCTTATAGCATCCGAAAAGTTACTCATTGGCCTGCAATTATTCGAACCATCAATTACTTCTGTTGCTTTCTGGCAGTCAGTACAATTATAGTGAATTATGGTATTTTGTAAGGAAGTCTAAAATACCACTATTTTACATTTTACTACTTTTATGACAACTCATTAAACATTTATTGTTACTTTCTATTGTACCAAGCACTTTACTTTCTCTTAAACAATTATTTCAACATTATTTAATTCATCTTGACCTTTTCTAAAGAAGTAAAAAATTATTTGTTTCTGAGGCCTATTGTTACAGACCATTTTGGCATTGTTTTTTCCAGATTTACTTTCATACTTTCCGATAAGTTTTTACTGCTTATTATAATGGAATTTAACAGCTTTTTCAATAAACTTGTTGAATTTTGTACAGTCTACCTATTGTTGACACGTTTCCTGTTTAATCATACATATCAGTCATTAACGTGAAAATCGTTTATTGTACATATCTATATACATCCATAAATGGATTTCTACTGCAAGGCATCTATGCTTGTTTAAATTCGTCCATTTTAATGTATATATATCAATTAACAATTTTATTGCAATTTGTTAGTACTTGTGTGATTTTACATTATTCTGTGATTCATATTTTTATATATAGTTTTTTCTTTTGAATATATATCTATTAAAGTGTTAAGTAAAGAATCAAGTCTGGTAGAGTTTTTTTTAATGCCTTTTAAGTGCTTGCAATTCGTTCTTCGTCCGTCTGTAAATCTTAAATTTACTCCTCATAAACATCGAAGCCAATTTTATCCAAACTTAACAAGAATGTTCTTTGGGTGGCACCTTTGAAAATTGTTAAAAAGAAGAACTCTTCAGAAAAAACTCATTTTAATAACACAAATAGCTTGAGCTTTGATATTTATCTTCAAGTGGGTGTCTAATAAAAGCTCTGGGGTTTAAATTGGCCCATTGATTTTCCTCATATGTATACAGGTATTGTTAAAACAACAGAATAAATCTTCTTCTGCAGAGGCTCTAGCGTAGATATTTTGTATAAAAAATTGTCTGGTGGACCAATACAAATATTGTTCAAATTATAACTGGTCAAAATTGGGTATGTATATAGTAAAAAATTCGTCTTTAAAACGACAAGAGCTAAAGCTTAGTTTTTGACATGAAACTTTATCTAGTAGATCTCTACTAAGTTTTTATGCCACCGCAGCATCTGTGATGCGGTGGCGTATAAAGATTCACCTGTGTGTTTGTGTGTGTGTGTGTTCTATAGATTATATAGTGAACTTTAGAAATCTTCTTGTGAAAATTCACTAGTCCAATTTCAACCAAACTTGGCAGGATTGATCCTTGGGTGAAGGGCTTCCAAAGTTGTTCAAAGCATAAATCTGGTTGCCATGGCAATGAATTTAAAAAACCTTCTTGTAAAGACCCAAAAGGCCTAGAGCTTAGATATTTTGCATAAGGCATTGTCTGGGAGACCCTTACCAACATGTTCAAATTATAGCCCTGTACATATAGTAATATAGTAAAAACTTAAAATACCTTCATGTAAAGACCCAAAAGACATGAAGCTTAGATATTTTGCATAAGGCATTGTCTGGTAGACCTCTACCCAGATTATTCAAATTAAAGTCCTGGGCTTAAAATCGGCCCCGCCCCGGGGGTCATTGGTTTTCCTTATATGTTTATAGTAAAAAATTCTTCTAGCAATTGACAAATGCTAGATGTTAGATATTTTGCATGAAACATTGTGTAGTGAAACTCTAGCAAGATTGTTCAAATTATAGCCCTGGGGTCAAAATTACCCCCGCCCCGAGGGTCATTGATTTTCAATATAAACATTTAGTAAAAAAATCAAAAAATCTTATTGTCTGAAGATACAAGGCTTAGTGTTGTATTAATGCGGTGACATAGCATTTTTCTCAAATGCAATCTTGTTTCAAATTAAAGTCCTTGGGTCAAAATTGACCGTGCATCAGGGGTTCATTGATGTTTCTTATATGTGTGTAGTAGAAGAACAAATCTACTTCCATTATACTAAAGAGACTTTAACTTAGATATTTTGTTATGCAACATTGTCTGGTGGACCTCTACAAAATTATGAAAATTATAGCTTTTTGGTCAAAATTGACCCCGCCCCGGGGAAACATAAATTTTCCTTATATGTGACTTCCAACCAGTTAATTTACATAATGACCCATTGACTCCCAGATCACCCATTGTCTTCCCGTAGCAACCGGTTACTTTCCATAGCAACTATTGACTTCGTAGCAACCACTGACTTTCCATAGCACATATTTTGACTTCCTTAGCAACCAATGACTTCCTATGGCAACCATAGACCTCTAGCATTATAATGTAATTCCCTGTTTAGAAAATACGCTGCGACGTTTATCTAATCAGTTTTAAGATAAACGTGAAAACATTTATTTTTATTGTTTTGATTCACAAAATTTCACATGTAACTATGACTTGGGCTGAAATATTTTGTTAATATATAACGGACATGCACTCTCATAAGGGAATGACAAGTCGTTTTAACTCTAATATTTTATTCTGGTTCTTTCGAACGCAGTAAGTTACTACGGACAAGCAGATATAGTGAAAATTACGAAAGAACACGTAATAGCGGTAAATTGAAAAAGCAAATCAATGAAAAGAAATGAATTACGCATATGGACAATGTATACTTTATCGCTTATTGCAAATTATTCCCAGAAAGGTTAATAAAATGTTTGAGAAGTCGTATACGCTGCATCCTGTCTGAGGTACAAATATTGGTTTACTCACCCATAAACCTGAAATATACGTTCCTTTTGCACAATTCCTGTTACTTTCTGCGTAACTGGATGCACCCGGTGATTTTTCTCAAACAATGGATAAGGAGGTAACATGTACTTGTGAATGTATTTGCAAATTAAGCAATTTTCGTGAATTCAAACCAAATTGCAAATTGTTCGCTTGGTAACTACACACATGGTTCCTAGAGTCTTGATTTAAAAACGATTTATTTAATTATTTTCAAAATGATCTTGTCCGCCTTCTATCGTATGCAATGCAGAGAAAATGCATTTACAACCAAAACTTAACAATTTTCATAACAATACCAAACTTATTCTCGATCCTTATTTTTTAAGCTCACTAGAACCAAAGGCTCAGGGTGAGCTATTAGAATCAAAGGGGGATACTCCGGCGGCCGTCGTTATGCGTCAACAATCATCTTCTTCTCTGAAACCGCTGGACAGATTTACTTCAAATTTGGTCTGTAGCATTCTTGTGACAGTCACACCTAAATTTGCTGATATGATTTCAATTGGCCCCTTTTAGGGGTCAAAAGAGCTAAAAATAGAAAAACCTTTAGACATCTTCTTCTACAGAACCAATTGATGGATGATCACCAAACTTTGTCTGTAGCATTCTTAGGTACTCTTTTATCAAAGATGCTCATATTAATTTGATAGGCCCCTTGTAGGGGTCAAGGGAGCTCAAAATAATATAAACATGCATTTAGACAGCTTTTTCTACAGAACTTATTGATGGATGATCACCTAACTTTGTTATTAACATTCTTATAGATATCTTTAATTAAAATTGCTCATATTTATTTGATTGACCCCTTTTAGGGACTGCTAAAGCTAAAATACCCCTGACCATGGCATTTCTTCAAAAAGGAAAACAACTCGTGTTGGAATGTCTTTCATATTTGCTGATGAAATAATTTGAGGTCAAGACCTCTTATGAAATAACTTGAGCACATTATACAAGATATATAATGACTTAGTATTAAGCTTTATTTGGTTTCATTCATATTCACTTAATTACATCACTACATGCAGTGTTTCCTCTGGAGAGCGTTTTCTGCGTTTTTGACGCAATACTTTTGCATTTGACGCGGTAATATAGCCGTGCGTTTTCCGCATATTTTTGCATATTTTTTTAGTACATATTTTTTCTAAAAAAAACATGAGCATCAGCTGATCGGTCACATGATTTATCTTAGACGCTTTAGTGAATATTACGCGTTAAAAGCGTTCAGACGCTTCAGATTGTGGCGTCATTATCCGGGTAAATTCACAATGTCTGCTTCGGAAAAAAAGCAGCAAAGATTGACTTCATGCTTCAATAAAGACAATGTTAACGTTGATGGGGCGACAGAATCTACCGTAAACAACTCTGCGCCTATACCAAATGAGGTTCCCCAACCAAATCAATCGGCGAATGCTGAAAGAACTGAGAAATCCAAGCAAAATGATAATGCTCCAAAGCGAGTTTTTCGTACCGAATGGCTTGAAAGCAATTCTTTGGTTGCGGTATGATGGTAATAAAATGACTTGCACAGTTTGTATAACTGAAAAAAGAGACAATCCATTTACATTGGGATGCACAAACTTTAGAGTTTTGTAGTACCGTATGGTACTGGTTACGTGAGTTGACGGAAGTTGATGGAAGGTTCGGAACTAGTGTGTTAGGCTTGACAGTTGGGCGCCACATTAGTGTAATTTGTAACTAGAAGATGTAGGCAATTCCCAGCTTGGCTACGATCCAGACGTGGAAGGTAAGTCGATTGTTTGTATTGTCAAGGCCTTTATAATCAATCGCGACAGTTCTATATTGGTGGCAACGGTAATTTTTACGAATACCGTTCCGAAAGATAGACGCTACCAAAGCTCCATAATTTTACCGATTGGGCACGAATTTGCCCTCAAATAAAAAGTTGGTTGTCCCATACTGTAAACACCTTACATATTTTGCATGTGACATTTTGTGTATTCATTCACAAAAGTTATAAAGAAAAAATGTTCCATCAAAATTAACCCTGCTGTAGTGGTCATTTATCAGGTGTAGGATTCCATGATATTTATTGACTGACCGTAAATTTATGGATGGTCTAGAAATTTAAAGATCAATCCACCAATTTACAAATCTATATTCAATGTAAAATTTGCTGTTTTTAGTTTTATACTAGAATCCTCAGCTTCTGACGTGGAAGGTAAGTCGATTGTTTGTATTGTCAAGGCCTTTATAATCAATCGCGACAGTTCTATATTGGTGGCAACGGTAATTTTTACGAATACCGTTCCGAAAGATAGACGCTACCAAAGCTCCATAATTTTACCGATTGGGCACGATCGAATTTGCCCTCATATAAAAAGTTGGTTGTCCCATACTGTAAACACCTTACATATTTTGTATGTGACATTTTGTGTATTCATTCAAAAAAGTTATAAAGAAAAATGTTCCATCAAAATTAACCCTGCTGTAGTGGTCATTTATCAGGTGTAGGATTCCATGATATTTATGGACTGACCGTAAATTTATGGATGGTCTAGAAATTTAAAGATCAATCCACCAATTTACAAATCTATATTCAATGTAAAATTTGCTGTTTTTAGTTTTATACTAGAATCCTCAGCTTCTGACTAATTGTTTTATTGATTGTTTATATTTACAAAGGTAATGTGGTGAGTTTCATCTTTGTATGATGATTTTGCAATATTTGATAAAAGTGAAAATTGCAAGTCATAATATTGTTCCGAATTTTACCATACTGTTACATTTAATCATATAGTATATACAGTAACCTTATTAATTTTAACCCGTGGTTTTGAATTTTAATGCAACTTCTACTATTTTCTTACTTAATGTTTGTTAATTTACGGATTCAAAAATCTGTAAAATTATTTGTAGCATGATGAGTAAACTGTAACATGATACTCTAGGTGCGTACAGCTCCTTTATAATAGAGAGTTCCCTAGATCTTAATATAGTACCATCGCGGACACTGATATGTAAACACATGTATCATATAATATAGTTTAGATAATAAACGTAGTTAGAGCACATATATATTTATGTCGTTCATAAACCCATGACGTAACATGGTGTCAGAACTGGAAAGATAATAATTCTTAAAGACGGAATATTTTAAATAGTATAATTATAATTCCTAAGGAAAGAATATTATATAAAAAGGAAAATCATTCCTAATGACGGAATATTAATAAATGTGCTAAACATTCTTTAAAAAAGGACAGACATAAACTATAATTCCTTCTTGTTGGAATATTACATTAACATTTCCTTAAGTGCTGGAATATTATAAAAAAATGAATTTAAGTGGTATCCCGCAACCTCAAATGGACTGGACATCAACCAATCTTGTAGAAGAATTCGCAAAATTTCAAGAGCACTGTGAATTAGTATTTAAAGGACCCTTGAAAGACCAAGAAGAAGATGTCCACGTTACAATGCTATTGCTTTATATGGGTGCAAAGGGAAGAGAAATATATAGAGCCGCCAATTTTTCTAATGCAGATAGAAAAGAAACAAAAAAGATCTTCCAAAAAGTCCGAGAACACATCGCTCCCATAATTAACCCAGTATTTAGCCGCTATCAATTCAATAATATCACACAAAACGAAAAAACAATGGAACAATTCATCACAATAGTTAAAAACAAGGCTACAGAGTGTGATTTTGGAACAATGAAAGATGACATGATCAGAGATAGAATTATATTTGGTGTGTCATCCACGAAATTAAGAGAAAGGCTTTTGCAAGTAGGGAAAGATCTGAAATTAGACAAGGCAACAAAAATTTGCCAGGAATTTGAGTATGCTGCATCTCAAATAAAAATGTTCAATAACGTCCAAGAAAGTGCTCCGGTACATGCAGTATCAAGACCGAAGGGACGGATGCCTAGCCGTTCATCGGGCATCCAAGGTCGTTCGTTTCGGAACCCTTCATCGATGAATCCAGGTCGATATACAGAAACATCAAGCAATCCAGGTCGCATTGGGGAACGTTCACACAGTACAAAATGTAACAGATGTGGAAATCAACATACTGACAAGCAGCGTTGTCCAGCAAAAGGAACACAATGTAACAATTGTAAAAAATGGAACCACTGGAGCAATGTTTGTAAATCTAGAACAGTGAATGAAATTTCAAATTTAAGTTCTGAATTATACATTGACTGTGTAGAAAATGTGGACAGACTTGTTTGTGTAACAGTAAAAAATGGACAGATGTTTACAGAAATATTAATTGGAAATAGCAAAAAGGCTGTGCAAATGAAGTTAGACACTGGCTCTCAGGTAAACATTTTGCCATTATCTACCTTTCAAGGTTTAGGAATCACGGCACCTCTTGAAAAGCCCACATCTAAATTGACCGCCTACAATGGCAATTCTTTGCATTGCAAAGGGCAAATCACTCTCCCTTGTTCTCATGCTGTTTCAGGTCAAGCAAAAAATGTCACGTTTCATGTCGTAGACACGAAATCCCCACCACTATTAGGTTGCGAGTCGTGCTTGGGCTTTAAGCTCATAGAATTTGCTCATTCTGTACAAAATGATTATAATCATAGAAACAAAGAGGCATTTCTTACTAAAGAGTCCCTTTTGACGGATTATGCCCAGGTTTTTGATGGCATAGGGTTAATTTCTGGGGAATGTAACATTCATGTTGACTCAAATGCTACACCAGTTGTTCATCCTCCCCGTAGGATTCCAGTTGCTTTACAAGATAAAGTGAAACAGGAACTTACACGAATGGAAAAAATGGGAGTAATTGCTAAGATTTCAACACCCACTGAATGGTGTAATAATTTAGTTGTTACTGAAAAAAGTAATGGCGATATACGTCTTTGTTTAGACCCTCGTTCGCTTAATAGTGCAATTAAGCGTACACCCTACCCGCTGAAAACACTTGATGACGTATTACATAAGTTTGGTAATGCAAAGTATTTCACTAAATTGGACTTAACTAGTGCTTACTGGTCAATACAGTTATCTGAAGAGTCGTCATATTTGACTGCATTTAACAGTCCATTGGGGGTCTTCAGGTATCTTCGATGTCCATACGGATTAAACGTATCAGGTGATTTTTTTGGTTCGCGCCCTTGAAGAGGCACTGATAGGTCTCGAAGGGGTAGCTACAATTGTTGATGATATTTGTGTATGGGTTCCACGAGGGAAAGTCATGACCGAAATTTAGTAGCTGTCCTTGAACGTGCTTTGAACAAAGGCATTCGTTTCAATTCCAGAAAGTTGGAAGTAGGTCTCACGAGATTAGTTATTTTTGGTCACGTGTTAACTGCAGAAGGCTTAAAGGCCGATCCCGCCAAAATTGAGGCCATTAAGGATATGAGACCACCCACATCAAAAGTGAACTACAGGTGGTATTAGGCATGGTTAATTATCTCAGTCGTTATGTCTCTGACAATTTATCAGAGATTACCGCTCCTATGAGAGAGTTATTGCATAAGGACACTATATTCACGTGGCAAAAGCCTCAAAATGAGTCCTTTGAAAAAATGAAAGAAGTCATTTGTAAGGACACATGTTTAGCTTATTATGACCCAAACAAATCCTTGACATTGCAAGTTGATTCTTCTTCCAAATCTTTAGGGGCAGTAATCCTTCAGGAAAAACGTCCCATAGCATTTGCATCCCGTAGCTTAACTGAATCACAGAGAAATATGGGTCAAATTTCTAAAGAATTATTATCTATTGTCTTTGGATTTACGAAATTTCATCAGTACTGCTATGGCCGTGATGTCATTGTAGAAAATGACCATCTCCCTATACAGGGATTGCTGAAAAAGCCTATGCATTCAATACCTGCTAGGTTGCAGCGTTTAGTCCTGAAATTAACTCCATATAGGTTTCAGTTTCGTCACATGTCCGGTAAGAAAATCCCATTAGCAGATGGACTTAGCAGAAACGCCAGTCCGGATACAAGCCCAGAACTTAATGAGGGTATTGAGGCACACGTTTGCATGGTTATCTCATCTTTACCCGTGTCAGATAGAAAACTTGAGGAAATCAAGTTACACACAAAACAAGATGAACAATTATGTACATTACAACAAACAATAAAGTTTGGTTGGCCTAAGTACAAAAAGGCTTGTCATCAGTTAATTGCCGCCTTTTGGAACTATAGGGATGAGTTATCTGAGGTTAATGGTTTAATAATGAAAGGGGAAAAAATCGTTATGCCCAGGTCACTCAGATCTGAAATGTTAAAGGTGCTGCATTCCAGTCATCTGGGTGCGCAAAAATGCCTAAGTAGAGCAAGGTCAATAATGTTTTGGCCGGGAATTTCAAATGATATAATTGAATTGGTAAATCAATGTCAGATTTGTCTGGAATACAGGTCATCGCAACAGAAGGAGCCATTAATCAGCTCTGAAATCCCAGACTATCCGTTTCAAATTGCAGGGTGTGACTTGTTCTCACTTAATGAGAAAAATTTCATGGTCATGTCCGATTACTATTCTAGGTATCCCATAGTTCATGAACTTTCGAACATAAAAAGTTCAACTGTTATTTCCCACATGAAAGATATCATGTCACATTGGGGCATTTGTGAGAAAATAGTCACTGATGGGGGTCCATGTTTTTTCTAGTCAAGAATTTGAGGAGTTTTTCAAAGTCATGGGATTTTGTACATGTAAAATGTAGTCCATATCATAACCAAACAAATGGTTTGGCTGAGGCGATGGTTAAAGTTGCCAAACGTATACTTAAAAAGGCAAAAGATGATAATTCTGATCCGAGAATAGGATTTTTAGAATATCGTTCTACTCCTCTCGTTGATATAGGAAATTTCAGTCCAGCGCAGTTAGTCCAATCACGACAACTTCGTTCTATCCTTCCCACTGTAAGGGAAAACCTTATACCACGAGTACCGCCCCCTGATGTAGTCAAACAAAAAATCGCAGAATCCAAGGTCAAATCTAAGCATTACTATGATAAAAATGCTAAGCCTCTGTCTCCCTTAAATGTTGGAGATTCCGCTAGAATTCAACGTCTAGACAAGTCCTGGAGTCCCGCTGTTGTAATAAAAAATCACAGCGATAGGTCCTATATTGTTGAAACAGAAAACGGACAACAATATCGTAGAAATCGTAAAGATTTGTTGAAATCTAAAGAATCACCTTTATTGACACATGGTGCTTTGAATTCTGGCCTTGAAATGTCAGTTAATGACAGAATGATTAACGTAGGGTCAGAGCGTACCGATAGCAATAAACAGCCTGTGGTTTTGAATCCTCCGGATAATGCTAATTATTTCACTCGCGCAGGCAGAAAGGTGAAGCCACGTGCTGTAACAGACTTGTAAATAGACAGTGATTGTTTGTAATGAAGAAATTTACAGTATTAATCATGATTAGTACATGTTGTAAACGACTCATGATAATGAAACATTTATTAACTATATGTTACTGTAATCATCATCTAATATAAAGTCTTTCTTCCTTGAATTTATTTAAGCGTTATTCAAATAATCTATGCGGTTATACTTATGATAAAATTATGTTTAAATATAACAGTAATTTTGTAAAAGATGGAAGATGTAGCATGATGAGTAAACTGTAAACATGATACTCTAGGTGCGTACAGCTCCTTTATAATAGAGAGTTCCCTAGATCTTAATATAGTACCATCGCGGACACTGATATGTAAACACATGTATCATATAATATAGTTTAGATAATAAACGTAGTTAGAGCACATATATATTTATGTCGTTCATAAACCCATGACGTAACATTATTGATCGTCCAAAAGTTTACAGACTGTCCGTAAATATCATGAAATCTTAGACCTGTTTATTCTGCATTATTTTATTCTACATAGTCTCATGGGAACACAAGTTTGCAACATAGATATTTTTAACAAAGCCTCCGAAATATGAGGGCAATATATTTCAATAATTAGAACGGCAAGTAAAAGTTGAGCTGGACTGGTCTTTCAGCAAGTTCATTTGAAAAATAACACTGAAAAACAGTTGTTTCTGGTGAGTGACTCAGGGCCATCATGACCCCCTTGTTTTTGTTATCTGGCACACTCAGTAGTACCTGCGAATTTCGAAGCATTTTGCACTTATCTTCAAATGTTGTTACAAAGTGGCGAGAATGTTACCTACAATGAAAGCTTTCTACGAGACAGTGTAAATACAAAACTATCCGGTCGGTTAATAATTGTTTAATATGCAAAAAAATGAACTGCAGATAAAATGGTAATTGTATCAAGGCAGTTTCCTCAAGTGTGTCCAGTGACTTGCAGAATGTTAGCATTGCTGAAATAAGAAAAAGACATTAAGTATAGCTAAGAAAACTGAAACGTAAAAACAATGATCTTAATAAAATACAAGCAAATATTCAAGACTTAATTTGTGTAAATATTTTTGTAACGTATTTTTTTTTATGCACAGCGATGTCGTTTTAAAAAAGAAATTAAATTAAACTTAATTTAAACGTTAAGACATTATTCACACAGCTACATTTTTTACTTTATATAAGTGTAAGATTGTCCAACACACGAGCTGATCTGTTACCTTGATTGCATTTTTCTTCTTAATCAATCAACAGAGCAATGTACTAAAAATTAGCTTGAAGTATTAACTTTCAAAAATTCGTATTATTGTTTAGAATGCTTTTAATATTATATTTGTCAATGTTTTTGATGATTAACATCAGTGGACCAAAACACACAGTCGATGTCACGAGCGTTTAATTTCTACTTTGAATATTATTATTTTCATTTATGACATCTAGAAACAAGGTTTACCGTAATATTTATCAAGTTGTCTTCGTTGCAACACGCAAAATTACACGCTTTACACAGCGACATCTTTCTACTGGTTAACGCCCGGGGCATGTAGTTCTTCATCAGAGTTTCCGCTGCAAAAACAATATCAAATTGGTCACTTGAGCGTTCCAATTTCGATTTTTAACTAGATCTATTATTCGACTGTAACTGAGTATAGCTGGACCCTTTATCCATCAATCAAATTACATCATATATTTATTATATACTTACATGGCTCGTAGTAGGAATAAATTTCGACTGTTGCTGGTAGTACATCGGCAACGGTGGACGTTCGTTGGAAAAGAACGGTCAAGCACATTTGTGTAGCTGGAATCTAGAATAATAAAGTTTCTCATAGTTTTTATTTTTGTTTTATAATGACCATCAATATATATATCGATGTATGTTAATTCTTTTAGAATTATCTTTTTAAATTTGATTACCACTCTTTCTAAAATGATATGGTTATTTCAACTTGAAAAAAACACCAATACATAAATAACTTATTCCAGCCTTTTTTAAAACAGCAATAAGTATTGAAACGCTCATTTCAAAAGAATATTAAGAGAGAGACATATAGACATTGACGATTCGTTCCAGTGAGCAAGTTAAGATTGTAACGGATTAAAAGCCATTAAATATTGTTAATTGTACTTTGTGAATCAAGTTTTTAAAATTTACCTGGTCAAAGTACAGAACAAGCCTCTCGTTTTCATATTCACGCCTTTTTATTTTAATGTCTGAAACAATTTTGTCTTCATTTGGTTTGAATCCTGATATCGATCCAAAATCAATAATTGCCATGTTACTTTTTTCTTTTGGTATCTTGTACCTACAAGAACATATCTTGATAATTCATAATTATTTTGATAAAAGGGGTTCTAATTCATTGGTTTCTCACTTCATACCCTCTTTTATAAACATCAAACAGACATTGTCTGATTTCCAAACATCTTTAATTCTTCTTTATGTATTAGCCTCAAAGGCAATAAAAATATGTACCTTGTATAGTATATCTATGACTTTGAATGTTGAAAGTAAACAATACTTGTTCATGAAAGAATTCATATAGTTTCAATCTGACAAATTATGCTCTGCCACATTGACATTTAATTAATTATTAATACAAGTAATGTTTGAAAATATCATAAGCTTCAGACAATGCTGAAATAGGAAAGTATTTGTCATCAGTTCTGGGCCAGACAAACATGTTTTTCAGTACAGTCTGACCAACCTCCAAAATATTGGCTTAACGACTTTTTTTAAAATTTATAGTGATATGATGATCTCTTACACCAAAAAGTCAATAAGAGAGGGCGATGTTGGCTGAACTCAGCCCACGGCAATATACACTCAATATACAGTCACACAGGTCCACCGGAAATGTCATTTCAGGAAATCGTGGGCTAACAATAAATGTAATCTACGGTGCTTGTTGTACAATATTAAGTCTAATACATTCATTAATACAGTAGAACTTTGCTTATCCAGAATCCTTTCTTATCTGAACGATCATAACTAAGTTGTAGGTCGACAATGCCAAAGACTCCATCATAATGTAAATATAATAAATTTGGAAATTGTATTGATAATAAAGAATAATTAATTGTCTACCTGGCACACACTTTCAATGAATATTTATTTGCTGTATCATCAAACGGAGTCAATGTTAAATCATAAGCGTCGCTTGTTTCGCTGGTGACGTGGTAAAATTGGTTAATCTATAAATAGATAAAACATGATATCAAAATTATATTCTTTAACAGACAATTTACAAATTCAAATTCTACTGAAATAAATATTTCAAGTCTTTTCATGGAAACCTTTTTATTAGATAGACAGAATGAATTTTTCTATCTGTGTACTTAAATGACATACTGAATGTCCCCTATAAAGACGAAATTTTAGTTTTTAAAACAAAAGAATAAATGCGAATATAATACAAATGTATATAAAAATAAGAAAATCTTTTATTATTATTATTGTAATGATGAAAATATTTTACAGTAATGCAACTAATATTGATATATGAAGATATACATGTTTATCACGTAAATCTTGTGTAATAGTTTACACAAAAACGTATTCTTTTATATAAGATTAAATAATAAGCAGGTTAATATAAGCCATATTACATCTATTAATGCCAATCCTTGACCTTTAACATCCAATACAATTCTTCCAACGTTTCCTTCAACAAACTGAAATCAGAAAAGTTTCATTTTTTTATTTATCACTGCATAGAATGACAAATAATATAAGTGCAACATACGTATATTCGTATAACAAATATAATATGATTATTTTTTAGAACAAAATGTTATATACGTTAATTCTTTTGCATTTGTTTAAATTACAAACAAACGGAAATGCATTTTAAGATTTTATCTATTCAGATTTATACCATCTGTTTAAACATATATTTTTGAGACAGTCATCTGTACCTCGACGTATTGTAGCATATCATGATTCTGGCTATTCAAGTTGATCGTCTCTTTGTTACCCGGTACAGCACATGTGTCGCGACAAATATCTATGACCATATCAACATTGCTACTATAAATAAGTCCTGCAAATTCGGCAAGAGCTTGGAGTGCCACTACCGTGTCCTAATAAAAGACGAATTAGCTAAAGATGTAAGTTGAAAAGTTATGCCCAAAATAATAATTTCGCCAGAGAACATTCATGTATATGTAACATATATCATAAGAAGCAATATTATGCGACGATATAGTGGCAACAAGGAAACAATGAAAAGTCATAGATTCCATACCATACTACAATGCCTTTTTATACTTATTTTCAAAAACCTAGCTTATATTCTTCTTTAGGTATCAAGCGATCTACACGATCTATCTGACACGGCCATTTAAGGACTATTTCTATACCCATAGCATATACAACGAATACAGAAAAACAAAATAACATTCATAATTCCCACATTGCTATCTTTTTATTTATCATTTTGCATTGACAATCCTAGCACATCTTTTGACAATTGTATGTGGCATATAAGATTGATACCATACCATTGCTTACACTTTCCATGCTAAAGAGTTATAAATACATATAACTTATAAATACTTATAAAATGTACTTTATCATTTCAAATGAGAGAAAAAATATTAAAGTCGGTACCACTAATCTTCATTAGTGAAAAGTTTGTTTGAAACAATGCAGTAGCTGCTTCTCTTTTGCTGAATTATAACAGTCAATATTTGGCATTTGCTCTGTATATTATAATACATTTATGTATACACATACCTGAGTTGAATAAAATCCCCCGAATGAATTTCTGTTCTCAATCAACCACCTGAGAATTGGCAAACCTTTGTCTTTTTGATTCATTTTTGTATACGTCATCAAAGCATATGATGCAATTTCAATTTCCAGAGAATGTAGTTTATTCTTCCAATATATCTTGTTATCTACATAATAAAATGATTAACAACATATTCATTGACTATTCAGAATGCAAAATTTGAAAATGTCAGCTCTGAAAACAGAATTTATAATGGAAATTAAACATCCGGTTTGGTTTAGTATGCTAATGTAAAACAACGAAAAGACATTTCTCTGCTATTTAAATAACAGTGTTGAAGGACTTACTTAATTTACAACACTTCGATAAAGCCGCACAGCAATATAAATGTGTGGACCTGTTGTGAATTTTATTCAAAACTTAACAATGTTCTCATTACTCTTATATTATATATGCGAAAATAGGCATGTTTTTACTTCTATGTATTTAAAAGTCAAATAAAATAATGACATAAAGCCGACGAATTTTATTGGAGGTTACTTTAATAAACAACAAGAACAAAAGAAAGTGTAATAATAATTATGGTATGATTACAAATTTACTAAAGTCCTCTTATCAGTATGATATGACTACAATTCCCCAACGTTACAAAGAATATCATAACAAATTAGAAAGCTTATCAGTTGCAACACTAAGGTTATTTTAATCTTCTTACACTTTATATGATATGTTTCAAACTGCACCATCTTGGCAAATACACAGAACAAAATTCTAAACTTAAATAAAAGAAGTTGAGGATTGTTTTTAACATAGCTTACATCTTTTGTGACTTACCAGAGATGCTTTTATTTTGACTACTTTCTAGACGAGTCAGCAATATATCTCTATAAATACTGTCTACACGACCCAGAGCATACGCTCCAATTGCCGTTTCATAATCTGAATTCATCTTAGGGACCTTTGATTCTAAAGCACTCTTCAATAACACGATACCTTTGTTCATACCTAATGTCACCTTGTAAGCCTATTAATGATATATAACGAAAATATTACTTAATTATATATAATGATTAAGTGTAAAATGTACAATTTACAAAAAAAAGATATGTTTCATCTGAAGGGTAGTTCCTTTCCTCTGCTTCAGTATCAAGTATATCTGAATTATTTCCAAATATTTTAATTGTATTTTTAATCGAATAGTTTGTCAAGGAAGCAGAATGAGTATAAAACTATTAAAGTTACAATGTATAATTACTCGTATATGCATTGTAGAAAAAAAGTAAACTAATAATGATGTGACAAAGTAAGTTACCTTGTTCAAAAAAGCATATACTTTTCAGGTTTATACATTGTATTCATTTTCCCCAGCATTTTTCGTGCGCGATATGTCCAGACAATGTTGTTTTCAGTTGAAAATTGTGTTCATTATACTTATATATATAAGATTATGTATTGCATATTAGTACTTATACAAGACCTACTTAACAACTCAAATTACCATACCTTGTTTGCGTAAGCACTATACATGTACTTGAAACTAGTAGTCATACTGTATTTTATGATTTTATTAATGTACATTCACTGAAGGATAACTCACAATATTTTATATTATAATTTATATTATCTATGAAATAGTCGTCCTTGAAATGACTATATATTTAATTAATTTTAAAATACTTTACCTTCATAATTTCGGATTCTTTGACTTCTTGAAGTGCAACGAGAACATAAGCAAGCATTGCATTGTTGCCAGCTGTTCCACCCTTAAATGAAAATACAAGTTCGTCATAAAATGTTTCAATATCAAGATGTTTCAATATCAAGATGTTTTTAAATAATTATAATTGTTCGAGTATGATTGTTGCATAATCAAATATATTCTGAATCAGAAAGTAATAAATTATGTATTTATACATGTATAAGCTAAATTTAAAACTCGACGAAACGAATTCCTTTCATGTAAATTTTACATTTTCCTTACAGAAAGAAAGTATGTATGTTGTTAACGTTTTACGTTGAATAGTAAAATAAGCAGAAAAAAATTTAAACAGGTCTTTTTTCTAGATTAATCGTGATAACGGCAAATGTACCTGCAAACCTTTGTGTCTCACGATACCCACATTGTTGAGATAACCATCTGGTAGCTGTTGACGAAGTATAAAACCGACAGCCCGTTCAACAACATAATTATCAATAAAGATGAGATTAAGTTTATGTGCCTGAGCAAATGACTTAATGACAAAGGCCGTTAACCTGAAATTTAGGTCATTTAGATTAGTCACATTAAATTACATGGTAACGTTAACTATTCAAAAAAGCAAGGACGTATTTGTTTTATTTATATTCAACATAATAGCATGATTATATCTAAATTCTTATTTCACAAGAATAAAAGTTTAATGATTCATAAAATGGCTGATCTTTTGATATCAAATCAATTATTTGTCGAAAAGAAACAGGGTGTGTTCTTTCTTAGCACAAACAATTTTATTTTACAATTGCGCCATTAAAAGCTTTCATTTTCATACTTGTGACACATTTCTTTAATTACGTGGCTTGAATATATGTGCAGTATAATCAAGACAACTAGATGGAAATCTAATATAATCAATTCTAAACGATATGTTAAAGAGACACATATTATTTTCCGATGCATTTGATTATTTTCCATTTAACAAAGTCTTAAATGCTTAAATGCATCGTAATTGGAAAATATTTGCAAATAGAACTGCAATTACAGCTTACCACAAGCTCCCTTCTTCGTCTGCATCTCCAAAAGCACTGAATGAGCCATCATTTCTTTGGTACAGAAGCTGACGTTGATATCCTAAGCATCAAATAGACCAAAGAATAATAAGAAACAAGCAATTATCATAGTATTGCAAGTAGTCAATAAGTCCCCTACCGGTTAAAACCCAAGCAACATTATGAAGGACCATTGGTGATTGAATTATGCCATTAGATGAATGAATGACATGAATGAACTTAAATCTTTTAAGTCTTAATAAATCTTTTAAGTCTTAATTTGTCTATATCTAAGAAATGTTTCCCTGCAGGAAGTAAAGAAAATATGTTAATACAAACAGATAATCAAAAGATCCAATTTTCTCAAGATGAATATGTATGTATAACTAATGTTTCGATTTTTCTCTATTTTAAATAAATTTGCTGGAAAAGTTCTTAAACAAAGTGATCTCATGAAACAGTTTTTAGGAACAGACAGACAGACTGAGACACTTTGAGGGTAAACCTCTAAACAACTCTGATTGTTACCAGAAAATAACATTTTTAAAACAAAATTCTTAAACTAAGAGGAGATAACTCTTGAAATAAATATGCTAGACTTATGAACATTGTCATACATGATGTGAGTGTAACAAAGAACAATTATCTTAATTATTAAGAAGATAACATTTTGAATGTGCATGTTGTATCAAACTTTAATTGTTGATTTGATGATTTCCTTCTTAATACTGATATCAATTAAATATCATGAGAAACTACAGATCTATTAAGACACATTATCATTTACCAGTCTTAAGTATATTCCTAATCTTTGTACGTTTGGCATCATCAATGCGGTTGGTTACGCTCATATATAACGCGGCTTGAATACTTGGCGCAAAGTAGAGCATGTTTTGTTCTCCGCATCCATATGGCATTCTTAACAACTTATCAAGATTCTCAAAAGATGCGCCAAAAATGTCACCTGTAAAAAAGCGAATACTTGATATTCAAAAGGTTGTAAGTCTAGTCTTACTTTGTTAAATTTTGTAAAAAAAAACAAAAGTGTAGGACTTAGCCCTCATAGCTTACAAACGATCCTTCATGTAAATTTAAAATTTAAAGTAAACGTACAGGTCACGAGATATTTTTGTAAATGTAAATTTTAAGACTTTTTTTTTTAAAAAAAAAGAGTAAAACGGGATATAACTTTGTTAATATGCACAACAGATTTATGAAACTTGAGATACTTTTCATTCTACATATCAAGGATCGAGTAAATATTCAATATGGTGTCAGAAATATTAAAATACATGATTATTTAAACTAATTTGCCCGTTTAAAGGAAATTAAAACTGATACCCTTGCGGCCTGATGTTTTTGTTTGCATTCTTTCAAATACATTCAAACAAAGCATGTTTTGGTTTCAGAAATATCATGTAAGAACTTTTTTCAAGTAATTAAAGAGTATTTCTTTGTCAAAATGCATTATTAAACTTGACCTGCCGATTATATTTGGATCCATCTGTGCGCATACGAAGTTTCATAACAATATCTGATTTGATGTCAGAGATATTTAAATAAATTAAAAATGCATGGCTTTCTTTCTGTAAACAGGGGCAT